AGAATTTTAGAGCGTAACGGTTTAGGAATAAACGCCCCGCACCATTTTCGGTTATGTTTATTCCTAAGCTGGCACCTAGCGACCCCGACGAGGATAGAGAGAAACGCGACGGGCTGTGAAAATCGTGCGCAATTTTGCTTGTTCGGTGCGTTTATTCCTATCCCGAGACGAGTCCCCTAGGTCGTTTTCTCGTCTATCGTTTTGCAGTCGGTTTGGAGCGAGGCTCGTGAAATGGTTCGAAATCCGAAAAGGTGCGCAAGTTGCCCGCATCGTTTGGCCCCTAGCGTTGTGCGGCGTTCGCGCCGCTCCCGCGCGCTTTGTGTGTCGCTCGTTGACGGCGGCAAGATGACAGACCGCGGCGCGGTTCGGTATTGGTCTGCCCTGCTTTTGGTGTGGACTCATTTGTTGCGCGCTGGGGCGAAGGCTCCCGACGAGAGGGCGCCCAGCGGTCTGTCGCTCGGTGTGTCTGTTCTTTCTCTTTGGTCCCGCGTGGTCTCTTTGAGAGGGTCGCTCCTCGCTTCAGTTTTTTTCGTCCGCCCAATGTTGTCGGCCCGCCTCGCTTGTTCACTGGGTGGACTCTCAGGGGGTTGCACTTGAGTTGCCATATAAGTAATAGTACTCAACCCACCCCCCAGCACGCCACTCCCAATTCTTGAGGCATTGACGCAAATGCCCAGTGAGCGAAGTAACATAGCTCCGCGTGTTTTTGGTTGTTTGATCGGTTTTTCGCGTGTTTGTGCAGAGTGGCGGGGGCCTTCCTGCGGTAAATGCACCCGCCTAGGACTCTCTTTCGGTCAGTCTGGCGCTGGCCTTAATAGTATGTTGCCCCGCACTGACTTGGGTTCGCTCCGCGTGGTGGTTAGCTTTGCTTGGGCTGCGGCGCTTCATCTCCCAGAGGCCCGCCATGCGTGAGAGGCTTTGAACCGCGAAAGCCGCTGCGCCTTGGCGTTCTTCTGTTCGTTGTCAGACTCACCGTCGGCTCTCTTTGCGCCCCTCAATAAATAGGGTCAGCTTCTTTGTTTTTCCTTGGATTTCTTCGGTTTAGGTAAGAACGGCCCGCGAGAGTTGTGCCTTTCTTCTGTTCTTCAATCGTATTGGAGTTATATTCTCTTGTGACTTTTTTTCTGCGTCACTTGCTCCTGGTTAATGCTTGGAAATATCTTACTAGCGCCACACGTTAACGTTTATGTCTATCGTTGCGTTGCCGCCTATCGTTCTGCATATATCCCCACTTAATTAACTCCGATGAAACGAGCGCAAAAGTATCGATGTAAGATTTCTCAGGAAATGTCTTCGGCACTAAGGTTTTCCTTCGAGACGCCACTCGCGACTCTCATTTGCATTTTCGTACACACCTGTTCGTTGCTCTTTCGGTTAGTTGCTCACTTGCTCCGAGTAACAACTAACAAATGGAAGAAAGAGACAGCAAGGAATCTCGTTATCGCTTGTTTTGAATTTATTTGAGACGACCGAAAAAGATAGTGGCTAACTATTTCTATTTGTATTTTCTACTTCTGGTTCTCATCTTCGAAGACGTCAAATATTTCACTTCCAGCGCAGAAAGTACATATTTACCAATACGAATTTCCATTTCAAACCAAACGAAAATTACTACTACTACACATGATTCAAATTGTTCGTCACCTATAAATCAATATTGCAACTGAAAAGCAGTTATCAGGACTACGATTGAAGATACTGGAGAAAGAAAGTCGGCCTGGACCAAAGAGCCCTGGGCTGTGATCATCGCAGGTCGGGTAAGTGCAGAATCCTGTTGATGTACTGATTTTTTCTGATCATTTTTGTGGAACTTTATTTATAGTCTATAATGCTGTCGGTGTGAATTTTTACATGATCATGTTGTACTAGTTCGAACATATAATGAGGCCAATGGGTGCGAACAGACCTTCAGAAGTGCAAGAAGTGGGCAATTGAATACAAGATCCAAGAGCAAGCCTTGCAGGCTCGCTCCAAGCGAGTAGATCTGACGAGGAGGCATGAGAAAAAACGCAAAGAAGGAAAAAAGGGAGAGAAGAAGGAAAAGAACTAGATGCGCAACAATTAAGTAGACTTACCTCTTTCCAGGCAAATCAATCAATCAATCGCATCGCGCCAAGTTGTGATATGTGAGTCTGTCATTCCACGTAGAAAGTTCCACCATTTGCAGCGGCCAGGTAATGTTAACATCAGACTTGTTTTCTTTTCGTTCGTTTGCGTCTACGCTCTTTTTGGATCCTTCTATCTGTAGCTGTTGCACTACCTTGCTTTATAAACTGCTTCGAAATCGAATTTATTCGATATCGAAGATGCTCCTGGTAAAAACTAGCGATTATGCATAGGTCAGTTTCTTTTTGGTTGTAGCAAGAGTTTGATTTCAGGCTCTCTTTCGTTGCTCCCAAAGCTCGGCTCGTTATGTATTCTCATTGGTTGCCACTGGTTTTTGAATCTTCACGTGCAGATTATTCTAGAATAACCATTGAGTTTTTGTTTTTCCCTATCGTTGTGCGAAACAAACCTCGACTCATGTTGTATCAGAGCTTTTTCTTCGGGCAGCTTACGGATGAGTCTAATCTTCAACTCGTCGTACTTTTCCACCATGAAGACCATGCAGCACGTTTTCGGTCTCTCTCCTGATTCCGAAGCCAAAATAGATGCAGGTGGGTTACTTTCGTTGCAAGTCAAATCTGTCGACTTGGATGTATACTTACACAGGTTCAAACTTTTGTGATTGAGATCGCTCGCTGTCATCGTAGAAATTTTAGTTCTTCAAGGTGGTAGTTGTTCTATGGACCGAATATGTCAGATATCAATTATGTCATTATGAGTATTGATTCTGCTGGAGGAAATTATGAATATTAATCTGGAGGATTCATTATGTAAATTATGAATATTGATAAATTATACATTAATATCAGTATTTGTATTTCTAAATATGACAGAGATACAAGAACATAAGATAACACAGAGAAGAGAAGCTTTAGAAATTATAGGTAGGAGATTCACATCCACTATGGTGTCACCGGCACTTTTTGGTTGGGTTCCTCAGCTATCTTCGTCAGCGAGGGGGCAGGTTCCTGTCGTGCATAATGTTGCCCTACCTCCGAAAAGTTGCATTATCAATATGCTTTCCTCGACGCGTGGATGAAAGTCTCGCAATGTCATTACTGCATTAACTCACGATAAGTTTATCTTCTTTATTGTAGATTTGCTTTCTTCTGTGGTCAGAGTGATCAGGAACTTCTTATCTGTGTTGCCGTGTTGAGCATTGAAGATATAAGTAGTTTACTATAAATGGTGATGGGAAGACAAGATGCAGTGATAAAATGGCTGGTCTATAAAACTAAGAAATGAGTTGTCTTGTTGAGAACCAGAAGGTCATTTGCGGAGTCCCTCCCCTTCCGAGAGAGGACCGAAAGAATAAACCTTGAGTCTACCTCCTACCCTATTGCTACATTTGTCTCTCAAAAAAGAAAGAGAACAACACGAGTTTGTGAAGAATGGTTTGAGAGGTATTAGTAATCGAAGACACCACCAATATTTGTTGAACACACTAGTGGAGGAGCCCTCCTTTGGAAGTAAGTGTCTTGTTCATATTCTGATTTCATTTTCAATAAATTGAATATATTCATGTTGAAGTTGTTGAAGTGTTTGTAAATCTTAATTTTCTGGTCAATTTTTCATCTGTTGACTCATTTCATCAAATCATCAAAAATGTACATCTTCGATCCACACTCCAGGCCAGCTGGAGGCGAGGCGATTTACAGAGACGTGGAAACACAGCACTCGAAGCGGCGAGGAATGGGTGGCATCAAAGTGAACAATGGGCTGCGCCGGAACGCGATTGGGCCAGCATCGGCCGGTCTCGTGCGAATGCGAAGGCCGCCAGAGAACCTCGCGGTGCGGTGGCGCAGGGTAGCCCGAAGATTTCGCTTGCTGCAGCAACCAGCAAACGACTTTCAGCTGTTATAGCACGAGCAGCAGAAGAAGGACAGGGCTCTGCTGAGAAACAAAATGTAGGAGCAGCAGCAGCCGCTGGAGGTGAGAATCCGGAGCAGGAGCGATACGGGCGAGCGTCTCCTGACGCTTCTCCTAGTTCTTCTTCCAGCTTCAACACGATCATGAAGAACTCGCAGCATGATGAACAGGGTTACCGTCACAGTGTGAGCAGGAGCAGCGAGGAAGGGTGTGGCAATTATGTTGAACGCATCCTCGTTCTCCCTAAAAAGAGCTACCCTGTCCCTGCGGAACCTCACGTCGCCTCGGGAGTAACATCAACGGCCTACAACCGCGATAAAAGCGGAAATGCTTTCCTAGCTACGGGTGGTGGAGATTCATTTGGCGTGGCCTCTTTTACAGGAGGGTTATCCGGAACCGGAAGCACGCAGATGGGGATGTCTAGCTCTTCCGCTCATTCTCAAGCAGTTCATGGTCGAGATGTCCAAGAAGAACAAACTGAGCACAATCTCGTACGCGACTCAGCCCTTCACGATCAGGAAGTAGATGAACAATCTCAAGCAGAGGGGGCTGTTGGCATTGTCCAAACGAAGGCTCGAATGGGTGCTCTTCCCATTGGTCGAGCTTCCGGGCGTTCCGGTGGTGCTCGTCAAGTGAGAGCCACGCCAAAGGCTCCTTCGCGGCAGACGCGAGAGAAGAAGCGGCCACTAGGAGCAGGTCTATATCAGAATCAGTACAGCCAAGAACAAACACAACAGCAGCGTGCGTCTTTCCGAGGTCCTCCTCCAGCTCTGGAAATGGACAGTTCGCCTGTAGCGGCATATGGCCCTCTCTCGCCACATCACGGCCCGCCATTCCACCATCCATACTCTCCGTGGAATGTCCACGTCCCAACACTGTGGTCACCGATAAATCCCTGGACTGAACATGTAAAAAATAGTATTTATACCGCATCTTTTTATAGCACGCATGGTGCATGGAGTAGCATGGAGTGCATGGAGCGCAGAGCTTTAAGGGGCGCAAGAAGCTCCCCCATTAGCTCCATGCTACTCCATGTGATCCATGCACTCCATGCCATGCGAGCTGTGAAACCTTAGCAATTTCTCTGTAGTATAGGTTTCCGATGCCTCGTTAAATCGCGTTTTTTTTGATTGTCAACGAACTAGGAAGTTTTCTGTTTGTTGAGTCATAATCATATCGTTGGACCATGTTGTCTGACCGAAGCTACCTGACACCAAACTTGAATTGGCTCAGGACCTTCATCGACGTTGCAATGAACAAATTTTTACTATATTACGTTGAGGTTGACAACTCGTCCTGACATAGACATCTTCATCACTGCAACATCTACTCCATGCAGATGATGCAGCAACCGCACCAGTGGTTCCCTCCGAGTTCGCCAGTCCACTACCCACCATACGCACCATCAGCGAGAAGTCCCATGGCTGTAAATATGAGAGAGTTGAACATGCACCGCATCGCACAGGAAGAACGACACGACGCAGGCCAAAGAAGCAGCCTTCTATATTTTACGAACAATTGCAGAACGAAGTAGCACTAATACCGAGTCGTGTGACGAACTATGTTAAATTGGTCCGTCTGCAGTAGTAGTTGTGGAAATTCCGCTCCTACCACGCAGACAGACCACAACGAACTGGTCGCAATTGCAATCGTGATGTTACACTTCTAGATAGAACTGCTAGAAGTAGTACTTGCTCTAATGATCTCGATCTTTCCGATGCTGCCGTACACGATTCCCGTCGTCAAACAGGCATGCAGAGCCACCGCCTTGAATACAGAACGATGCTGCGCCAGCCACCTGAATTTTTGTGATCAGACTGACCACGGGCTCCGTGCTTGAATTAATGTGAAGAACTACTACGGCATTATCATTAACAGGAACATCTGATTTATTCTGGAAGCAGAATCATCGATTACGATTAGCTACTTCCACCCACATTGCATATTCATCACGCCGTATTTATCAGGTCGTACTAAAATAAACAAGGATAGAAGTATTACTTAAAAATAGGCTTGCATTATATTTACACCACAAATAAGGTAGATATGGCTGTTGAACATAGTCAGAGAAAAGAACCGATACTTCCTGCAATACAAATGAGATACAAAATAAAATTATAGGGATGGCAGCTATTTTTCATCTCGTCCACTGGCGCTCGTACACGCCCTACACCATGAAGAATGAAGACCATCACAAAAATTATGCCAAGCGCTTAATCGCAGTCGAGAAGCTGGCCATGATGCTGACGCTACTTTGAGACCGTGGGGCGGGCCATCACCTTCTAATAAGTATGTCTTTTAGTAAAAAGTAGAACATATCAGCGCTACGCACGGATGAATATCAGCGCTACGTAGATGATTTCTACTTCTTAGTCTCACGACTGCGGAGATGCTTTCCCTCAAAGAACGACTCGCTTTTTATAGTCTCATAATAATAAATCCTTAACATTGCAAATAATACATTGGGAATCATGATTATCACGCTCTGATGAAGAGTATTTCCGCGTTATTCGCAGTTCTTGTGCAATACAGCTAGGGTCATAACAGTCGATTAGGCATTCGCATTGTTTGAGAATTTAGTGTATAGATAGTGATAGCTTTTATCATCATGATCAGTTTTAACTGCAGACGGGCGTCCAAAGACTGACACCGTCTTCGACAACGCGAATGGGTGACACGAAAAAACGCAGTAGATTGAAAACATATGGTTTGCATCGTGCTCCCTTCGTTTTTTACGCGTATGAAGATATGCTGTTCACAACATGTTCATGTAAGTTCATCTATTACAACTTCTAAAAAGTTTTAATCGAAATTGCTGAGATCCTTTTGAAAACAAATAGTCGATCAGCGGATCGATTAGATTATCAACTTCTGCTAACAAACCGGGATGCTTTTAAAACGAGACGGGAAACTGAAATACCGAATAACAACGATTGGTAGTTTGAAAAATCATTATTGATGATCAACAACAACTGGAAATTTAAGTCTTCTTTCAGCACTCAGACCTGGTGAAGAAAAGCACGTACCTCAATTTTTATCGCCAAGTTTATCTTTCAAGATCGATATCATCGAGCTGGTAGATGAGAAATAAGTATTTCTTGCTAAAACGAACAGAATAAAAATCTCTGCAAAACGATGTCTGGTACAGAAGTGACATTTTTAATGTTTATGAACAAAGTGAGTCGTGGGACTTAGATTTCAAGGTAAAAACCAAAAGAAGATGACTGTAAGTGTAAGTATCACGCATAGAAAACAATATTCCATGGATGATTTAGTGATGAAGAGAGGTGATGCCAGCAACATGATGGTACACGTATTCACGCTGTTTCGATCTGCTAGTCTTTTTGAAATCCCGCAAAGACGGAGCGATCGAGCACATACATCTGCAGATTGGACAACCGGGCCAACGCCGCCAGTTTCATCCAATGCTTCAGCATGATAGATTCGTAGACTAAAGAAACAGATGAAGAAAATCTTGAATGACATGAAGATGGTTTTTTATCTTGGAATAAATCTTGAGATTGAGAAGTGCATTCGCAGCGTTTTCGATAAACTACAATATTGGAATTTATATATATACTTACAATACTAGCATTCATATTCAAAAAAGCACTGGATGTGGCGCAATGAAGTTCACGCCATTTGTTCATAGAAACTAACACAAATCAACTCAAGACACAGCACACAGCAACGGTTCCCGTGACAATAGGTAGTAAGAAACCACTTTACCCTTGCGTCTCGAGCAGGCGCGTCAGACTGTGACAGAGACAAAAACATGCGTGTGTCTGCTTATGCTCAATGACGCACTATAATCGCCTTGATTTGACTGTGTCAACTTCGTGTCCTGCCTACCGTTGTAACGTCGCATGACCGCCGCTAATTAAGTACAATCTGTGAGCAACGAGAGGGTACGGGAGGAAGAGAAGCACCATTCTTGCAACGAGTGTACAAAGTTTGACAGTCGGAACGTATTGGTTGAGAGATCAAGTGCCTTGGAGAAATCTGAGTAACATTTTCTATACACCAGGTGGTAGGCTGACGCAGAGATACAAAGTTTGTGGCTCCGCTATGGAACCTCTCCGCGTTTGTATGTATTTAGGTAATAGAATCATGAATATCATAATATTTCCGTAGCTTACCCCTCTGAGTTACCTGCACCATAGGCTATAATGCCTAGCAATATCGTCCCTCATACAGTCAATGCTGATGAAGTCCCTCTCAGAGCAACTGAGTTTCAGCGGAAAAAAGGTACCTCCAAGAAAAAGTTAGGAAGCACGTCACGCCGTTTGAGTGATGATGAAGTTGGTAAAGACGTGTCTGTAGAAAACGAGGACAAGAACCCTTTTGTAAGGAAGAGCAACCTCATCAATTTTTGTCAAGATCCCTCGTGCCATGAGCAGGATCGCAATAGCTGTTCTTGGAGGAAAGACTTGTCTATCAATGGAGAATATTACACGTTAAATATATTTTTGAAAGATCAGGTGGATGAGTATTGATTTATGAAATCAAAAGTCGTTTACTCGTACTGCTGCCTTTTGTGGTTCTAGTTTATCTAATTGCTTTTTCTACAAAAAAGAACTCATGTTGACACTCAGTAGTACAGTCAAAGATTCGTCCACCAGTTATGTAATTTCTTGCCGGGTCCTAGCATGTGATGTCGCGCCACGAGAATATCGGAAGAAATCGTGGCTCGGCTCCGCAATGGAGCCGAGTTATACCAGAAGAGCTTGGTGGGTCGGCCTCGGCCCCGAGCGCGCGGAAGCAGCATCCAGATCTGGATATGAGGGCGAATGTCGGCGAACAACAAGCTATCGAGGTTCAGGAGGATCAGAGGGCCGATCCGATACCGATACCTTCTAGTTGTAGCAAGGTAGGCATTCACGATGACGAGGAATGTGGAGGAGGGGAAAGTGTAAAGGATCGACCTATTATGCAGACGCACACGACACAGGAGAATGAGATGCGCGAAAGTGGTCCTGGTATGGCCGCAGAAGCGTTGAACCTGCCGAGATCTTCTTCATCGGAGCTTGACGCTGCTGACCGTGGTCCTCCAAACGAAGCACGTGCTAGCACAGGAGTCAGTCGTGATTCGGGCTCATCTGTAGCGGCGTCTCCGGCTGTTAGGATGATGCCAAAGCTCACGATGCCGAAGCTTGCCCAGCTTCCGTTACCTCAGGTCGGCGTTGCGCCTGGCGTTGCGGCAGGACTACCCGGCTCGTATTCACGTCATGATTCGAAATGTTTGAGTAAGTTGTAGTATCCAGTCCTCCAAGTGTTGACGCTGAGAAGTACTGTCCTCGTGTCCAGCAGATTGATTTCCTATGATGATGATCGACTTATTCGATTGATAAACAATTTTACGAATAACGTTCCAATTTCGCCAGCGGAAGCCCTCAATGGAGGACAGGAGCACAATTCCTGTGGATGGTGATGTAAATGTTCTTGCTTAATCCTCGCTATAGTTCTTCATCGCCACCACTATTTCAGAGCTAAGTCATCGAGTCGTAGTGGACTGCATGGTAGTGCGACATCGTCACCGCGATTCCGCGCACCGAAATTGAAGCCCATACAACGTCCAGCAATCGGTTTACCCGCAGCTGCAGCGCCAACACCTTCGATGCCCTCGTCCTCAGGTGGGGCCGCCCCGCCTCCATCAAGCGCTGCATCAAGTAGCAGCGCAATGCAGAGTAGCAATCAGCAATGGACGCGCGCAAAGGTATCGATTTCGAGAGATCGATTGAGCGAATTTGATGCCACCGCAGCAGGTCTTCCGCCTTTTCTGGATTCGAATTCGGAGCATCAGGTTCCCGTCGAGCTTGTTGAGACGAGTAGAGAAGGCTGTGTTAAAACTAGCAACAATAGCACTAATCATAGAGGTCGTGTTCACAATAATCAAGACGATGGGCTACCGCCTGCTGCTTCTCCCACGGTTTCCGAGGAGGAAGAGAAAAGGAAAGCTCCTGATCACTCAACATCGTGTGAACATGTGGATGTGGGAGAGCAACGAAGTCGCATGAGTCGCGATGCACCTGACAACCCTCATGTCGCTTCCTTTCCCAGACCCCCAGACAGCAGAAATGCTGCCGCCGAAGATGCAGGCTCGACGATGTCGTGTTCGCAGGAGGCTGCCCTCGCACAAGGCAGAAACAGGGCTGCACTACCCGCTGCAGCTGCAGGCGTTCCCGTTTTCCTATATTCGCAGGACGGGGGAGAGCAAGAGGATATTCCCACAACTACTATGTCCGCGCCCTCTGCCTCCTCGAGCAAAGAAACCAAGAATGGCACAACTGTGAATGCAGACGATCATATCGTAAAGACGAGCTCCACGACGACATTGCAACCCGATCCTACAGCGACCTCTGGGCCATCTTCTGGAGGAGTAGCTGGTGGGACGAGCAGAAGAAGTGGGCGAGGAGAGCGGAAAACATGGTACGACCATATGGTCGAACAACAACAAGCGGGGACGACGACTTCAACGTCAACCACGAATAGTGCAGGAGGTAGACCTTCAGGAGGGTCTGCATCAACGACATTGGCGCAACGAAGTAGACCAGGGGATGGTTCCCCAGTTATGTCGAGAAGTGGGCCTCAACTGCAACTGCCGTCATCTTCTGGTGCTGGGAGTGGAGGCGCAACAACACAGCTTCCGCTGAATGGTACTAGTTTGCCATCTTCAAGTAGCAGTAGTCCGCGACTGCTAACGTCATCATCGCCGCGTCCACCTGGCTCGGCCTCGGCACGTTCCAACCTGACTACCCCAGACGATACGACTGAGCATGCAGCACCAGCAACAGCGAAACGGGTCAAATGTAGGATCGGCGGTAGAGAAGACGCACGAGTTACTCCTAATATGTCTTCGTCGGATTCCAATGCTGCTGGCGGCACGACCACTACTTCAGCCGCAGCTCCTTCCACTTCATCTTCCTCGCAGACCAAGAAGCTGACGCCATGGCAAAAGGTTGCCATGTACGGAGCTTATTTCATGATCGCAACCGGAAATACGATATACTTCAAGAAAATGACCGACACTCTAGCGAACTACTCCTGGTTCACGACAAACATAACGACCATTATTTTCATCCCGTTCTTCTGCACATTGACTTTCCTCGAAGACCTCGCAGAGAACAACGAAACACCGAAGCAAACGATCCCAAAAAGCAAAACCGCTGTTATGTTAAGGCTCATGAAAAAGAGGACGAGCTGATAGATTTAGATACTCAAAACATTGACATATTTATAATTAGCTGAGTTTTACTTACATTGAGAAAGTGGAATCAGCCGACGGACCTCAACACAAGAATACAGATGGAAAATTATACTCGATGAGTCTACTGTGAACCAGCACCAAGAGTGTCAACTGCAACGAAAGACTACTCACGAGTATCATTTCAAAAAGATTACTCCCTAGCATTTTTCAAGAGGGAACCAAGAAGAGTAACAACATAGATTATCATTATATAGGATTCAGGGCTGCACGTGCACGGTGCCCCTCCCTGTGGTTTGGTCTGTGGTGGCGCGCGCGCGCACTTTTCCACGCTGATTCTCGCGGGTGCTAGTGTTGGAAGGCGTCAAAACTTGGCGCGGGCCTTTCCTTGCGCCTCTCAGCGTGTTCCTGAGGGACCTCCTGGCCTCTCCTGACCCTCGCAGGCGGGAGGTCTCCGGGGTAAAAGGCCGCCGAAGGCGGCCACGGTCGCAAGGGCAAGCAAGCTCATGACCAAGGGCCCGGAGGGTACAGGCTGCGCGGCTCAGGGGGTCCAGCCCCTCGCCTTTTGCCGCCTTCGGAGGCCCTCCACAGCCGGCGCGCTGCTGCGGCGGCGAAGCGTATCGGATGCACTTAGGGCACAGGCAGGCACCTGGGCGGGGGCGCAGGTGGTCCCTTGGGCCCCTTTTGAAGCCTCCCAACTACATCGGAGGCCTGTAGGGAACAGCCAGGCAGCTGGAAGGGGCGAGCGGGGGGGGGGTCACCCGGCCCCCTTTTGAGGCCTTCCACCCCCGGCCGACGCCTTCAAAAGGGGCCCGGGGCTGGACGGTGCCCCCCCTACGGTAGGGGGGGACGCCGTCGCCCCGCGCCCTGGGACATACATATCAAAAGAAATCGATTGATGAAGTGCATCCATTTCCATGCCTTTCGTCTAAAGAGAGGATTACTCGACTCGTGTGCTGGATTAGCGATGGTTTTAGGCGGAGCATATACAGCTGGCGGAACGCAGGTGCTACTTAGTCAGGGAGCGATTCCGGTAACCATAGCGCTTTCGGTCTTGTTGCTGCGAAGAAGCTTTCACATATGCCAGTACGCTGGTGCAGGAATCATAGTTAGCGGAGTTGGTATCGAATAGATCGAGGATAGAGATCAATCGTATTGATGATTTTCGAGGTTCTTTCTGCTCTTTCGCCGCGTCGAGCTATCGATACAACTTTACATCGTTCTCAGACCAATTTTTGGAAGAATATACATGAAAACTAGAATCAACTTTATCCTCCCAGACGCATACCTACAACGATAACCACGAATTATAGTGATAAGCAAGTTGAACGGGCAGACGCATGATGCAGTTGGGGACAATCCGACTTTTAACGCTATATTTGCGTCTTCGAATTTTCCGACTGCGCTGTCGACGATCTACAAGGAGGTTGCCTTCCAAGATATTCCAGACCTTTCAGTAAACCTGATCCAACTCTGGGTGGCAATTTGGCAAGGGGTCTTTAACCTCGTCCTTTGTCCTGTGTACACTCTCAAAATTCTCGGACCCAGGTACTTTCTTATGTAGATTCCATGCTGTGTCCGCAAACACATAGCCTTCCTTGCATCTCGTGAAGCTGCAGCAAGAACCAAAGATTGTGCTACGATTAATACAGGCCGAGTAACATGAAGAAATTCCGGACGCTCTAACAGAAGAACTTCTACTTTAGATACTGCTTGAAACTCCATATCCAGCCAAATCGCATTAGACGATATGCTGCCGAGTTTCGTGAATGGCGCGAAGTGCTATTGGGGCATTGACACCTTGATTCACGACTGCGACGATGGGACGTTTCCGAGGATGCAAGGGGTGCTTTTTCTTTTGTTCTAATTAGACACTATCACTATCTATTCATTGAAGAAAGACAGATTCGAATTTTGCCATCATCAACGTTATTGTTATTCGCACGACTGATCTAGTATCATTCAAGGTAGAGCACCACGAAAGCCACGATATAAAATACACGGAATAACGAGAAACTTGCTATTCCCAGGTGCGACCATGCGACTACTGCGAGAATGCGTTCCGCAACACCAACACGTATGTCACGTTCAATATCCTGTACAACATACTGTGTATGTGTCTTGTGAAATACGGAACTGCAAGCTTCTACTTTGTCATCAACGCAGTGCGACTGCCGATGACGACGATGCTCTTCGCTAGTCCCCTAATAATGGGTGCCACAGCTGTGCCCATGGGTTTGACTGACTGGTGATATTTTTTTTCAATTAGTTCAAGCACAAGCAGGGTTTAGTAGTTTATTTTCCAATCTGTATTTTTATTTTCACTCAACGTCGACTTCACCAACAACCAAGATACAACGACCAAGAAAAGCTGTGATAAGAGGCAGAAGTGAAGCAAGTGCACAGCTAGGAGTAGAAGCGTGCAGTTTCATACGTTTTTGCATCGTCCAGTAGAGGTGCTGCATAGTAGTAGGTACAACACAATTATGCGGCTGCCCATGCTGTACTACTACTTAACATCAGGTTTGCGCTGTTCGTTGTCCTTTTTGGGCTGGTTGTTTACAAGTACGGTTCCCGCCTGAAGAAGAGGTTAGACCGCGCCCGACTGAATGTGCTGCAGGATTTAGAGCGACCGCTTTTGCCCGGCCGAGGCCCGCACCAGGGCACGACTGCAGGAGGAGCGCGCGAAGGAGACAGTCTCGCTTCACTGCCTGAGGATTCGGAGGACAGCCTGCGACGTGCCTTTGGCGGTTTTGTTGGTCCGAATATCCAGGTTTTTGATCCCGCAAGCTTTGAGAAAGACTTTGCTCCACAGTGGATGAAAACTCCCATACAGATCCGCGCCGGCTATATCCAGAAACTGGGCCTTCTGCCACCGGGCAAACCTAGTCCGATAAACAGCCCAAAAAATCCAGACGCTGCACCAGCAGCGGGGACACCTGCGGCTGGCAAGGGTGCCATTACTTTTGACCTTACGGGTGTCGAAAGAGTCTCGCCCTGATGCCCGGCAGAGGGATATGATTCCACCCTGACATCATCACATCTGCCAATCTTTATATATAAGTAGTCCCAACCTCATCATGGTCATCATCATCATCATCATCATCATCATCTCCTTGCTTTCTCGTTCTTCGCGGCCATTGATATTGAACAAAAACGTTATCACAGAACTTTTCAACAGGTACAACAGGTTAAGGTTTAGCTGTATCATGGGCAGGCTTCATCCTGAACTTTCAGAGAGGCTGTTTTTGATCGAGGACGCGATGATCTTCGTCTTGGCCAATTACTTTTTATCAACGTACAACGACAAGTCTAAAAAGCCAACAGTAATAAGAAATGTATTGACAACTAACACAACCAGGGTTGAACGAATAGATCAGCTTTTCTGTCCAGCGTCTTTTGGTGTTGACGCTTCTGCGTAATAAGAGAAAGGAACGCAGCAAAATTACCATTCATTTGAAGATTGATTATCGATTTGATTTTCATAGTGCCTGGCGGCTGGCGCTGCCGGGCACCAGCGCTATTCGAGTAGACCGGTTAATATTTTTACAATATCGAATTGTAAAGGTCCTGCTCAGCAATCCACCCCACTTTGAGCTCCACCGCAGGTCCTAGTCATTCAAGGTCGGGGCGGGAAACATAACAGGACGGCCGTCGTCGACAGTACTTAATTAGGATTCCTTCTCGTTCACGTTCTCCTTCTCTTCTCCATCTATCCCCCTTCCTAAGCAATATGATCTACTAGTACTTGCTTACCACACAGATACAACATATGTATTTATAACAATGCGTCGACATTATCATGATGATCATTAGTGAGTGTGTTGTTGTAACAAGCAGGGGTCGTCAAGAAAAATCAGTAGGTGATTTGATTCAATGTAGTGATTCTTGATATTTTTTTAAGTAGTTCGTTTTCATATTCATCCACCTTCGTGTCATGGTATGATGAACGCTCCGCAATTGTTCTCGCAGCTGAATACTGAGTTTTTGATGACAACATACTTTGATGTCCATATTTTTTCAATTGATAGATAATTTCTGATATTCTTGTCGCGTGCGACACCTGTTGACATCCCCACGCGGCGAAGAATATCAAGTTGAACTACAACAATCAAATGATATTTCTTACTGACATAAGGACATGGTCCATGATTTTGCTTATCGATCATGGATTATCGCTTGTTGGTCTCTAGCTGCGGGGAGGTCGCTGCCATTAGTCAAGAGTAAGCAGGGTTGGCGGCCCTGCCCTCGTGCCTCGTAGGCTGGCGCATAAGAGTGGGACGGTTGGCAGCCGGTGGAAGTTTATATTAATTGATTAATCACCTCCTTTGCCCCTAGTCTTTTCTCCATTTTTTTATCGACGGGTTCTGAGGCAATTAGTGCGCGGTAGTATAAGGAGGCTAATGCACTCCACCCGTCGCCGGCAGGTACACCGGACAACACTGCCTGGGGTCACCCTTTTGGCGTTCTCGAAATACCAAAAAAAAAAGGTGCTTCGTGGAGGCGCCCCGATTGCTTGACTGACTGATCGTTGGATCGTATCAGTAGCTTGGCTATGGGCTATGCTTGTCGGAGATGGAGAATCAGAATCTGGCGTTGGAAGAAACGAGCTCAATACATTTTTTGATAGTTGCGGTCATGATGCGGTGCTTATGGCTAGTTAAAGCTACAGCTGTCTGTTGTTCCCACACTCACAGTCCTAGTACTAGTTCCTCGATGGGGCGCGCTAACTTGTTGGCCAGAAATTTTCAGCAGGTTAGCTAGAGCTATATTGCTGTGGCCATGCACGGGCGCCACACATGCCGCCAAAGCTTAGCCTGCCTGCCTCTCATTCTCGCTCCCTTTGAACGCATTATGTTTTTTTTTACTTCCTGAGTAGCGTGGTTTCTCCATAATTCCGTTTATTCAATTACTCATGCTTCGATTGAGTGCGTGAGTGCATGGAGCGCAGAGCTTTAAGGGGAGCAAGAAGCTCCCCCTTTAGCTCCATGCTACTCCATGTGATCCATGCACTCCATGCCATGCGAGCTGCGAAACCTTATAAATTGCTCTGCATTATAGAGCCATTCTCGTACTTCTCGGCGCTTATCTCACGCTTACCAGTCATTAGAAATGTACTAGCTCTAGCTAGATAGTATCCTGATATACAAACTCAGTTCGAGTTCTTTCATCTCCGTTTGCATCTGGATCTGGGCTGGCTTTTTGATGTTGTCTAGTAAGAACAATACCCATATTCATCGGACTAGCAACACCATTTTTACATGGCTTATCAACTATTATCGGAACTCGTACTCGATCAAAATCCTGACCAAGAGCTGCAGGAGCATCCCATTTGTATCTTTGAAGTTCGCCCATATTTGCAATGAGTTCAACTATGAGCTGCATCGTGGACGCGAAGTCATGATGCCTGCACGGCGCTCCTCTACTAGACGAAGCAATTATCGCATGTTTCATCCGAAAGATCGCGAACCCAAAGAAACAAACCAATGGAGCTGTATGTCTTCCGAACATTCTGATCAAAAAAAGGAAAGAAGCACGTTCACACGATGAAGTTGCCGCTTCGACGCCATTCTAATCTACTTCTGCGCTTGACGGGCCGTTCAGCACGACTGAAACTTTGATCGTGTTCTTGTTCTACATTCCGCACTGCATTCTCTGTATACTAACTTACTTAAGTTCTTGTTGCTGTACTACAACATGCTCGTCGTCCAAGAGATACACAAGAGGTCAGCGACGGCAGCTGAAATTCACGATGCTCATCGAAGTCTACAAGCAAGTTTTCGCCTATGAGACACGGATCATCTACTTCCCATTCATCTCCATCATATTCAACTTCGTCATGTAGTTGTTTACTTTATCCTATCGGTCTACTCAGATTTTTGATGAGGGGACGTTTGATATCTATGATCACAACTGGGAAGATCTTGTGGTTTTTCGACATCAGTTGTCAGCACATAATGCTTTTTTACTTCCAGTAGTCGGACCCGCTACCGGCTGCCTGGTTTTCAATTTTTCTTGCAGAGTTCTTCTGTCCATATTTCTTACATAAGTTGTTGCGGAGTAGTCCACAACACCTTTCCTTGACGCTTTGATTGTGGTCGGACAAATTCTGGTGCTGGCTCTGTTACATTTGTTTCCTCTTGTATCCGACATTTTTGCTTTTGAGTATTTGTTGTTCTAAAAAGCCGTTGACGTTGGCCATTGAGAAAGTCTAATTTTCCATTTTGCAAAATGGCGTTGGAGGAGGCTTTGCAACAGGTTGAGCAGGAACTGCAGGAGAAGGGCTTAGACGGTGCAAGCGCTAGGGACCACTCGGTAAGACGTAGATGGAATTTAAATCTTTATCCATCGTACTCTTTATCTTATGTATCTATACAATATCTTCTCCAGCTATCTTATCGGTAAACAAAATTCCGTTACCCCCACGTAGCTCTACTATGGATGTCATATTGAAATCAAATACGAATAAATAATATGTATAAAAACCAGAAAGAAATATTAACCCTTGTTTTAACTCTTCAGGCAATAGCAGCGCAGCAGCACATTCGGCATACGGAGGAACTCGCAGCCGTCCTAAAAAGAGAGGAGCCAAACAAAGGTTCAAAGACAAAGACCAAAGATTGCGGTGGATTCTCATCAGCGCCTTCAAAAGCTGCTGCAGCAGCAGCAGGATCAAGGGCACCAGCAGCACCTCCAGGGCCGGACTTCAACCTGAACCCCGACAATCTCATGGCAGGGTTTGGCGACTTCATAAAGGATCTAGAGTCTGGAAAGCTTGGCGACTCGGAGGAGATAAAGAATATGGCGAATATGATGCAGGTAAAAGAAGCCGTGAAAGCCATTTCTTTAACATATAATCTTCTGATCCTGATTGTACATAAAAACAAATAGCTACACTTTCTTAATCTAGAGGCATGATTCGTTATTCCATCTTTATACCATAGAATATGAACTCTTTGCCTTTGTTTATGTTTTTCTTAGGATCCGAGCTTCCACGACTTTTTGCAACATTTCGGTGGGCTCATGCAACCACCAGCGTCTGGCAGTACCGCAGCTTCGAGTAGTACCTCAGGGAAACATGGCGGGCCGAGTCCGCAGGTGGGAAAACCGAAGGCAAAACCTGCAGTGAAAGTGAAAAAAGAGGATGTAGCGGCTATGGACGACGATGACATTCTAGCGTGTGTGGACGCTAGCATACGGCCAAAGAAGAAAACCACGGCATCAGGTGCAGCAGCGGTTGCAACCGCAGACGCAAAAGATAAGTCATCAAGAACAGGCCAGAGCGCCGACGCAAAAAGCGATGACAAGAAAGAATCTTTTAGTCCTAGCAAGGACCACAATGATGGAGCTTCATCTAACAAGAAAAATGACGACGCCGCGTCGTCCGAGAAGTCAAAACCAGGTTACAGCGCTGGTAACTACAACTCGTACAACTCGTGGCCAACGTACCCTGATGAAGTAAAACCCGAGGCCGGCCTCTCGGCGGAAGAGATTGCAGCTGATGAGGAAGCGACGCGCGCTCTTCTCAAGAATGTGAGCAAGGCCACAGCAGCTCTCTCACAACCGACGGTGCCAGAAGAGGTACAACCATGGCGAGAAACAGACGGTCTAGACCCGACACTTTATCACGGAATGGTCGACGAACTAAAGAAGTACTACTTGAGCTTAGCGTTACACAACAACAAAACTAAAAAAATGTAAGGAACAACTGGATATGGAAGCTCCTATCAATCTTTCTCAGACGATTCGCCAATTCCTCTAGTATACTTCTTTGATGTATATTAAGTATAACTACAACTTGTGGTTGTGCTCAAGGTCAAGCTCATAACTACCATGAGCAACAACTTCAACTTATACTACAACTGCAGGATGATCACAGGCGATCCGAGTTTGGCTGAGTCATTTGAGACCATGCTGCAACAGATGTTGGGGAAGAATGTAATGCACGAAGCAGTTTTTTCCGTCCTGCTGCATCTGGAACCATGGCTGAAAGAGAATCGGGAATCGCTTAGTACAACGGAGGTCGAGCGCTATGAAAAAATGCTTGCATGCTATCGAGAGTACTTAATTATTTTGAGCAATTTTATTTCGAGTTCAACTAATGATGTGAAGATTTCATGTTCAATCTGCTTAATAAAAGATTGTAAGGGGGAAGGGAAGATCATGTTGAGGAAGACGATGATAATAAACAGGTACGCTCACATACTGTTACAATTTATATCGCCACAGGTGCAACTCCTGCTTTCCACACGAACTTGAATAATTAAGCAGTTTCTGCTTGTTCCCAGAAACACCTACACTCACAACAAATTCAGGGTCTCTGTGTTGTATGAGCGACAGAGCCGAGACGCGCCAAGCGACTTGGCAGCTGCCGAGTTCAAACGGATCGAAGAATTGATGACAGAACTGCAGCAATACGGCGAATTACCGCCACAAGTGATGAATAAGATACACGAAGCTGGTGCCGCAGCCATGAATAAGGATTTCATGAAGGAAATGGAAAAGAAGAATGACGGTGCTGCCAAGCCAGGAATGGCAGGCAAACCAGCAGGAGCTTCACAATCATCTTCATCGGCAACGACCTCCTCGTCCAGTAGCAGCAGTAATTCTTCTTCTAGTAATGGCAAAATCAAAACTGCAGGAAAACACGAAGACAAGACCAAATATGGCTTTGACAAAACGACTGTGAATAAAAGCAGCTCATCAACAAGTGGGCCTAGCAGTGGCGAACAGGACCAGATGATGGCCATGTTCCAAGAGGCATTGCACGCACAAGGTGGTATGAAGGATGGGTTGTCAGCCGAGGAACAAAAAGAGTTCGATACGATGATGAACACCATGCTCAAGGAACTCTCTGGAATCACACCTGCAGCTCCACCCAAAACAACTCCAACGACTGGCAGCATGACCACTGGTACTTCTGCGGCCAGCTCGTCCTCAACAGCAAGCAAGAAGAGGGATGACGCTTCAACTTCATCACCATCAAAAGCTGATAAAAGCGCCACTAGTAGTACTGCTACTGGTACTAGTTCACCTCCAACTTCTTCTAGTAGTTCAGTCCCAGCAGGAAAAAATGTTGCAGGTAGTGCAGCACCAGCTTCCTCCTCATCTGCTCCTGTGCAATTGCCACCGACTGGAGGCGCAGCGCGTGCTGGCCTCGACGCAGGCTGGGACGCATTTTTGCAGAAGATTGTCGCTGATGTGGACGCACAGTCAGATGGCAATCCCTTAGGCGATCTTGCCCACCTGCAAAACGTTTTCAAGCGAGAGTTCGGTGATACTGATCCGGAGGTCGAGAAAATGATCTTTGGACCCAGTGGGCTACTGGGCTCCGTCATGACCACGACAGATGCAAACTCTAGTTCACCTAGCAGTACGGCAATCAAAACTGGTGCATCTTCGTCTTCGTCAGGTGCAACTACTAGCCCTTCTGCTCGAGGGAAACCTGGAACAGACGAAAAAACAATAAACGCAGACCGTAAAGAAGATGACGTCAAGCCAATAGAGAAAAGCCAGGACAAGGTTGAAAACTCCAAGAAGCTCGCACCAAAATCGCGTTCAAATAAAGAACCCGAAAAAGATGCTGAAGGTGCGACAGATGACGGACTTGATATTCCAGAAGACTGGAGAGCACCTGCAGGTGCACCGAGTAGCGGCTCTGGGAATGGCCAAGATTGCAAGATGCAATGAGATCACTGCGACAAGCGTCTTCTCGTAGCTTGTTGAGGCTTGCCGTCAGCAGAAGAGCTGCTCAGTTTTTCTTCTTTTCAAGTTATACCGACTACGCATGTGCATGAAGCCCACTTCGTCGCTTTCATGTCCGCCCGAATATTTCGCCTTGTTGTAGACGCTGAGCGCCCGGGTTTATGTTTATTTTCTTAATCCTCATTGCTCCCATCTCAGACATTGGTTACAAATTTGTAACACAGGAATGGGGACGTAGAGCTAGAATTTCCCACGTATTAAGAAGGCATTGCCATTTAAACGCAATAATATCGAACCCCTATTCCATTGGTCTTGTTTTTATCGATCTTTCAGATTTGACATGCTATGCTAGGCGTATATTTTTTCAAGGGCTGACACAGCAGGTGTATTGGAAATCCTGCTAACTACTGACGCGCATCGACGACTTAGCAGGAGATGCGCCTTGGATTCTATAGCGGCTTTATGATCTATTGCGTTGCGCTTTGGAGTTCCGATCTCATGCAGCCTGCCTCTGTGTCTGAGGTAAGATGAATACAGAGGAAGTACGAGCAACGAGAGCGAAGGCGAGAGAAAAGAAGAAGAAAGTAGTGAGCCAATGACTGAATATAACAACGTGTGAAGGAGGTATAGATGAATAGAAGGTAGTGCAGAGATACTAGAGATAGTTCTGCCTCAATAACAAGCTGATCAATAAGAGCTTCAAAACTATGGGTATTTTTTCCACCTGTTGTGGTGGTAGTACGGCGCAGAATGTCGTCGCACCTATCAAGCCACCCATGACAACGTCCGCAGGCGATGATACGCCTATGAATACGACGCTGCTCGCCACCAACGATGGAGAAACCATAGGGAAAAATGACGCTTCATTGCTCAATAAGCTTGGCGGAGATGAACTAGCGGACGATAGGCACGTATCAACATCGTCACAACAGGAGATTAGCAGCTGTGATAACGTAGGGGGTGGCAACACGACAGGAGGTGTAAAATTGGCTCGTGCAGATGAGCCTGCTGCAATAGTTCCATCAGTTGGCATGCCATCATCAGACGACGCAGCGCGAGATGGTGATGCAGCAGAAGCGGCTGCTGCGCCTCCAGGTACTTCTGTCGTAACTACTACTGGCTAAAAAGATATAGACTATTAGTGAAGCACCGCGTACACGACGCTGACATGATCTATGTTATATTCCTGAAACCATATGCATATACATAGGAATATCCAATCAAACTCCTGAAAATGAGATTCACATTCATGATATTCAGGAGCAACAAATGCCGACCCGGGAAGAGGTGCCACGAGATCTCAAGTAGGGAATAAAACAGTTTCTTTTGCAGAAAGGAGGCAAAGCGTTGAGGCCCTGGAAGGTACTTTCACATGCCTTTGCAAACTCTGGCTTCTTCCAGATTTGGTGATGGTTTTGTCTTACATCTCCTCATCAATCTCATCTTTATTTTATTCTAACACGCACGGCTAGGCTTTGGCCTTCACGCTCAGCAGGATCAAAACTCTGAGTGTACTACTATTGCGACAATTTATTTGCATAAACGGCCGACCATGTTGCAAATGCAACTCGTTTATACACGACCATCACCAATACCTGTACGCCAAACAGGAAACGTGATGATAGCAAGTATGGTACTGTCAAACGAGTGGAACCAAGAAAATCCAGAACTAGAGGTGCCAGCGTGGTTAAAGTACAGTCTCCAGTCAGCTGCGGAACAGGAAAGCTCCGGCTTCGGTTCCGACTCATCAGACGAGGAAGATGTGTCCAAAAATACACGCGAAAATGCAAAGAACCCATAAAAGATAAGGGTGTACGACACTGTAAAATCAAGATGCACTGATTCACGGTGAAAAAAGTAAATGTGGATTGTCATTGTGGACCGATTATTTGATACTAAATTTGGGCTCGTTCTTCAGAAGGGGTAGCTGCCTGTAGAAGGGAAAGTGATATAACAGGAAACATGACCCTAATAAATTATTATATCTGTAATAGTCTCACGCAAACGCATCGTGGGACGACATGTGCATATGGTGTCATACTCTTGAGCTGCCTACAACTAAAGCGACTATTAGAACTTCTTAGTAAATCGGATCTTCTCGTCACTGGACGCAGCTTACAATATTGTCTCTCATACATGCGTAGGAGTAGTTGAAGTATCACTACACAGACGGCACCTCAACCCTTTTATAATTTTTGTTTTTCAATATTTGGAGGCAGCATCAACAAAGTCACAAAATGTAAATGAGCAAGCTCCTCCATAAGACTGTATGAATGTAGTTGCATTAGGTAGATAAAAGTTGAAGTGATAACTTGAACAGTATTTCCGTGCACGCAAAAAACCAGTATGTAAAGCCGTAGTTTTATCTCAAATGCTATGTATTGTACAGTAGTCTCCTAAATTAATAGCTAAAATACTCTTAATGATAGATGAACACAATAGAAAGAAAAAGATGAACGTGCAGCCATTTTAAGATTGGTATGACATTTCTTGCTCTAGTACAACTTGTTACAGATTATACTCGAAATAATGTCTCACGTCTGGTCTGAAGTAATTTTGACATGGAACCACGACTACCTCTACAACAACCACACTCGTAAAACTCACAAGAACAGTAGACTCACAAGACCAGCAGTACTAGGCGTGGTCATTGGTGAGCGGAAACGGACTACAGAAGGAATCGCCCTGATGAGCTGCAGGAGCGAAGCACCATTGCTTCTTCTTCTTCTTCTTCTTTTTCTTCTTCGTCTTCTTCTTTCGCGGCCTTTTCCGACAAGCGCGTCTGTGCGGCGCCGACTCTGATTGCTTTTGTATAACTAAGTCTTCAACGCCCGTCGACACCTTGATTGTACACAAAGGCATCGCGCGATGGTGATCCAATCCGCCTCGTGTTTTGTTGGTATTGTCAACGTCACTACTTGTACTTGAACAAGATGAAAATACAAACAGAATGAATGTATATCACTCTGTAATTATAGTTTTTATATCAAGACATTTTTTGGTGTTCCTGCGAGCTAATTCACCTCATTTTCGACAGAAGTATCAGAGATGTCGTCGTCAGTGTCGTCGTCCTGTTCTTCGTCTGGTGCTCGCCTCCAGCACTTTGCCACGTCAACGTCATCCTCGTCAACGCTTTTACGACCCGTGTTGCCAACTGGTCCAAAAGTATTGCAGCATGCGGACGCAGCGAAACAAGGGCGCTCGAAGCCACGACCACCAGGGACAGTTCCGGAACGCCTTGTTTTATCCACTGTTGGAAGTGGCGGCTCTTGTCCAACACCCGACCAGGATGCGGTCCTTTTTTCGAGTCAGATCAAGGGCCACCACGACCACACGAAGATGCAACCGAGCAGGAATATGCTCTATCCCTCGAATAACACGACGAAGCCTGATGTGCTGCGCGAGTTATCGGCTTCTTCGAAGGATGTTCACGGAGTTGGAGTCTCTTCATCTCGACCGGAACTATACGTTCCGAAAACGAATCGCGGAGTGGTTTCAAACGCGCAGCTACGCGAAGCCACGCGCATGAACCCGACACAAATACGGAATCTGTTGCTCGCAGTGGCAACAAAAGCGCCAGATGATCGTCGAGTTTGGGACGTAGCGACGACCCGCTTGATGAAAATGGACCAAATCCTGTATTTTTATGGCTCGTCTCCTGCAGCAACAACTACAACTTACATATCACACCTGCCTGCCTCAAAACAACTCATTTCAGGATCAACAAATACTGCCATACAAATTGCAGATTGCTTTAAAGAAGCAAGAGACCGGCACCGACTAAAAGTATATATGTTCCAGGGCGCGGGGCGACGCCCCCCCCCCCAGCGGGGGGGAGGGCCGGGCGCCCTGGACCCCTTTTTTGAGGCCTCTGCCGGGGGGGAAGGCCTCAAAAGGCCCCCCCCACCCCCCCTGTCCCCTTCCAGGTGTTTGGGACCCCCTAGAGGCCTCGGACGTAGGTGGAAGGCCGCAAGAGGGCCGCAAGGGAGGCCGCCTCCGCTTCCTCCCAGCTGCTTGGCTGTCCCGCAGAGGCCTCCGACGTAGGTGGAAGGCCTCAAGGGGGGCCAAGGAGCTCCCTGCCTCCTTCTCGTTTGCATGTACCCTACAGACTGGAGGGCTTGGATGGCAGCAGTGCACCGGCAGCGGAAGGCCTCCGAAGACGGCAAACGGCGAAGGGCTGGACCCCCTGCGCCGTGTCGCTTGAACCCGCCGGGCCCTTGGTCATCGGCTTGCCAAGTTTTGACGCCTCCCAGCACTAGAATCCGCGAAAAATCCGCGCGGAAAAGCGCGCGGGCGCGCCACCACAGACCAGACCACAGGGGGGGGGAGATGGGGGGGCCGTGCGGCCTTGGATCATATGACTCCGGGCTGAACTCCCCCCCCCTCCAGTCCCCCCCCTGTGGTCTGGTCTGTGGTGGCGCGCCCGCGCGCTTTTCCGCCCGGATTTTTCGCGGATTCTAGTTGTGGAAGGCGTCAGAACTTGGCGCGGTCCTCCCCTTGGGCCTCTCAGCGTGCTCCTAAGGGCCACGGTCGCAAGAGCAAGCAAGCTGATGACCAAGGGCCCGGAGGGTACAGGCGGCACGGCTCAGGGGGTCCAGCCCCTCGCCTTTTGCCGTCTTCGGAGGCCTTCCGCTGCCGGTGCATTGCTGCGGCGGTGAAGCCTAACGGATGCACTGAGGGCACAGGCAGGCACCTGGACGGGCGCGCAGGCGGTCCCGTGGGCCCCTTTTGTCTGTAGCCATCGAACCCTCCAGCTCCAAGTCTGTAGGGCACAGGCAAACGAGAAGGAGGCGGCGAGCCCCTTTGTCCCCCCTTGAGGCCTTCCACCTACTTCCCAGGCCTCCAGGGGACACAAAGCTCCTGGAAGGGACCGGGGGGGCCCCTTGGCCCCCTTTTGCGGCCTTCATCCCCCGGCAGACGCCTCAAGAAGGGGTCCTCCAGGGCGCTCGGCCCCCCCCTGCCCCGCGCCCTGGAACATATATGATCCAGGGCGCGGGGCGACGGTAACCCCCCTAGCGTGGGGGGGGGCACCGTGCCGCCCCGGCCCCCTTCTTAAGGCGTCTGCCGCGGGTGGAAGGCCTCAAAGAAAAGGGGGCCAGGTGGCCTCCCTCCTCCGCTCCCTTCCAGCTGCCTGGCTGTTGCCTACAGGCCTCCGGTGTAGGTGGGAGGCTTCAAAAGGGGCCCAGGGGACCCCCTGCGCCCCCGTCCAGGTGCCTGCTTGTGCCCTAAGTGCCTCCGATATGATTCGCCCCCGCAGCAGGGCGCCGGCTATGCAAGGCTGGCCTCCGAAGGCGGCAACAGGCGAGGGGCTGGACCCCCTGAGCTGTGCGGCTTGTACACTCAGGGCCCTTGGTCATCGGCTTGCTGGCTCTTGTGACCGTGGCCGCCTTCGGCGGCCTCTTACCCCGGAGGCCTCCCGCCTGCGAGGGTCAGCAGAGCCCAGGAGGCTCATTGGGAACCCGCTGAGAGGCGCAAGGGGACGCCCGCGCCAAGTTTTGACGCTTTCCACCATGATTAGAATCCGCGAAAATCAGCGCGGAAATGCGCGCGCGCGCGCCGCCACCGACCTTACCACAGGGGGGGGCACCGTGCAGCCCTGAAACATATGTGGCCCACGGCTCAGGGTGACGGTGCCCCCCGTAGCGTAGGAGGGGGCGCCGGTAGCCCCGGGCCCCTTTTGGAGGCGTCTGCAGTGACATCCTCCGCTCCCTTACGGCTGCGTGCTTGGCTGTTCTCTCGAGAACTTCGGCGTAGGTGGAAGGCTTCAAAAGAGGCCCACGGGACCGCCTGCGCTCTCTTCCAGGTGCTTGCTTTTGCCCTACGTGCTTCTTAGATGTTTCGCTTCCGCAGCAATGCGCCGGTGGTGGAAGGCCTCTGAAAGCGCCAAAAAGCGAGGGGCAGGACTCCCTGAGCTGTGCGGCTTGTACCCTCCGGCCCCTTGGGCATCGGCTTGCTTGCTCTCGAAACCGTGGCCGCCTTCGGCGGCCTCTTACCCCAGGGGCAGAGACCTCCAGCCGGTGAGGGTCAGCAGAGGCCAGGAGGTCCTTGAGGGACATGCAGAGAGGCGCAAGGGGACTCCCGCGCCCAATTTGGACGCCTTCCACCAGAAGAATCTGAGGGACTGCCAGTCGGAAAGGCCTCCAAACGCCCACCTCCGGCCCCTTCTCGCTTCTTGCTTGGACCCTACAGCGCCCCCACCCCCGAGGCTGTTGAAGCACCGAAGGCCAGGGGTCGAAGGCTTCTGAAGGGGGCAAAGGTGGCAAGGCGGGGCCCCCTTTGGCTTGTTGCGTGTACCCTACTGACCTCCAGGGTGCTGCTCCCTTTAAAGATTATGGAGGCAAGGGAAAGGTGGAATCTCGCCCCACCCGATCGGTGGGCGCATCAAGTCAATTCACGGAGGCCGTCCCCCTGATAGGGTCCAAGAGTCGGGACGCCTTTGGGGTCCTTACACGTGGAGAGCCGCCAGGAGCCTCCGGCCTCGCCTTTTGAGGCTTTCGCCCCTGGAGGCCCTTACATGTCACCACCGCGGAAAGATGGGCGCGTGGACGCCGCCCCCGCTCCATCCACAGGGAGGAGGCCCCCACCCCGGGAACATATATACATACACAACGTATTGATCTGCTACTGCTTTAGCTTTTTGTTGGACATGGAAGTGGCCATTTGTTGATCTAATACCCCGATGCGATCGGCGTGTTGAAGGCTTTTGCGGTAGCGCAGAGACCGGTGTCTGAGGAGCTGTTTCAGAAATTGGTGGAGGACGTGGTTTCGCAGGCATCGCGGCTGGCCGTTCCGCATATTCTGCAGATGCTTGAGGTCTGCGAGCGGTTTGGTACGAGGCCGCAAGTGCTCTATGTGGAGTTGTTTCACCACATTATCCGGTTAGCACCCGCCATGTACCCAGACGAAATGGTCCAGGTGTTTCAAGCCCTGGTGCGTTTGGAATTGCAAAACCCATATCTGCTGAAGGAACTGCACAAGTTTGTGCTTGTCCACAAAAACGAGTTCCGGTTTCTGCATCTCTGTGCACTGCAGTGCTGTCTGACGGTGTTAGGACAGCGCGTGACGTCCACGAACAAATCCCAACCTGGTATGATGTCAGAGACTGAAATCTCAGATATAATCGGCTATGCGGATGTTCCAGCGGTTCTTGCTGAGCGAGCAAAGTTTGAGACTGACGTACTTTCAGTGGAAGAGATGTACGAATGCATCTGCAAATTTGCATCAATGGAATTTTCGTATAGACCCTTTGAGGAGTTAATGTGGTCTTCTTTTCTCTATCGCCTTGAGCACGAGATGCCGACCGCACGCGAGATCGATCAATTCGCGGACCCCTTCGCAGTGCTACGCATGCTCTACGGGAAGGACTTGTTGACGCCGCGGATTGCCCAGTCCTTCGCGCGCTGGGCATACGACGCTTCGTATAGACCAAACACATTGTCCCAGAAGCGCCCGAACGCGCGTGACTTGGTTTTTCTCCGAACGATCCTGGAATTACAGCCTTCAGTCGCGCATGCGCCCGTCGAGCCTACTGCCGCGTGCGCTCTCGACAAGAAATTGACCCGAATAGTAATGGCTAGACGCGCTGAAAAAATCTCTAGTACTCTGCGCGAAAGCGACATCAACCCTTCATGCAGTACTTCCTCATCTACTCCTCTAGAAGTCTTTTCACCATCGTCCTCGGCTTCGTCGCCGTCTCAGCACGAACCCTACTCTAGTTCTAGTACTCCTGGAGCTAACGAACTTGAGCTATTTGACCGCGCAGAGGTGCCTCGCTGGTTAGAGCAGAAAGGTGGTCCGAGCGTAGCGTCAGAAAATCCACGCGGATCGATTGAGGACATTCTTGCTGCTCGCGCACAAAGCGCGAGGATCGCGGCACACTCGTCCTCTCATGAGCACGATATCAACTCCAATGCTTCATCTCCTTCATCTACTACAACTAGAAGTGTCAATGAGAGAGATCCCCGGATTAAGCGAGACGGGCTGACGGGCAAGAGGTTGCGAGCTATGGGTAAGGTCAACAACAGCTCCGTACTAAATCACAATTAAGGCCATCCCATGTTGACTATGCTGAGTGCAGTACCGCTTGATTTACAAGGGAAAATTGGGGCAATAAGGGGAACTCACTCAACCAGGCATAGTGAAAAACTAGCGTTAACCCAAGCGAACCGCGGCTGAGTTGTGTGCACTTGCGGTCCGAAATTTTGTCGCGTCGCGAGGGGGCCAACAGCGCACGCAACTGAAGAAGCGACCGATACAGTATCAAAAAGGCCGTCTGTATTGGAAACTCGCTGACGCTTGTGAAGGACGGAAGATCGCAAAAGTCGAGGCATCTGCCGCAAAAGCCGCTTTCAAAGATGAAAAAACAGCATCTTCCGCAAGAAGTGAGGAGATGAAGGGTCGTGTGGAAAGAAAAAGCATCTTCCATATATCAGCGAGTACAACAAGGAGAACAGCAGCATCGTCTTCATCACCGAGATCAGCCTCATCAAGAAAATCCACATCGTCCACCCTGTATGATTCAAGTTCGAAAAGCCAAGGGAATGGTAATATCTCGTCGACTCCAGTTGTTGCGCCTGCGGATACAAGAAAAGCTGGTTGTAAAGATAGAACTAAAATTCGAAGTAGCTTTGCTCTGCTTGGAAAATTCTCCGAATATGCGAGTAATGTTTCAATGACCGACAAGAAGGCGGTCACTGCGCAATTGCTGTGTATGTCCTCTCCATTTGAACGATTCATGGCTGCGACCGAACGTGATGCTCAAGCAGCTGCGGAAGTCAGTATACCTCCTCTCAAGTCGTCGTCGTCGTCAAGTCCCTTAGCTAGTGAAGCTGCTCCTGCTCCATCTTTGAGTTCTGATGACTCTATACTTGAGTCACTGCTCAAACGAGTTGCAAAGGAGCCAAGGCCTGGAGGAGCTACAACAGACGCTAGTGGGAGACGAAAAATGAAACCGGTTCAGATAGAGTATGCAAATCCTTTAGAGGCTTTTTTGAACAACGATCCCAATGGAGTGCCTGACCGACTGACAGACGATATCCGCGAGCGATCTTCATTCCTGTCCCGAACTCACTTAGACCGGATGGCTATGCCGGATCATCCAGCCTTGCGATATAGGCGTGGAAGTTACATTCTGCGGCGAGGGCCAGAAGCGACGCGGCAGGAGCGCAATCCACTCGACATTCTCGCCAGAGCCAGGGGACAGGTATTGTTGATTATAACCCTTGCTTTTCACCGTGATCAATCAGGGCCACAAGGATTAAGCTTGTGAACATTAGATAGTCAAAAAAACACTCCACTTGAGATGAAAAAAATCCTGACTAGGCCTAGGGCCACAAGGATAAATCAAATTGTCGAGGAAAGAGCGAAAAATTACAATAATGCACCTCCACGCTCACACATTTTTGATACATGTCCTTGTCCTCCTATCAGGACCATACCGCAACCGAGAGTGCGTTGATGTGGTCTTTTGAGCGTCAGGAGTTCGTGGCGGGGCAACCTCTGCGTCGAACGTATAGACAGCGTGTGCTGCACAAGCAGTATAACAAACGACCGTATCCAGCGCATGTAATGGGTGGCGAAGTTGATCCCATACTCCATCGCCGCTTGCTCGTCCGCCCTTACATGCTTGGAAATCTGACGACCTACTACACGACACGTCGTGGACCAAAGAGAAACATGATTCAGGCGAAGTAGTAGAAAGTCTATCGATTTTTGCTTTTTCTTCGGATTGATAATCATATTCCCGATGTAAGATCGTGTTCACACCTGTTTTTAATGTTTGAAATTCTGATTCCCATTTTGCTCCATTCTTGCAAACACCATAGAGGTCAGAAAAATGCGAAAGTTCGCAGGATTGAGAATCCATTTTCCCATCCGAGATCAAACAAAAAGGCTAAGGAAGCGTGCTGAACACAGAGCTAAGTAATCTGATCTGCTCCGGCAAACATAAAGAAATATCAATGCACAAAATATACTTCTCTTCGTCCAGCTGCAAAATGAAAAGTCTGTTCGCTGAAACGTGATCTTGCTGGTCTTGCGTTTAAGTAACTGCGAAAAGGGTGTCAAATGGTATCCCTTGCAGTCCCTCAGAGCTCCCTCACCGTCGTAAAATTATAATTTGACAAAGATCTTCTTCTTCATCTTCTTCCTAATTTTAGTTTTACTGAGTCGTCCGAAATGGAAGGGAATTCGATGATACTTTTTCATGCCTCAAGGACCTCAAATTTACTTACGTTTGTTTTCCACCTATGCAGCTAATCTTTTTGATCTACATTATTCCCACCGCACTAGGTAAGCCTCAACGTAACCAAAGAAACGGGCAACGCAAACACAAGCGGCATAAAAGAGATTCCTGTGGCACAACAACAAATCGCTTCAGAAAGTTGTCTTTCCCACAAATATCTAGACATACTACTCAAGAAAGACCTGGAGTCTGAAATCACGACTGAATCGCGTACCGGAATGTGGACGAACGAGAGCATTTGCCCCTACCGCAAATGGTATTCATAAGACACATCATAATGAATAAGAAACTACAAACCCGCTGCGGAATTATGGATAATTACACGGTGCAAAATTATCGCTGATGATCTAGTATCATCCTTGGAAGAGCATGAAAGAACAAAAAGATGCACTCAAAGTGATTTATGTACTACGCAGTGGTGGTAAACTTTTTTAGTTTCAGTTCATCCTTCCAGCCTGTTGCCATTCGCTGGAACAGTGCTGGTCATTGCAACACTCAACAAAACTCAGGGACAACTTAGACAGAGTTGAAGGTGCTGCAGCTGCAGTGTATGAAGACGCTGGCAAAAAGTAGCAATTAGACGAGATTACATTGGGAAACGGAATTTAACATGATTTTGCTGCCTCGTTCAAAAACAGGTCAGACTCAGACACAGACTTTCCCTTCAAGAAGATCGAAGAAAATGTCCTGCTCTTCAGACATGATGCCGCTGCACAAATGTGTTAATATATAAATACTTTCAAAATTTCATCTTGAACAACTTGAAATTGAATACTTCTAGAGCTAGACAAAGATCTTTCTTTATTAAGTATCTACCAATTCAACTTCTAACGTTATCGATGTCCTTTGCTGAAACTGAAATCAGTGAAGAAACAATTTTTTAGGCGCAATTGTAACGATGATGTTTTGGTGTTTGAGGTAGATTTTTTGCCTTCATACATGAGATAGCATTGATTTGTATCATCTGAAGTCCTTGTACTAGAAAAATACGTGATGCACCTGAACATGTTTTCATTTCATCATTAATAAGATTTTCGAAAATGGTTGAGAATTGTGTGTATGTCCGCAACCTGTCGGCGGAGGCTACGGAGCCGACGCTGAGAGCTGAATTTCAATCATGCGACCAGGTGACCGCAGTGAGATTCCTCCAATTTCCGAACAGCAATGGGGTTTACGCGCAGATCTGTTTTGCCACATCGACAGGGGTGACGGGCGCCATGAACGACAAACAAGGCAAGACTTTCCAGGGAGTCCCGATGACGTACCATTTTTTTCTTTTAGCGAAAATGTTGTGGTGATTATCAAATGGAGTTTCGGTTTAGAAGTTACCTACTGCGACGCATTGTTGAATGCATTGATGTCTACTTTGCTACTTCCTAGTACGGACAAAATTATTAGCGTCTATATGCCTGGCAACTACTGAATTTTCTTTTAGCTTCATCAATATTCACTCACTTTCATAATTTTTAACTTGCTTCTACAACAAGAACAACTACGTGTTTACACCCTCATTTTTGACGCCGCTTAACAGGGTCGAGATAATGGACCCTGCCGCACCAAAGCCTGGGTCGACACCGGCACCGCCAGCGAGCACATCAGCAGGGGGCGCTGGGACAGCACCCGGAGGCGGACTCCTACCGCCAGGACAAATGGCACCCGAACAGCTGACTGAGGCACATCTCTATTTTCCAAATGTGTGAAATAAAGTAATATGATGTATATTGTATATTAGATTAGGGCTGTCGTTGTTGCTGAGATGAAGATATTCGCTAGTAAGCAATTATGATGGAGTCTTCTTCTCGATGTCGATTTACTTCTGCTCAATCTCCACCCTTTGCATGAACAATGTAAAAACGCCAATATCTTCAGATGCCAAGTGCGTTGAAGGTGCCTACGGCCGCGGACATGAGGAAGGAGCGCTTGTCGAGAACAGTGTGCATGTGTCCCCTGCCTGCTGGCGTCGACCTGCAGCTACTCTTGGTATTCTGCCAGGTTTTTGGAGTCGTCAAGGATCAACGAATTGAGGAGGCTGACGCTAATGGACAGAGGTTCGCACTGGTCGAATTTGCGGATAAAAAGTCCGCAGAAGTTTTCCTGAATCCTGGCGCTCACGAGATGACAGCTGCGGAGTCGGACGAGAAAGTTAGCGTGAAAGTGGAACCCGCGAAGGACGTTGTCAGCACAGTGGGTCTTGAAGATCAAATGAACATTCCGAAAGTCGATCGAGATTCCCTGAAAGACAACAAAAAGCTCGGCGCGGTACTACTAAGGTTTTTTTTTCTTTGTGACTCACTGCAAGGAACTGTCATTGGCAAATTTGGTAATTATAGGTAAATTACTTTGCATGTTGGTGTTGTAGTTGTTGTATTTATCCTTGGTGATAATGCCAGGCCTAAATGTAAAGTGAACCACAAGAATAACTGCGTTCGACATTGTCTCTATGTTATGAGTTAACTCAATTGCCACAGGTCCTCGCAAATTTAAGTGGTGGTCTCAGTTTCGGAGGGAGAGCTGCAACGGCATCGAGCACCGCAGCCCCCGCTGGTGCGCTGGTTGATGCGAATAAGCGGGACAAAAAGCGAAGCCGAAGCCGAAGTAGATCGCGTCGCAGCAGGTCTGACTCGAGAGGAGGTCGACGACCCCGGCGCAAGTCGTCCTCAAGATCTCGTAGCCGTAGCAGTAGCGGAAGTCGCAGCAGGAGCCGCAAGAGAAATCGAAGCGACAGCCGCAATCGAGGCCGCAGAGGTCCTCTCGGGAAGAACAGGAGAAACGATAGTCGCGGCAAGGGACGCGGCGGCCGAGCCCCACGTGGGCGCGGCAGAGACAGCAGGGGCCGCGGGCGTAGCGACCACTACCGCGGTGGCTACCGCGGCGGTGGTGGCGGCTACAAGGGCTACGGCAAGGGCAAAGGTGGAGGATACTACGGTGGCAACTACAACGATAAAGGCCGCGGCGGGAAAGGAGGCTTTAGAAGAGAAGGAAAAGACGCATATCGAGGACGGGATCGAGACTCCTCACCGTTCTATCGCAAATTTCAGTTCGAGGGAAACGAAAACAAAGCAGATGAGGAACGCACACGAAGTGGAGAAGATAGACGCCCCAACAGGCGGGGGGCCGAAGACCGTAGTCCGAGCGCCCGTCCACGAGGACGCGGGCATTCGAGGGAGCGAAGCACCGGAGGATCTCCACCAAACAATCAAAAAGCAAATGAACCACGCGGACGCACAGGTAGCAGAGCCAGGGGGGACACTAGTGATAGAAAGAGAGATGCTAGAAACGATCAGAATCGAGAAGTAGATCGCGATGGTGAGCTTGCTGCCTCTTCAAGAAACATCGGAAATAGAGGTGGAAGACCTGTCGTCGATCGTGAAGAGAACATCGAAGATGCCAAGCATAGCAAAAAGAAGTCTCCAGGTGACAAGCCGACATCACCACGGAGCCGCAGCCTAGATGAGGAGCGCGCCAACGGAAAAGAAAAGCAAAAACGACGAGGCAGTCCAGACGCACGACCAGGGTCGTCATCTCCAGCTGGCCGTCGAGGTAGAGACCCCGATCGTGAAGACAAGCGAAATACTAAAGCCCCTAAAAACCGAAAAGAGCAACCAGCCGCACCTGCGCGTGAAGCATCACGCTCTGCATCGCGTTCACCACCTGCGAAGCGCAACAAGAAGGCTGCGCGAGAAGAATCCAGGTCAGTGTCGAGGAGATCGGAACCGCGGGAAAAGGCACCGCGGAAGCACGAAAAGCCATCAAAAAAGAACATGAAACACGCAAAAAACGACGATGTGTCATCCGTTTCGCCAGCACGGGATCGGAAAAGCAAAAGGAACAAAGGAGCGGCTGCAAGGACAGCTGAAGTAGAACTCGAGTCCGTGCCCAGAAAAGAGCAGGTACCTGGCAGTGCTTCTACACATCGATAAACTATTGCTGTAACTCCACTGGTCAGAACACTGTGTGCTTGTGAACTTCGATTTTCCCACACATTGGAAATTTTCATCTATCAACTAGCAAAAAAAGCATCAGCAACAATTTTCATAGTTTGCAGTGATATTTTTACCTTTGTCTTGTTGACTTTCGTTGGTGTCCTCTGATGATGAAAATGAAACATTTACGTTGTAGTTTGTACCTTACAAATAACCTTTCTAGCAGGTAAAGAAGAAGAAAAAGAAGACAGCTCGGGATGACGAGTCAGAGGAAAGGCGAGATAGGCGTAGCGAGTCACCAGAAAAAATCAAAAAGCAGAAAAAAGCAAAGAGAATGAAAATGCGTGCTTTTAGCGACGACGAAGATTAACCTTCTTCCAGCGTAGCCACGAGCTCTCTTGTTCAGTTTGCGCTGCCGTTGGATGATAGGAGGTGAAGGTGGGTGCGTCTGGATTATACTTCGTCCAGATGGATTCTTCGAGTAGCAGCACACACCAGCACCTGGGTGAAATCATTTGCTTGTGCTGGCAATTGTTGCGAACAAATTCCAACCAACATTCAGTGGGGATTCAATCACTGCACGAAGAAAGCTCAGACGCGACTATCTATTACCGTCCGCTTATCCGATATGAAATGTCTATATTCCCTTTCCCGACGTTCCAATTTTGAAGCAGGATCTCGCTTTCTTTTTCTCCACATATGTATACTACAATAACTTTTTACAAAAATGATGTTGGCGGACTTGGAGTTCTGGCTGAGAACATACATTTATTACGAGCAGAACGATTAATACAGAGAACATCCATCTCCAAGTACGTCCGCAGAGACATGATGGGGATGACCGTAGCTGGCACTACAACAATACGGCAAAGGCAAGGGCCATCAAGTTCTAGAAGAAAAGGCACCGCAACACAGAGCGGAACACGAGTATTTCCAGATAAACGAATTAAGTATAATCAACATAGTTGGCGATGGCGACCAGCCGAAAAACAAGCCCATAATTTTAATTGTTTTCCAGGCCTGAATCATGTGTTCCACCATCACAACAACCCAGAGCTTGAATGAGTGATGAGCCGTACTTTAATTTATTTATTGGACGGAGTGACTACATTTTAGTACAATTTTATAGTTGTTTCCGAAAAGAACGAAATGCAAATGATCAGAAGCTCTGAATATTTAAGCTTGATATTAAGAAACGTGTTTAGCAGAGCATACGCGCTCTCTTGGTGTTCCGGCTCGTCGAGGGGCTTAGGGTTATTTGAAGGAAATCGAATCATTTTTGTTCCTAAACTTTCGTTACACTTGTTGTTGCAGTTCAGGTTCACTCTCCTCTTCAGCAAGGCACCTGTCCGGGGAAGAACCAAGCCAAGGACTACTTATTTCGTTTGCATGATCATGATGTCTTTCATTGAAATAGAAGGTGACCCAGACCTTAGTGGCTTTCGGAAAACAAGTGTGCCGAGTGTCTCTCTGTGAATAGAAAATGTTACAGCAAAAAGAAATCACGAAATGGAAATGTGAGTCAGCCTGCACCATCTGCAAGTATATCGACATTAATTTCGAGTAAAAGTCGGTCGAGAAAGGTTGTACATAAAGATCAATGATTCTCTTCTTCGTTCTAGCCGTTTCAGTCGCCAGGCTGGAGACATGAACATCGAACTCACCAGGTATCCCCTGGCAATATTTCTATAGTGACGAGGACGCTTATATATTGCGTCGAAGATGGTTTTTCTTTTTTTGGGGTGATTTGTTCGAGAACTAGCGATTCGCTTTTGTTAGATTCGAAAGTGATTTTTTCGAGCATGAATTGGGTTCAATGAAGATGATGATTTTAGAATTTCCAAAATTCGGTTAAATTCATTTTCATAGACGCACAGTCAGCATACTTACGTATAAAACATAAGATAAAATGGCGTCGTCATATTTTGATTGGATGCGCGAGGGCGATCCCCCGCCCGGCTCCGCGTCTGCGAGTCTGATGAGCTTTGAGGATGAGGAAACAGGCTTGATGGCGTCCATTAGCGGCAGGCTATCCGGGTCCCTCGAAGGTGCGTCACAGTTTTACGACGACTTCACGATTCCAACCAGTACGTGGATTCAATTTGCGGTACTGCTGGGTTTGGGGCTCTTTTTCCTGTTTTTGAGCAGTCTGGCGTTGCCATTTATTGTCGTCGCGCCACAAAAGTTCGCGTCCCTGTTCACGCTGGGAAGCCTCTTCTGTATGGGAGCCTTTGTTAGCTTGCGTGGATGGTCGAGGTTCCGCAAGCATGCGCTTGGAACCGCACGAAAAACAACCTTCTGCTACGTTCTCAGTCTCGTCATCACGCTCTACTTCACGATGTGGAGCCCTAGCTACTTTTTCGCACTCGGAGCGGTGATTCTGCAGCTCATATCGCTTCTTTACTTAGGGCTCACTAGTGCAATCACTTGGCTGTGCAACCATCTCTCGATATTTGGAATGACCTTCATCCCATAGAACCTGTGTTGCCTAAAAACACTTGATGACACGCTTAAATCAGAGCCGGTAGCTTCAACATGTTTCTAGTTTCCCTTGATGAAGTCAAAAGAATATCAATATGCCTATTCTCTATTTCTAATCAGTTTTCTTTTTTCCTACATACCTGGTGGGCAGCGAATCCTCGATTCCGTCTTCGGATATTGCGGTGCGTGCTGCTGTCCAAGTCTTTGCGGTCCACGAACACGACCAAAACCGAGAGGAGCACTTGGAAATCCCTTCTACTAGTAGTTTAATCTTCGAAGAAGTTTCGGGATGACGACGATGAATGAAAGACGAACTTCCACTTCGCATCAGGTCTATAGTCATCATGTTGAAGTTCGCATTTGCAATGCCGGCCGGAGGTCGCGCGACAATTTCGCACTGAGTCATTGCCATAGTATGAGCGCGCGCGCGGAGAACGCGACGTACTGAGGCTGACCCTCCGTACTATCCGGTAGAGTAGAGAAGGTGCGTCATGGCTCCAGCAGCGAAATGATCATGATGAGAACAAACGTACCAAAATTTTCCTCGAGTCCTCATTCATATTTTCGTGCGGTATCCCCGTCTCGACGTAGAGTAAAGAATAGATTCCAAGATGATATGAAATCATATTCATAAGAGAATGCAAGCATATGTTCCGTTACTCCTGGTGCTCGTGCCGGTGTGCATCAATGGTACCCGTGTTCAATCTGCAGCTCTCTGAGGGAACACAAGTCTGCTTTTTCGAGATGCAGAAACAAAAGAAAAAGTGGTGTAGAACTAAAAAAAGCCTCAATGAAATGTAAAATTTTACGAATCCTAAATTCATGACCAAGCAATTTATAATCGGATGGGCACTTAATCTTAGACTCTTAGAAAATTTGCGACGCAAATTTTGCGTACAAGAACTGGTAAAATTCAACAGCTTGTATAGGCTACTAGGCGATGCGAGCATCAGTACATCAGACGGATAAGAGGATCGTCTCTTGATCCCCCGCTTCCAGTTGTAGTGAGTCAACTTAGTAAGTTGAAGGGGCATGGTAAATAGTTCTAATTTTAGTTGGCAAGAATAAAGTATGATTGAAAGAGACAGATAAAGAAGAGACCCAGAAGATCTCCGCTGTCCGTGTCGTCCTGACGACTATAATATGTCGTCCACCATGTTGACCACTGCGACGAGGACGAACAGCGGCAAACACTTTGAGCAGGCACACTATTTCTCTAGACCACCACCGCTGGAAGGATTTTTTGACGTCGCCTGTTTGCGATTGAAGAATAAGATTCTCCTTTATCTCGACGAAGCCGAGGAATTGGAGCGTGAATATCAACGATCAATGGAGTTCATGAACTACATGTTCTCAACATCTACAACTTGTACAAGAAGAGAAAGAACGAGGAGTGGACCACGAGCATCTACTGAGCATTCGGGTCTTGGATTTGACGTTTTTGGCTTCTGCAGTGCTGATACCACAACAAACTGGCATTTACGTTCAGAAGAGCAGAAAAAATACTCCGGTCATGGTGTGCTCACTACAACACCAGCTTCAGCGTTCACTTGTAGTACAACGCAACCACCTGCTACTCGTGCTGGTGCCGCGATCGCGCGTGCTGGCCGGAGTCGAGTAGTAGATAGCCAATCCTCATTCCGCCAAGGAACGGCGTGTGAAAGTACAGACACCAGACAAAGAATGGCAATGGAGGAAGAAGGTATTTCTATCAGCCTTTGCTTGGTGGTCCAGGTCTTGGTCGTGGTCTTGTTGTAGTTTTCACTTTCGTACATTTGAACCCGGTTCTACAATGCCTACTCCGCTCGTACAACGTGCTTACAGGGTGCAGAACTAACGCTCGCGGTACGCCGTCAGTGTCCCCGACGCATGGCATACCGCGGGGAGGCTCTGCGCCAGAAAGATACAAGATCTACAGCGACAGCGAGACGGTGAGCGATGCGGTATCGCGAAACTCGTCAGTGCAGCAGCAGTGGATTAATTTGCCATACCGCGGACACGGAGAGGACGCCAGAACACCCAGCTCATCGTCGACGAGTGCTCTACACAGACTCCCAGTGGACCTTGATGACTTGCCATGTCATAAGAATGCGGCTAGTAGAAGTACCACAGGACGACAACAAGTTGCGCATCAGGTTCGCCAGGGTGAAAAACACAAGGCCGGGACGGACACCCAGTTCAGCGACAGGGTGAGGCAGGAGCTCATCGGTGAAGCCAATGTGTCGCGGCTATTGCAAGAAATTGACATCGTCAGGGAAGACTTGCACTTGCAAAGGGCGGCAATCTCCAGCTCGTTTTTCAACGAAAAGGGCGACAGCATGCAGCAGTCTATGCTAACAAATAATGTGGTTTTTGCACAGATGGACGTCGAACAAGGTTTCGATGATAGAAATCGACTTCACGTTGATCTCTGCCAAAAGCAAGATTCGAGCTTGAGTGAACAAGATGTGGAACAAGACGCATTCCCCGCTTATCGACAGGTACAGCCACATGTTCATGTTGAAGACGGCAACGCATTTTTACGAGACGATGCCAGCCCGGACGGAGCCACAGCAATGCTCTACGGCTAAGGCAGTAGTTGAAAGGCGATGAATCCGTGTTAAATACACGTGATACTATTGGACACAAGATTTGAGTTTCAAATTCAAGAATTGCTGTTTGTTTTTCTGGTAGAGGCTGGCTTGCATTGCACTAAGATCAATTAAGTCTGCTGGAATCAGAAACACTGAAATAAATATAGCGACAAAAATATGATTGATGGCGTGAGTCTTTGACATCGCTTTGCCAATCCGGCTGCGTATTGTTCGAGTAGATGGAGGACACAGGAAAAAAAGGAAAACGTCGTGTTATTGATCCACCCTGTTTTAATGAGGCAATCGGAGCGTACGTCATTGCGCTTCTGATGCTTGCAGAAGATCATTGAGATGGAGAAGTATTAGCTGCGACTGCGGCTGGTCGCTGAAAAAAAATGGAACTTTCGTTTCAGATTCTTGGCCTCTTCTTCCTGTCTTTGCTTTTCCACACGTTGTCAACACACAATTATGTGGCTGCATCCGAACTGGACTCACCTCAACTGTCTCAACATGTGGACCTGTCGGTTGTTCCAAAACTTCTACAGCAGGGGGGGCGAGCAGAACCACAAGAGGCTCCACGACAGAGGACGAGAAAATCTTTATCAAACAAGATCACGCAGATGATAGCTGGACCATCTCCAATAGACGCGCCCTCGCTGGATTCTTACGTTACGCGACAGCTTAAACTCCGATTGTGGACCACTCTGCATGGAAAACCCGGTGATTCGAGAGAGGCTCGTTGGGATGCCATGCACGGACCGCGAGCATGGACTGCAACGATCATGGGCTTGATAGTCAATGTTAGACCACATTACCTGTTTTTCGATTTCAGCATAAACTCGGAGACGACAGCGCCTGCGAAAACCGAATCGCACCAAGCTGAGGAAACAAAACCGAAGGCAAGTAGATTTATTTAGCATTTTAATTCTATGCAACATGTAGATCTACATAATAGTAGAATTCGTTTCAATTTCACATTCCGCTTTGTTCAATTGTGCATGACAGCTACACGTTAGAAATGCAAAATAACAACACCAGAGTACTTATAGAGGATCAGCATTCAATATATGATTCATTTTTTCTGTCTCATTCTTCGGCTTCATGACACGCTAAAGAGTATCTGAAAACGTTTCAAATCTAAGATGGTCAAAGTCATGGGCACCGCTGTTATCAAGTACTGCATTTAAAGTGTAATTGTTGCATAAGATTTTAGGGCATATTTCTGTTGATAGTAGCCACATCACAGGTAAAAAGTGACTCACTGTTTACAGGCGTTGAGTATATTAGGAAACCTGAGCATCAGGAAATGAATTGATTTATTTTGGGATAAAATCAAAAATTTTGTGATACAGCTATTTTGAAATTCAATATTCTTCATAACATGGAATGTGTCTAGGCAACATAATCTTTTGAACTACATCCAGTAGAACAGATATCTTCGCGATACAAAAAAAAAATCCGGTTCACATGAAATTGCATTGATTTATTTCTGGATAAAATCCAAAATTTATGTTTTTTTGGATCTTTCAACTCGAGATTGATTGAAATTGAATAAGTTGGCATTGTGCAACAGCTAAGACAAAAGTACGATGAGCATGAGTCAAAAGCTATTCTTTTCCATTAATACCAAATTTTCTATGTCTTCTTGAACTTGGCTTAATGGGAAGCAATTCAGGTCAGCGCGCTAGCTCAAGTTTCGCAGCGACATCGAGCCTGGTGAAGGTGCTCTTTGATGAGATTATGTTTCGCTACAACATCACCATTTCTGAGACCACACCAGCGGCCGGTAGTCGTGTTAGTACTACAGCGGGAAGGGAAGAACGATGGATGCATATGCAGAACATCGTGCAGGTAGAGGCGGATTTGTATGGGACGTCGTGGGATTACTCTAGTGATCCGGGAAGGTTAAGAGAACTGCAGCACGACAGGCTCATAAAGCTGCTCGGGCGCTTTGTGTGGAATGACGAGGGCGGAGCTGGCTACAGAGAATGGGCGAAGGACCGCGTCGACGTCGCGAATTGGCCGCTCGAAGCGCTCAGTCATTACTTGCTCGCTGTAAATGCCAATCTCGGGCTTGCAGTAGAAAAAGTAGACCTTGCAAGCGGAACACTTGTAGCCGCAGCTTCTCCACAAGTCTCGCCAGACACGCTATCCGCGCAGGAGTCGCCTCTCTGGCTTCAGAAAGTGGCTGTGGAATGGGACAGAAGCCTCAGCGCTTACATTCGACACCTAGAACTAGATCATGACAAGAAAGCCACGGCATCTGCCTTGGCCGTAGAAATGATTTGGACGAGTTTTTGGCCTTTCTTCAGCGTGCTCGATAAAGCGCCGTGGTATTTTTCGGCAGAAAATCGGTATAAGATTGGGAACGGCCACCACCACCAGCGACGGCGAGAACAAGTAGCAGGAGGAGCAAGAAAGATTCGAGAACTTCTGAAGCCGATGGAAGATGTTGTGAAAAGCCTCGAAGCACGACCATGGACCAGAATCTTGGAACAACCAGGTTACCGGGTACCACGCGATGTCACGCACGCTTTGCGGATGACGTTTTACAACCTCTTGAGACAAGCGAAGATCGCTTCCGACAGAATATCGCCTGATTCAATGGCGTCTCGTCAGGAGGAGGAGGAAGAAACTTTTTTACAAGATGATGGAAGTGGTGCTGGTACATCAGCAGCATCGACATCAAGAATAGTGGAGGATGACGAAGGAAGCTTGCTTTCAGCAGAAGTTTTTCTCTTTCGACTACTCTTCGTGGCCGGCCGAATGACAATTTCGGATGATAGTCCTACGTCCGACACCGCCACGAACCTGAACGATGATGGCTTTTTGCAGAGGTGCGGTCGGCGTTTTCTTCATTTGATTGCGCGCATTGAGTATCTGCTGTTTTTTCGAGGTCCGTGTCCAACATATGGCCACCTTGTCCAGGCAGAGGGCTTCGTTCATCCTAGCATGTCCCAAGACACTTCCGCGCGATACCTAATGTGCATCCCGCACGTGGATACTGCGCCCTCTATGGTTGCGCACCATTTAATGCACCTTGGCGGTTGGCCTGACAATCGTGCACTTTTTTTCTTAGCCGAGAAACAGAGGTTTCTAGATTATAAACGCGACAAAACCATGAAAATCGAAACAGGCACGTTCTCCGAGGAGAGCACCACTCTTTTTTCATCGTCACTTATAACTACCGATGAGGATGCAGTTGCAGCTGATGCATTTTTGCGTGATTCGCCAGGGAAACATGAGAGGATGCTCGCCGCCTTGAATAACCACAGACAGGGAGAAAGTTCTGGTGATCAGAGAGGAGTCTCTCCTGAAGGCGAAGCGATCTGCAAAACGAAGCAAATGCCTTTCGCTCAGGAGATGGACGCTATTGTCGACGTAGGGGCCAATATTGGCGCCGTCACTGTCTACTTTGCTAATCGGGGCTTTCAAGTTTTGGCCATCGAACCTCTTCCCGGAAATTTAGCTTACCTTCGCGCCAGTGTTTCCGCGAATCGTCTCGATCACTTTGTGACGATCGTCCCCCATGCTGTTACAGCGAGAACATCAAGATATAAGAAGAGACATCCTCCAGAACAAGGAGGAGGTGGACGAGGAGGAGCTGTTCCGTCGACGTCTGCCGCAGTTGCAGGCTCCCAATATGTCGACGGAGCCGATGCATCGGCTTTTAACGCAGCGGGCCTGAACGAAATTCCATTTGAGGAAGATCCTCAAGTTTTTTTGGAAGATCCGAAAGATCCTGGTATCGGCATTTTAGTTGATCGCGCCTTGTACGAATCGCATTACTCGAATGTCACCTATGATGCACAACAAGACGTTTATCGGCGTGTGGCGGAATGGCGCGTCGGGGACTTTGCTAACGCGCAATTCGGCGACCGCGAACTCACAACGGAAGAAGCTACGAAATTGGTCGAGGAGTTCCGGAGTGGAGCTCGTGGCGCTCTAAATCCGTTCGAAAGACCGATGCGTGTGCGACAGGGCATCATGACACAAACTTTGGATGACGTCATAAAAGAGTGGAGGACCACACATCATGATTATAGCGCGTTTTTAGGCGTCGATCATTTTTACAGTAAGCGCGAAGTTTCCAAGAACGGTACGATGGCGTCTCTATTTTGTGGTCACCATAAAATGGATGAACCGCTCACAACACCAGGTAATCCTGGTAAAACGGTAGCGAGCTTGCGTTTGATAAAAATAGACACTGAGGGCCACGATATAGAGGTGCTCAATGGTCTTCAAGAGACACTTGGAAGGCAGCGTCACAACAGTACCAATCAAGGCGAAGAAGAAGCGCTAGTTGTACCGCATGATGGTAGACATGATCATTTTAAGGTCGTGCAGCCTTCGCCCCCCTCTTTCAGACCAGTACTCTTCGTTGAGAATAACGTACTGAACATGCAGGTGAAGCGCCGCCTCGATCCAGGTGTGATGGCCAGTAAGTTGCTGAACATGCTGTCGCACACGCTGGACTACCCAGTCGCTTCACTTGAGGCCTTCTCGAGTTACGAAATGCCATCTTTCCGTGAAACGGCTGCCACCAATGATCATATCAAAAAATGGCTACAGAATAAGCTTCTGCCGGCAACATCAAAACAAATAAAGAGAGAAGGCAAACACATTTTATCCGTAGGGACACGAAGAGGAGAATCAGTTGTGCCAGACCTCGCTACAGTATTCGCTCGCAATTGTAAGTGGGAGTATGGTGAAGTTCTGCGAAACATTCCTGTTGATGGGGTAAGCAACAAGGCTTTGGCGGCAGACGATTGTGCTGCTCTTTGTGTAGAGGACATGCTGGATCGCAGCAAGAGAAAAGCTGGAACCACAGACAGTAATAGCAAAGGTAAAGATTCGCCAGCGTGCGAGTGTTGGCAAGTGGATTTTCTCCTACCAGGCAAACATAATCAGGAGGGCGAAGCCGTAGAGGAACCCTCTATGATATGCTCGCTCATGCGGACATGCCGAGGATTGGAAAAGGTAACTGCAACTTGGCGACTCAATGAGGCACCAGGAGAGCATCTTCAAGGCGAGTCGATAATTGACGCCCATCAACACAGACATCATGGCAAGGTGGACGAAGGCAAGGTAGAGGAAGAGCATGAGCTTGTTCGATTTCCTGGTGGAGAATGGAGGCGGAAATCAGGCACAACATCAAACGAAAAACTGCATGCTTTGTGGGATGGTGTCATGCCTCCCCTAGAGTGTCCCCTTGCTTCCGTTGCAGCAGCAAAGAGCGTCATGGGTATACTGGAAAATAGCAAAACCTCAGTTTCTGACGCCGTCGTGGGCGCGGATGTGGAAGTAGAAGAGGATATTGTTATGACGCTTTCAGGAACGCTCGGAGGAGATTTCGTAATTTGGCCAACTTAGAATCAGAAACGATCAATAGACCGTGACCGCTAATAACGAAAACGAACGGTATACGAAAAGCACTATTCTCATCTTACAGTTCCATCCTCATGCTGACTCTTTCAGTTGTTAGTCTGTGCAACGCCTCTGCGAGGTCAGAGGGCCAATCGCGTCGCACTACATCTACAAGTAGGGGAGAAGGAATTTTCACGCGCTCAGGGAACCAGCCGTGTTCATTCGGTCTCGACATAAGAATCAGGAAGATCAACCCCCTAGTACTGATATGAATCCTTGTTACGTGGTCTGGCACAAACGTTGCAGACGTAATGAGAATAAGCGAGATAAGAGGTAGAAAACAAGGAGATTGGAAGAGCAGTTGATGTAGAAGAAGTAACGTTAACTTTTTTTTGCGACAACAAGTGTGAGTGACTTTCTGTTTCTTGTTTCTTCTAGAACAAGTGATAGTGCTTGCGATTAAAAAATTTGGCTTCTCATGAATAACAATGTGATGTTTAGAGTGTGTGTACAAAAAGTTGTTGGCTCACGAAAATATATAGTTTGAGGCAGAAGAAAACTGTCTCTGTGAAAACAGAAGACTCTTGGATGCTATACCCCTCGAGTGAGTACATCAGTCAACCAATCAATCAGTCAATCAATTAATCAATCACTTGGCCTTGCTCATAGTCAACGCCACAAAATTAATAGCCGACAATGATGACGACGACGACGACGACCTACAACAGTTAACTAATACCTGAAGTAGAATCTTGCATCGATGGAGATGAATTCTGTTACGCCGCCGATTGCAGTCTGTCCCTATCGCATGATTCTCGTCAGGTAGCTAATTACCTTCATAGAAGAAATAGAAAAGCATAAGGAAAATGCGGTCGCTCGGAGGGCAACAAGGCCCCTCACAAATGAGGAAAACCGGCTCACCTCTCGCCCACACTATGAGCATGGAGCTCGGTAATTCAACCGACTTCGGTGCCGCTAGAGAACGCGAAGCACGACGTAGCACGTTCTGCGGCCTGGCTCGAGGCCGAGGAAAGCCAAGGTCCAAACTTCCGTCTATTAAGGCGTAGACCACTAGATCTAGAAATTCAATAAATTAATTTATTTATCCAAATTCAAAAATAAGATTTCGGATGAGGTAGCAGCCCGACCCGTAGTGAGTGCGTTCTCATCTTTTTGGATTTGTTCATCTTCATAGATTTTCATGTATTTGTATATATAATTATAAGGTTCACGCGATCGTAAACGCAAGCTAAAACTTGTTGTAGTTCTTGTAGCTACTTTTACAACGCGGCGGCCTGCCAGGAGCCAGGAGGAAAAAGGATGAAGCCTTCGTTTGAATAAGGCGATGCTCTTCATCTTGCTGCATAACATATCAAAGACTACATGGGAGTAGTTCTTAATCCACATTCTATTTCTAAGTCAAGACTACCTGCCGACCAAAGGCAGGATCTTGCGAAACACACGAACCTGTCGGAGAAGGAGGTAGACGCTCTCTATGCGCGATTTCGTAGGGTTGCGACGCCAAATGAAACTATGTCTATCGGACAGTTTCGAGGTAAAAAATGATGTTGATTCCTAGTAAACTTGATTCACTTTGACTTTTGTAGGGTAAAAATTGCTGGTTCCAGCTACCAATTATACTTACTAGTTGATTTACTTCTTTTGTGGGACGTCACTTGGTTGGGTTGATAATTATCGAATTGAGTGTTCACTTTTGTTAGGAGAGTAGCAGCTGGGACCGTCGCAATTCAATCTAGTTGTACTTTTATTAGCAGGACCACTAGAGTCCGAGTCCTCGAGTGAGTCGCTCCATGCAGACCTACACTCGCCATGATCAGGCACGCTCGGCATCTTGGGCTTGGCGCAGGACAGCTACCTTGCTGACGGACTTTACCGTGTGTTCACTGGTGGAGAAGGTGATCTTACGTATACGCAATTTATCCAGCATCTGGCGATCATGCTTCGCGGGACTACGGACGAAAAGCTGATACTTTCCTTTAGCATGTCACTCTCCAGTGGCGGCCTTGACGACGATGGTGCTGCCTTACCACACGCTGCTGTGATGAACAAGACGGGGCAAGAAGGTCATCCGGGCCCCTCGCGTTTGATACTCACTCAAGGAGGGGTTGAAGTTGATCACCAAGACCATGCACCGCCTCGAGAAACTCCAGGAACAGCGGAGAGAACAGGCGTCGGATTCGGAACTGCGACGTCGCAGCTGGAAAGCATCACGACACTGACGCCTAGTGAAGCGGAGCGCAGGCCTGCTGGAGGGCGAGGTGTGCAGCAGAGCGACCTGATGAACCTCGGTCGGGGCCACGAGAAGTCGTCCTCCTCGACGTCTCCTCCAGCAGCTACTCGCAAAGCTCCAAACGACGCAAAACTGAAGATGCAGACGGCTGCCGCAGTGCTGCAGGGAAAGATTGACGGTGGCATACGACTTCACCAGTTTCGCGCTCTGATTCGCGCCATTGAAACCATCACGAACTCGCTTCTTCCTGCAGCATTCCAGAAGGAAATCAGCGACCAGACCATAGAACGGCTGTTCTATCAAATCGCGGCCAGCAACCCAAACGACCCTAGGAAAAACAGAGCCGACAAGGACAAACCCCCCAAAGAGCCCTCATTTCCCGAACTAGCTCCCAAACCCCTATTGCGGCAGCAATCGCCGGAGAGTGGGTCTGTTGCAGACCGCAACTCGTCCAGAGAAACTCCACTGCCGCCAGACCCGGGCACGACCTACGGGTCCAGCGGCGCAGCAGCAGACGCTTCCGCGGTGATATCCTTCGAAGCCTACAAAAACGCAGTCCGAGATTCACCCGAATTCCTGGAGCTCATCGGTGCAGCATATTCATGGTCTTCAACATCTGAACAAATGAATAACCATAGCAGGAATTCGTGACTTTTTCCCCTTAGTATAGATACGAGGCTGCGCTGCAAATCTTGATTGGCTTCTGCCCGTAAAACGGCGAAGGTTTAGGTCCAGCGACGCTCAAAGCACTAAATAAAAGAACAACCGGTTAGTTTTTACCTCTAAAACTTAGGCTTATCCCATGCAGCAACATACTCATGGCCTTCTGTGTCCTCTGTACTTAGACTAATCAACTACTCGTGTGGTTTCATCTTTCCAGTTCTGTATGTAAACAACAAAAACAATCTTAGAATAAATAATGCCACCAGCATTACAACCTCCTTGATCTTCATCATATCATTATGACATCGTGTCGTCGATAGTTGAGTGTGCTTGCTAGTAGCTCGCGTTTGTAAAACTAAAATCGTGTTCTTGATGAACCTGGCACAGTAAAACCATATGCATGATCAACATCTAGCCACAATCGTTTTGTCAGGCTTGATCCCGCCTTGGAAGCCGCGGGAAGCAGCGCCACCGCGAGTCTTTCACCACAACAACCAGCAGTGGCGTATTACCAATCCGCAGGAGTTTTGGAGTTTGTTACTTGAGCTACGAGATGAGGTGAATGCGCTACGCGACCCTCTGGCGAGTCCGGCACTTCTCAACGATTCAAAGCTACTCACCAGCGGCGAGACAAGCAAGTCGGTTTCTCCGATGCTTCTTGCCGCACCGGTAACCAAGCTCCCGGCTGCTTTATGGCCCGTTGATTCTCAGCTTAGTTGCTAATTTGAGAAACTTGTTTGAGAGTCACACACACTGTTGTAATTGATGCCATCGATGTAGATGCTGGATAAGAATATGACGTACCATGAATGATTTTAACCGGGCGAATGGGCCCGGGGCGTCTCTTCCACGTCAGGTTGCGTTGTATATCATCATATCACTCTTCAGGGAATATATCATCTCTAATTACTGCTCTCGGAAGAAGTACGCGGCAAAGTCCTGCGCAGCTCTACGATCGCGACCAGCAGCCGTCAAGAAAAGGTAGGGCATGTCCATAAGGTTTTATCTGTCTTTGTCTTGAGAACAACTAGGCGAGGTCTTACAGAGGAAGGTTTGAAAACATTGACGCAATGAATGTATTAGATATATATTATAAATATAAAACTTTGCATTTTTTCATCGCTCGAAAGTGAACAAAATTAGCTCTAACGCAATAGCAGGAAGCACCAGCTTGCTGATTGTCACCGAGGAGAAGAAGGAAGACGATTCCAGCCACGCACTTCCTTCCACATCATTATCGAGAGAAAAAGGTGAAGATCCTGCAACCTTACCTCCTGTCAACGTAAAAGTAGATGAAGATGATGACGATATACCGACGAAGACCACAACGAAGGCCATTACATCCGGTCTGCTTGCGGCCTCAACATCGTCAACAGCGGAACGGGAGGAACCCTCATGGCCCTTCCGGTTCCTTTCCAGGATCTTCACAGAAAAACCAAGGCAGTCCATAGGCGACCATCACACACCCAACGACGATGGCGACCACGAAACATGGTGGTCACCCCCCGCCGAAACGGCGGATCCTCCTGTAGTTGCTATGAAGTAAGAGGGACTTCCTAGATAATAAAGCATTATTGAAACTGATGTGTAGTGCGAGGGAAGATCATTAAGTAGTAGAGGTACTTTTAGTGCCTGCGCCACTGCCACATGAAAGGCCAAAAAGAGTACTTGCTTATGTCATCACGCTCACAATCTCGGTATCGGTTTAGTGTCAAGTAGGTCTAGATCATGAGTGTGCTGCTGTTGTCGAATATCTTCCTCCCTTCATTGCAAAAGGCGAAGTGGCCGACGCACGACGCACTGAAGCGAACGCTGTGGTACCTATCATACCTTATTTATCACGTTGATCTGATTACACCTCGAAGTCAAAGCTTCTTGTAGATGAGATGTGGCAAAGTTCTGTGAATGAGCTGAGTTACACTCTTCATCGAGGAACATGTTGTTTATAATTCTTCTTGTTGAACGATCCAACACGGATAAGGCAGGTGAAAGCAACATAGGAAAATCAAAATTTTACATCAAATCAATGTTCAGGATCACATAACGCTGAACGTGAATTCTGAGACGGTTCTGGTGGCAGCCGGGACGACACAGCCGGCGGAAGCCCCAAGGGAGACTGTTCTGGTTCCCGCTGTCGATCCTTGTGATGTGCAGCTGGTTGTCGGAAGCATAGACCCTGCAGAGCAGAGGCTTCGTGAGAAATTGCAACGTCTAGCTATGCTGCTGACTGAATGCGGCAGACCTCGTGGACCCGCGCAGCCGCACGTTTCTTATGAATATCTAGAAGTACGAGTTGTGCATGTCCTTCTTCTTCTAGTATCAGTCGAAAGCACATCTACGTTCAAACATGGAGAGTAGCCGTTCTCCACACAGGAAAATGAACATGTAGATGTAGGGGGAGGACTCCTACAGGACGAGAAGACATCAAAATTTGGAATACGTAGCTAATCCATGAAATTATGTGCAACTTCCTTTAGATCTTCATCGATGGGCATGGGTTTATTATTTTTTAGGTCTCTCAGTCTCACTAGCACTTTTAGTCTCGTCAGAGCTCTTGCTCTAATCCCTTCTTTTTTCAGCAGATGGAGCACGTCGTGGATATTTCACTCAGCTAGAGCATTCTCCCACAAGTGAAGTTGAAAGCCCGACCTCCGGATCACCACTCTCCGCCGCGACCCACCGTATTTTCGAGAATAATCGTTATCTACTTTAGTGAAAGACCACCAAGGGAAGCAATTGATCACAATTGTTGTTCTATTCCTTGTTCTGTCTTCCACTGCGTCCGTCTTCTACAACAGGGCATCAGACGCCGACGCCATCGCCAACCGTTGCTGGAGGAGGTGGCCTTCTTCTCCCTCCGTCGACAGGCGCGCAAAACCTAGCGATGAGTGTCGTTGGTGGTGCTTTAGCCAATAATGCGTCAGCAGCTTCTGCTGTGGGTGTTACTCGTGGGAGTGCTGGGATTGTTACGAATACAAGGATTTCTCTAGTAGATCTTCATTACTCCGTCTCAGATAAAAGAATTTGACTGTTTTTCTCGAGGGATCAGGCGAGAGTGCCCCTTATATGGTTACGTCTTCACTTTGCCATGATTATGTAAGTAGATACTCCATCCTTCTCCTTCACGTCCTACTCCTTCATTTTTCGTGGAGGCGGCGGCGCTTTTTTGAGTCCGCAGATGCAGGCATCTCCGACCAGTAATGGATATCCAGGATTCTCTTCTCGTGTTTCTGCTTCACGGGGTCCAGTCAAGAATAATGTGCCACACGCTCCAGACCGTCGCACCCGCGGTGCCATGGTGTATCAGAGTGGTCTCGGTTCTTATGGGCCCCATTGGAACTGCATTTTGTGTTAGTCCCCATATTCATGCAATACAAAACTACCATACCACCTATACCATTTTGATCCGCACACAAAGTCAAACTTTGTTGTCGAACAATAAACTGGTTGTTTAAAATGATCTTAATCTTTTTTGTTGTACTAGCTCTACCTATTTGTACTTGTCCGTTTTCTTACTCCTAGTAAGCACAAGAACAAATCACACAACTAGTTATTACCGATTATGTGGATGTCGGTTTTAGAGTTGATTCTTCCAATGTAGTTTCTACCACCGAGCACACGGGCACCGGAAGATGGTCCTCGGACCTAAGAAGGGGCTCGCGGTACACTTCGGTCACGAGAACTGGAATATGGTGCTGCACATGATGATCGGAATTCGTATGGCCGTGGGGCGGTCCGCAAACGAGATGAATCGGGGTCTCCAGTCCCTAGTTACGAGGGATTTAGTAGATAAGGAGCAATTCATTGCAATGCACCATCCGAACCCCGAAGACAGAAAGTTTCAGTTATCCGTCTTCTGATTGCCTGGTTAAACCATCGAGCTTTCATTCCGCGTTTTCATCCTCTAAGTAGAACTTCAAAATGATCGACAAGTTTGCGATTTTACCGAATCTTGCGAACATCATGGACAGTGTGGCTGGCGAAAACCAAAATTACACCGTGTTTGTGGACTACGCGCCCTTCGTCTTCCGCAAAATCCGAGACCTGCGTGGCATCCAGCCGGAACACTACCTCAGATCTGTACTATACAGTTTGAAGACGAATCGCGAATGAAACGTCTTCTACATGACTACAATTAGTTGATATGTAAGTTCAACAAAAGCCGCTCCTGAGGCTGTTGAAAGCACCTTTCTACTCGTAATACAAACACTCACATCGAAGATCAATATGAGCTCATGATTAGAAACAATCCTGTCGTTTACTTGTTCGACGATACTCCTGACTCTTGGTATGCTGCAGGTTGGACCGGAGCAGCTTCTGGCGAATATGATTCTGGGCAACCTCTCCTCTCTTAGTGAGCTCTCTAGCGAAGGAAAAAGCGGAGCGTTCTTCTACTACACGGCAGACGCGAACTTCATGATCAAGACAGTCACGAAAGAGGAAAAAGATTGAGGCGAAATCAGTACAACTACTAGTACTAGACGTTTGCGGTATGATCGATTTCCGGGATCTTCTTCTGATCGTATCACGGTACAGCAGATAAATACGATTTTTGATTATAATATTGGCGATACGAAGAAAATCCCAACCCAAGGTGGACAAGAAAGTACTTAATATCCAGCACTAGACAGTCGTGGTTATTGGCGATTTCGTTCAGTTTGAGTTTCACCTTGAGTGATAAGAATGACAAATAATTTGTAGAATACAGTAAATAAATAGTTATTTTTTTGGAAGGAAAAACTACACCATGCCTACGAATCGGAATCTGCAAGCTTCACGCTTTTTTCAATCGAGTTTCCGCCTCTAAGGTCGCCTCCTGATCAACATGCTCTTAAGCTATTGGCTCCATATGAAACGCTACCCGGACAGTTTGATTATCAAATTTTTTGGATTGCATGCGCTTCGCGTGCGGAAGGAGGATAGCTATGGCCATGTACGTGAGAAGAAGGTCTACTTCGTCGTGATGGGCAACATGTTCAACACGCCATGCGAGATTCATATGCGCTACGATCTGAAAGGCAGCACTTTGGGCCGACGGGCGTTAGACCCCGCATTGCTGCAGGATGAGCTCAACGAAAATACACGGTCGCATGCCGAAGCCGGAAAGCATTCGAACATGCAGAACAAAGACCTGCTTCAAAAATTAAAACAACGACAGATACTCGACAAGAACATAAGTGATGAAACTGGTGTAGGCGAAACAACAGGACGACATGGTCAAGTTCTGGAGCTGGAGGTCGGTCCATCACATCTTCGAACGGGAAGCAGAGCTGCGTCCAACACGACCAAGAAAGCTTTATCGTCAGTTGCAAAGTCTCAGCAAGAACAAAAGAAGCACATGGCTGTGTCTGAGACGACAGAGTGGGACCGCACGCACGCGCGGAAGGATTTAGACTTTCTCGCGACAAAGATGCAGGTGCCGCTTCCGCGGCACAGCTACGAGGTGATCACGACTCAGCTCAGGAAGGATGCAGAATTCTTGGCGAGCTGTAACATTATCGACTACTCGGTGCTTCTGGGCGTACATAATGTCGCGGAGGAAGATCGGTCAGACTTCTGGCGCTCCGTCGAACTCGTATCCGCGCAGCAGCAAGGAGCTTCCCCAGCTGCGACCAATGCGGCACCCGACGCGGAGAATCTCGCTACATTATGGTGGTCATGAATTTCATTTCAGTATCCTGAAAGAGGAAGGGAAAGGTAGTACTAGTAAGTTGAAGTTGTTAAACTCACAAGCATCCGTTTCCGTATCCGATCCGCGTTTTGCCTTAACGTGAAGGAAATGAAAACAAGAAATAGGGAAGATGAACAGCCGTTCAATATTATCGTGGGAACGAAAAATTAACTCTAAGCACTGCAGGATCATCAAACCCGACCCCAGAAGACCTCGTCGTGGCCGGAAACGCACGCACCAGGACAGGAGCAGCGCCGTCGCCAACAGTGCTCTTGAACGGCGTCCCGACAAATCACGGGGTAAGCCCGTTGTCTACGCGAACTGACTTCACAAGCAATTACGCGCAACACACGGCGCATGCGCCTCGACACTTGCAGCTTCAACCCTTAGCTCAAGCTTCTTTGGTTGGCGTCGGAGGCCCAGTTACGGTCATCTGTAGACAAATATGTGCTCGATGATTGTGGTAGGAGCTTTTTTTAGAAGTAAGTGGTAGGTAGACGAAATATGATTGGCTTTAACACAGGATCCCGGCCCTTTTCGAGTGCTTGGTCTTCGACGTCAAGATTCGACCAGCGTGGCCGTAGAATGGCGCACCACGAGCAGCACTTTGGTGGTATAGCCGGCGCGGATAGTTAAGGCGTCTTGTTTCTGAACTTTTTGTTTAGATTTTGATATCTTTCACTTTCTTTCATTCCGTGACTTCATCTGCGCTGCACCTTCCAGTCGTCCTTCACCTTTTCTAATCATTTATCAATAAGTAGAAACGCTTAAAGATTTTATGTATACAGCTAGAGCTACCACCCGTTAAGGGCCATACTGGTCAGCCAAGTAGTGTACCTCTCCATTTTCGCCACTGTAGTTCGCAGCCCGTCCCGCGACATATGTGTAGAGGAGGGCCGTGACAAGTGCCAAGAAGGGGGACTGACAAGTGTCAGGAGGGGGGAGCCGTGACAAGTGTAAGGGTCAGCCTCTTGCCAAACGCTGAGCGGAGAAGCCTAGAAGCAAGGCAACACCGCCAAGAGGATGTCCGTGGCAAGTGTCAAGAGGAGAGCCGTGACAAGTGTCGCGCGGAGAGCCTTCACAAGTGTCAAGGGAAGAGTCCTGGCAAGCCTTAGGGCCTGGGCCGGCGAATCTCGTGACTGGTGTCGAGCGGAGGGCCTTGGCAAGCGTCAAGGGCAGAGGCCTGGCAATTGTCAGGGTGAGAGTCTCGACAAGTGTCAAACACGGCTCGCGACATACGTCGGGGGAGATGAGATCGTGACACATAAGCGTCAAGACGAGGATCCTGACAAGTGTCAGGAAGAGAGTCAGTCGCGACAAATGTCGAGAGGAGACGAGAGTCGTGACAAGTGTCAAGACGTAGGAGACTCATTCTGACCATCTAGTCTCGCGCGGGGGCTGCTCTAGTACGGCTCCCCAGCTGGGGCGCGCATACTTTTACTACCTCCGATCGATGGACAGGGCCATGGACGTTATCACGAATAAGTCTGCTTTATCCTCCTTGTCGGTTCATGTCGCCCTGTTCCAAGCAAGGAAATGGACTTCCATCCGCTCTTTCGTAGCACCATCACTTTCCCTTTTTCCCACTGTAGAAATAGTTGACAGCCCTTGCACAAATTAGCACGACTCTTCTAAGAGAAAAATAATCCAAAGTTGTTTTTTATTGGCGTTATCGACATTCTGACCAATTACGGTTATCGCAAGCGCGTGGAGCATGGCGTTAAAAGCTGCCTGAATCCTACGCAATGGAGAGGTGTGAGCTGCTGCCCACCCCACATGTATGCCGAACGCTTCGCATCCTTTATGCGGGATAAGGTTTTTGTGCCTACTGAGGACCCGTCGTTGGCACTGTGTGTTGAGGAACCTTATGGACGCTGAGAAGTTGCACATCATTCATAAACGTCAAGTTTTTTTTCCTTCGAGGGTTGCCCATCTACCTCATGATGTTGAAAAATTAAACGTATCTCCTTGCTTGTTCATATTTATAACTGTTAGAATCCTGTAGTGGGGCTGGGTCAGTCGTTGTTTTAGCATAATGTTTGATCTGAGTATGTCTAATTTCCCGATGACATCGAGGAGCAGCCAGTAATTTCATTGCCAGCCATTGATATTGAAGCTGCTCCCGACGAGAGCGACTCGTAATGCGCGATGAGATCGAAAGCGCGTGCTCTATGCACTGCCCACAAAAAATGTTTACAGCCAGGAAAAATAATACTTCTTGTTGAGCTACATCTACGACTATATCTTCGGCTTCGCTCAATTTTTTATTTTTTTACATGCCTTACACTCTTTGGCTTTAAAGTTATTTTTTTACATTGCTCTTGATGGTGAATGTGAAACAACTAAGACTGAATTATTGTCGTAAATGTTAAGTGGCATTTAAAAATAAGTGCAAGGTCAAGCAGCTGTGCTGAAGCTTTGAGGTTTACGCCTGAATCTGCTTCGATGCAATTGCGCGAACAACTAGAAGGTTCTTTTCTCTCAATTGGTGCTGGTTGCGGTCATCTTACAGTAGTTTTCACGTATATTCTGCTCCGACACCACATAGACCTACAAGATTTGAGATTAAGTTGTAAGAACTGCTGTAATTACACCAGTAGACTGCCATGCATTTGCTCGCCCAATTGATCTCCTTTGATTGATTGCTCCTTTGACTTCTTACGCCGTTGCGCTTGGTTTTTGATCGTGCATCAACACAGTATACTAGCATCCGTCGTGTTCTTCTCCTTCTTCCCTTACATCTCCGTGAATACTTACGGTTAGAATCTACTACAGACAAGAATTATGCTCGTCTCTGTGGTACCTACACTAAATCAGAGGCCAAGTAGGAGGTCTACATCGACGAATATTGAGTAGAGTATCTTCCAACAATGCCAAGTCATGTAGGATTCTTTATCCTCATCGTTTTAAGGAGCCCAAACAGTATTCCTATGTCAATGCTATTAGAGCATCTGGTGCATCCTTTGTAAGTGCGATCTTCGCCCCTAGTCCTAGTATCATCTATAGAATCCTTTTTGTTCTTGTACCTCGTCATTGGCGGGAAAACGCGACTATGAAGTTGTTCTTATCTTCATTTGTGTCTTCAAGATGAACATGAACATGAAAGAGTGCTCGGGAAAGCCAGATGACAGGTTGTTTATGCGGACAGACGGCAAGAAGGGTCAGTTCTTGAAGAGAAGTTGTTCAAAGAATCATGGTTTACAACTACGCCGTCACCGTGGTAGTGTTCGAAGCCTGTGTTAGCAAACCATTCGGCAATCGTATTACGAGCAAAGTTTTCGGTTGTGTATCGTGTGATGAAGCGAATCTACCGAGTTTATATGTGGTTGACTCGGTGTTGGTGTAGTCAGTTCAAAGGTTTTTTAGTTTCTCTTTCTATGTCGATCTCCGCCTGCTTTGTCCAAGTCCGATATCATTTGTGTCAGTGTCTGTCAGCTGTCAGCGTGTTACATGTGTTCGTCGTGTGTTAAGAGAGTTGAGTGTGAGGGAGAGAATTAGCCTTGATTGCGATCAACTTCAACGTCTGTAATTTGAGTCGCAAACCCGTGTGTTCAGATCTTATGCTGTGGTCAGATATTCTCATTCTGTTAATGAGTAGATCTGAGTAGTTGTAGGTGAAACCATGCTGGGATTCTTCTGTGCCTGTGGTTATGCACTATTGGTATCTCGAGGGCGTGTTTCAATATCTAGGCTTGATATCATCAGTCTCATAGACCATTTCTACTTTCTCAAGAGCAATGTGTCTTCCTACTCACCTTTGATTCTTTATCAATTTCCGATACAGAAGATTCAGGATTGATGTGATTCGCTGTGTAGCTTCAAGCTTCTGGTGGTACCTCCAATAGCAACCCGATAACCTGTAGACCCCACTTCTAGAGTCAGGACTACAACATTTTTCATAGATTGGCTGCTCTCTCACATTCAGCATAAGAACAAACATATCTTCCTTGTAGTTCATAGGATAGAAGGCACAGGAGTAAGGACGCTCCAGTTGCATCTCGTGTGTAATTAAATCAAGCCAGCAGTAGTTGCCACAATGTTTTTTAGAATTCTTCATCTGTGATTTTTATTGTTTGTCTGTATCAATGCGCTCCAGGCGGCGCGTACGATCCCGCCGGATGATGTGTGGCCAATTATAATTATCGTCACCTTGATGCGTACTTGTTGTCAGAAAAGTTTTTATCATAATATGGATAAGGGTATGCAACAAGTGATTAATATAGCAAGAGCATAGAATAAGATCACGAGAAGGTAGTCTTGTTTGTTCCACTACTCCGCACTTAACTTTTTAGCGTGATCCCTTCTTGTTAGTATGCTCAGAAGAATATTATCTCTTTTTTGATCTTGTTGATGAACCTGAGCTTAGCGAATTCTCATCTACTGCTGCTGCTCCTCATCTCATTTCAATATTTTTCGTGCTATTCGTACATCGACGCTCAGCCGTTCTTCAATCATTTTTCCTTCTAGTACTAGAACACGTTTTGGAAGTATATCGTAATTGCGAAGTTTTGCCCTTCTCACGCCGATCATGTTCGCTGCATCAAGGAGAATGCGTGGTGGCGCTTCGGCATCACGTGGTCTCGCGGCAAGCGTCACAGGATCGAGAAAGTTCCAGAATTTTGCAACCTTTTCAACAGTAGGCCCTAATGGGCATGGCGATGGCTGTCCGTGTTGTGCCGCGAAGGCCGCTGCTCCTGGTGCTGTACGAACAGCTACTCACGCAGACACAAGTAACACACTGCCGGCAGGAGGCGCAGGCACTTCTTCTTCCTCGTTGTTTCCTAGGCTTGGCAACAAGCCGAGCTTGCTCTCGTCGGCGCGTGGGCGAATTGGACACACGGCAGGCACGACAGATCTTCTGCTGGGATCCTCGCATCAGCACAGCACGAGAGCAATCGCCAGTGCGGCAACGGCGGCACCCAACATGGCCATGAAGACTCTGGCCAAACTACACCCAGAAACAGGCATTTGGATGGACGAAAAGCCCATTCCGAAACCCGGTTATAATGACGTCTTGATTCAGGTACTGTACTTTCTAAAGTCGCAAGCTTTCGTCGATTTCACAGCTACTTCTTCTACTATGTATTAGGTTTATTTCACAGTTCACAATTAATTTAGTATTCCTTTGCAGTGGTTTAAGAACTCGAAGTTAGACTGTGTGTGTGTCTGATTGTGTCTAAGTAAACAGGGTCGTTAACCAGCAGCAGCACAAGAACTAGAAGTAGTTTTTCATGCATCTCCTCCATCACTATCTCTCGTGATAGTATATTATCCAATCAATGTTGAATCAGATTAAGAAGACAGCCATTTGCGGGACGGACGTGAGTATTTACAAGTGGACACCGTGGGCGCAGAATACTGTACCGGTTGGAATGACGGTGGGGCACGAATACGCAGGAGAGATTGTCGACATGGGTGAGGGTGTGCGCTCACGCGGCGGACTATTACATTAAGGACTGACTATTGAAGGACGGATAAAACCACAAGAACTTTTACTAAACAAAGTAAGCCGAAAAAGCACTTGTCTTACGGCTGTCTTCAGCGTGACATATTTTCTATCTGTCTCGACAAAGTCAATTTCAATTTGAGACATTGAGCCGTCGGAGATGACGCGGCCCTTCGCCTGATCTGCAGTTTTACTCCAGCACCTTATTTTTGAAAACTAAGATAAAGTAAATGAGATGAAAATCGATTTCTCAAGTTTTCATACATAGCAGATAGATAGTATAACCTTACCTTCTTTCAATCAAACACTTGTAGGACAAACATTTTCCAACGCCACACTTACACTTGGGAAACTGAGGTGAACAAAAATGAAGGCTACATAGTGTAGAACACTACACTCGCGCAAAGTGCAGCAGCTGATAGTTCTGAGTTCTAGGCTCAGCCTGTTTTTCGTTTGCTGTAAAAAGAATATCAGTGCTGTGGTCTTCCTCTGTCCACCTTATCATACGTAGCAGATGAATGTTGTAAATTTGTAAGTAAGCATTTTGATTTTCTAACTCGAGATAGGGATGCGAGTATCGGGGGAGGGTCATATCACTTGTGGCGTATGTCGCAATTGCCGCGCCGGTCGTCGCCACCTGTGTCGGAATGAGCACGGTGTTGGTGTCCACATTCAAGGCGCTTTTGCAGAGTACCTTTCTCTTCCAGCAGAAAACGTCTTTCCGATTCCAGACTCGATTTCGGACAATGTAGCTTCGTGCTTTGACCCACTTGGCAATGCTGTGCACACCGCGCTTTCCTTCAACCTCGTAGGGGAGGATGTGCTCGTGACCGGTGCAGGCCCGATCGGAATCTGGGGAGCCATGCTGGCTAAAAGAGCAGGGTACTTCTACTTGTTGTGCAATGAAAATGAAATGCAATTATAGGCACATTGTTTTATATGTAGCCATTCTCAATAAATCGTCTTCATCCTGCTAGAAGTAGCTTTGGCGTTGAACGAGAGAACGTGTAGACAGTGATATATCTAAATGAGGAGCTACGGTCGGACGACGCTCACTAGTGCTTCTTCCAAGTTTTTCCAGAACTGATCCTTTTCAGCGCCCGGCGCGTCGTAATCACGGACGTGAACGAGTATCGGCTTGACTTGGCTCGATCGATGCCGCAGATTGACCGTGTGGTAAACGTTTCAAAGGAAGACTTGCGTAACGTCACATTCGACGAACTTGGCCTGAAGGAAGGCTATGACGTTGGCCTCGAAATGAGCGGGTCGGCACCGGCATTCCGCAACATGGTGGAGTTACTCAATAACGGCGGAAACCTGGCGCTCCTTGGTCTAGTCCCTGACGACACGCAGATTCCCTTTATGAAAACAAGGACCACCATCACCGAAAGCATCATTTACATTTTCGTGACTGATTAATGATAGTCTCTTGCTCAGACTCTTCTTTGCTCAATAAAATACGAGGACAACTTGTAGACCAGTCCAATTTCAAAGTTAAGTTGCAACTCCATATCATCTATACCTAAGACGGAGATCGATGCTTGTTTGTCGTTGGTGTAGATCTGTAATTTTATCGTCCAATAGTGCACTTGTTCCAGGCCTAGTGTCCGAAACGTTGAATGGATATGACGACTGCAATATGAGGATCTTCCATCCGAATAGATTTATGACCATTTATGATAAGCTTGAGCACTCGCTTCTCCCCTGCTCCTCCTTGTCCTCCTCAATTCTGCCGCTTTTCATATTATGGTCGCAGCTTATCTTCAAGGGTCTCGTTGTGAAAGGCGTCTACGGCCGCGAAATGTACGAAACTTGGTATAAGATGATGGCGCTGGTCGACTCTGGGTTTGATCCTACGCCGGTGATTACGCATCACTATTAAGGCTCATGCTATCAATTCATTCCCATTCCCATAATGCTAGAGTGTTTCATGTTCATTTATCCCATAGAGTGCTTCAACATCTTCAGACTCCTCAACAAGGAGATGGAAATCATCCCACAAACATGAACTGATGCACTTAGGAATGTATTATCGCGAGACTGAGCTCTAACACTACAAGCTCGCAGACTACGCAGAGGCGTTCGATAAGGCTGTGGGGTCTAATAGCGGAAAAGTTATTCTCGACTGGGAAGGCAACACACCCTAGATTGATGATCTAGAGGTTCTACAAGTAGAATTCTGATCCTAGTTTCTTTAATGCTCTTGCCCCTTCTTAAACTATGCAGAAGCTTTTTTTACCAATGCCAGTCGTACTACCCCTGATGCTCCTGATGCTCAACATTAATTGTGTCGATACTATTCATTCTCAATCTCATAGGCAGGCTTGACGTGTCTATTTCTATTCAACGTCGGCCTACTTGCCTGTTTGAAGTGCAACGCTACCACGTAGGCATGTTTGCTCTACTTCAGGAAGCCCTACAGTTCCTTGCCAGCGCGCAGTCCTGTAGGTGGCATCTTGACCCGAGGCTCTTGTTTGTTTTGTTCTGCAATGTACCTTCTAGTTCTACCTTCAGGCTTTCATCGATCAGTATGGCACCCGTTGTCTACACAGCTTGCACTCATCTCGTATTGGATTGGGACGAAGGGAATATATTATTATCTTTGTCTACTAGTTCTTCTTGATCTTCATGTCATTGAATCTGATACCGTATTCGTTCTTTGAGTCTTTTATTTTTATCTTCTTAGTATTAATTTCAATTTCTAATTCTATCCAGTTCGCCGTTTGTTTTTACTATTTCTATGTTGTATTGTCTGTCGCAGCTAGAGCTAACCCGATTTATGCGACACTAAAAAATGAATAAGAAATTCAGATTTGTACTACATAAAGAGTCACCAGATTGTTGTAATGCTGGATTTTTTAATTTTTATCGTTGATTGACATTGATCCAGGCAGGTAATCACTATCTTGTCGGCTTTCCATCACAGTGTAATTATATGAAATGAACAAATTTTTATTTTAGGGATCAAGATCATGTATCCAGTCGAGTGTTCTAATTGTATAAGTGATTATGTGAAGAACACTCACGGTGGAGATAAATCTTCAGGTCGTTCATTTTCGGCACTTTTTTTCTCTGCGTCTTCTTGAACTCCATGGCCATGTCCCAGAACAGACGCAAGTCTTCGCCGCACTCGGACACTAACTTGGCGACTACATACACGCACGTACCGCTTCGTAGGTCGACTCGGTCAAGTATTTTAGGACAAGAAATCCTCTATTAGTCATTATTCTTCATTCTTATAATCCTCCAGCCTCATTTGCCAGATGAATCAAAAAAATTGTAGATGGCGGAAAACTTGGCTATGGCTATCATAATTGTGTTCATTTGGCGGATTCTCGTTTGTTACGACTCGGAATCGGGGTTATCGGCGTCTGCTGCCTGATGGACTCCACCCGTCGCCGGCAGGTACGCCGGATATCACTGGGATCACCCTTCCGGCAGTCTCGGCCTACAAAAAAATAGATCAAGCCCGTGAGCTTCCGCTTTATCGTCATGATGATGACGATTTTTACGTGAGCCCAAACTGGTGCGTCGAACAACTCGAAACACCTGCAATATTGTAAAAAGGGATTACTCCGGAAACAGTCTTCGCCTTTCTCAACTGGAGCGGTTTTGCAGCGTCGGTCAAGATCCACTACCAAGTTGAGTCGTCTAGCTTCCCCGGGTACTCTTGTTCATTGTCTGGCACCTTTTTGCTAGTTTCATTCTGTTGCTCATGTAGGGCTAGGGAGTATGGACAGGCATACTCACATGAGACTAGCAGGTGTCGCCATTTCCTTGTATGTGGATGCTATTCCGGATTATTAGGAAACGGGCACATACATAAAAAATCTGGCCGCGAATGTGAAGAGATCGGTGCACTAGTTTCTGTTTACACAGCAGGGCCAGGATTCGAGTTACAAGAGAGTAGAGTTCCCCTGCCTCACCTTGAACCCCATTATGATATTCTCTTCTTCAATCATCTAAAAAAGGTATTCTTGTCGATGTCTTGTTGTTGTCGTGCATCTTCATAAACTTCGATCATTTAACTCTTCAGCTGAAGCACCAAAAATGAAAGAGTCGGGAAGCCTGAAGCTTCTCTTTCGATTTTTAGACACCCGGATCCCCCGATGCTTCTCCATTTTTCCCTAAATGCTGTAAAACGATCAAGCATTGATTGTATCTTATCGAAATTCATGAATCATCATCTTTTCACCTTCGGTAGAAATATAATAATATCACAAGCAGTAGCAGGAAATCAAAAACAAAATGAAAATCATAATCATGTACATCATATAAATGTGGAATCAATTATGCGAATATGTGGAGCTGGTAGTATTTGGATTAACAAAGAATTAGAATTACTTTACCTTCAACTTCAACATCACCGTCTATGCTGTTTACATTTGCAACTCAGGAACAGGAGGCACTTAGTGGTGTCAGTATCCTGAAGGAAAGTATTGTCGTAATGCTGATATGAAAAGTATGACTTTCTCTTTCCAAATGGTTCGTCGGCAAGGTCCTCCTGTGTTGTAGCTGTACAATGGCAGCCAATGCAAGAACTCAATGCCTTGGCCGCTTTTTATACAGACAGCATTGAAATCGGGAAATCGAGTTCGATTACCGCATACATCTCATGCTGTATCTATTTTTAGTTTGATTGATGTTGGGCTTGGGTCGCATACCAATCACGTTGTTCTCATTTTTATTCTCCAGTTTGGTTGGTCTTGTTAGGTTCAGCTACGTGCCACGGAGTCGCCAGTCTGAATTGAGACAAAGTGCAAAAGTCAGCTTGTCTTCTTGGTAAAAAGGCAATCGCAGTCGCGAAAAGGCGGATTAGCTGTCTAGAAGAGAAAACGGCTGGAAAAGGTGCTCGGAGGCCGAAAGGACGACGACATTGGGAACTTGGCATCTGCTTGAGCATGACGGTAACGCCAAACACACCGGGGCGCGGAGGACGCGATCCCGGGCTACGACAGCTCTTAATCGTGCGAGGAAATTCAGGCGAGAGTGTTGCCGAAAGCGCTCGCTCTTTCGCTAGCGCAGCCTCTACTTCGAGAACGCCGACTATGACTCCCCAGCGCCTTTTATTAACGCTTAAGTAACTTCTAGTTTCACCCATAAATGAAGCAACTCGCCATCGTGTTTTTTTCATAATTATTTTCGTCGTGATAGTGCTTACATCAGCAGAGCAGTCTTTCAATTTTGCAGTAGTTGATCCTTGTGGTCGTTACAGGTCTGGGATGCGGTGGTGAAAGAATCTTGCTTTTCCTACTTTCATACCAGCAGGACATTTCACATTCGGCGACAAAAATATTGGGTGGTGGGGCGGCATCTCAATTTATGATCCAAAGCAGAAAAAAGTTGATGTTGACAAACTATCTCTGGGACTACATTTCTCGTAGATCGGTCGGTACGTAAAAAGATTTGTAGTTCCACAGGAGGTTTATCGGTTTTCGAGAGTGGGCGCTTATTTGAGTATGTGGAGAAGTCCGCTAATCTCTTATCGTGAACACGACTGTCGGCGCGGGCCTCGCGTCAGTCCCTCTTGTTTTTGTGCAGGGTGGATGGCTCATTCCGGGGCTGGCGGTGCTGGTATTTGCCTTCCTCAGTGGTTTGGGCAGTGTCTGGCTATGCGAATGTTATGGCAACTGTGTCTCCCCTGACAATCACAACGAACCAAATATCTACAAAATACTGTGGTTATGACGGGTACCTCGCAAATGCCAGCGCGGTGATGGTCCGGCAAGATGATGTTGTTAAAGATTATATGCCACAGTGCTTCTGATTCTAAGTTTTTCTAATTCCCCTTGCGTTTCGTACCCGGGAACGAGTACTTCAGCGGCCGGGTGGAGTTCCTGTCTTGCGTGCAAAATTTCACATCGAACGAGTTCGTGATAAAGATCACCGCAGCATGCCTCTTTGGTGCATTACATTATGGCTCCAGCTAGTACAAGTAAGAGAAAGAGAACAATGACACAGTGGTATAATAATTTGTTGTCAACAAGGTGAGGAACTCACCCTCACTGAACATACACGACTGCTGTTAGAACTGGAAGGATAAAAAAAGAATCTCCTGGATGCAATGGCAGACTAGCTGAACCATTGATTATCGAATTTGACATTAAAATATCAGCGCTAATGTTGAACACTGAACGTGGCGAGCATTGTAACGACAGCTCAAGGAATCGACGAACTGATTCTCGAACTAGCCGGTCGAAACTGCGGCTTCTCGTTTGACCACGGATATCGCTGTAAGTCGTCACAAGGGGAGGTACTGTATCTTCATATTACTAGAATGACTTCAGTAACACAAAAATCGCGGTGGCGGTCTGGGTCTAGGAAGGAAGGAACACAAGATGATAGAAGATGTAATCCAACTTTCTCTGCAGCATCTTCGACGTAGTCCCAGTCAGCTTTTTACCATTAATTCAGGTAAACAGCGTCTTCGAGCATTGGGCGATAACGGAGGGATATACCATTTGCATGTGCTTGGCAGTGCCGCTTGCGATCCTGAATATGGAGGACAATGTCCCGGTACAGATTTTGACGTTTCTGTTCTGTTTCTGTACGTTTCTATTGTGGGTGTATGATATGTTTGTGGAAGTTCCTGCTTACAAGCGCCCTCTGCACCATCCCGTTCCCGACAGTGGCGTACAACATGCACCCCACAGTAGCGCAACAACTGGACTTTATTCTTCATCACTGGAGCAAGAACCGGTTCTGTGGAGGTCAAACTATAACGTCGCAATGCAAACCCAAACTAGTATAACAAGAACGTCTTCGTCACCTCCGTTTCCTGGAGCAGTCGGGTACCCATTGAGAAATGAGACTATTGGCGGGTCGTCAAGTTCCACGGCGCTATTCTTCTTATGGCTAGAAGGCATTGCCATCACTGTCTTTTACGCACTTGGTACCGAGAAGTTGTGGAGCACTTTCTCACAACTACGTAAACCCAGAAGTTGATTATGATCCCATGTCCTTATCGAGCGTTGGTTTCCTCTTGTACTTATGTAGATGCGGGGAATGGCGGTCGCCGTTGCTCTTCAAATGAAGTTGCGAACACCTCTTGTGTCACCGGGTGGCTTAGCAGAAGAGTGTTTGCGTAAGATCAATCTTCTGATGCGCCACTAAAAGTAAGTGTAGAATTGAAGATATTTGAATGACGTATCTGCGTGTAACTTCTCTCATTTTCTGGTTGGAGTTGGACATCGCACCAAAGTGCAGCTTAAGAATGGATCAACTTCGAGAATGCATATCCTCTTTCCTTTTCTTGTTGAGATTGTGCACACAGCGGGTCACTGTCACAGCTTTAATCGTGCGAGGAAGTAATGACATCGCGGCTGCGGCATCTGCAGCTGCAGTAGTGCTTGCAAACAATGTATCGAGTCTCTTCGTAGGACCACGGCGAGATGGAAGAGGGCTCCGAAACCAAGGAGATGAACGGCTTGCTCCAGAGGAATCGACACCGACAGGCAAGAGGAATATTGAGTTAGGGACCACCCATGACGACATCAACATTGCGACCCTGCTCTATGTATTCGTGTTCTTCACATCCACCTTGTACTATTCCACCATAACAAATATTTCATTTTCATTTTGTTTTTTTTTGCTCGTGTTACTGTTAGTAAGCACCATGGATCGATGCTGCAAAGATGTAACAGACAGGAAGAATGTGACCGGGAACGCAATGAATGATGTAAAAGTTGGAGTTGCGTCTACTAAAACTAAAAAACGTGCTGCACGATGAAAAAATAGGCCGCCAGCAAGAAACTCGGCATGAAGAAGACCATGGCAGATCCCGAGAAAATTCCACTTCCACCGAAGTTGACACCGATGTTGTTATGGCTTCGCCTTCGGTATGGTGGTCTATAATATTGCAGCTTGTGGTACGACATGCTAGAGCTATTTCCTGAAGACACTCAAGAACTTTTGCACAAAAGTGATTGCCTATTTTCTTCAACTCTAACGAGGTAGGAAATAACACCAGGAGAAGTACAACTGGTAGTGCTTCCGATACTAGCAATTCCGGGGAGCACACAAGGACATGGACAGAGCCTGCGTATTTCGAGCGGCGAAGTAACGAGGCACCAGACACAAAAGCGAGAGCGCAGCTACTAGTAGATGATGAACGAGGACCGCCGATTCAGCCTTCAACAACGCCATTGCAGCAAGCGGAGAGGGTAGGCTCACAACAAACACGAGAGGAGGTGGGGCCACGAGATGACGTCGGACTGCGACAAGCGACGCTCTCTTCAGATTCGCAGACACTGGGGGGAGAAGATGTTGAGATAGTTCGACCAAGTGCCAGCGAGGTAGTTGCAGGGTACTTCACACATAGAGTGTTCGGAGACGGAGTATACTCTCAGCTCATGTTAAAGCATAATTTCTTACTACTCGTCTTCTACCCATACCCTACCCATCACAAGATGAACAAGTTGTAATTGATGTACTAGTACTACTTAGCTTAACTAGCAAATGAAAAACACGTCCGCACGAGCATCAACATCATGATCATCACCATTTTTGCAATGGTTCTAATTGATGGAACTATTCTGTCCAACTTTGCCGTTGCCATGATTGTCCCGAGCTGGCTCAACGAAAAGGCGCCAGATGTGTCAGTTTCCCGCACGATTTGGTTCTCGATGTCCCTGTGCACCGCTATCTATTTTAAGATGAAGTACAAGAACGCAGGCATAGCATTTCTTAATGAGCCACCAAGTAAATGTAAAGGAAAAGGTGACGAGAACTGCAAAACGCATCTTCTGCAGTCGTAATTAGAATCATTTATTTTGCACTGTGTCGATCAAGATCAGGAGGTGAGGAGCTCCTGTAGGCTCTCGAAGAACCACCTCTAAGCTTATGGCAGTAGGCTTTTTGGGTGCGGCGTTTTTTGAGCATCACATTACAGATAGTGCGAATTATCTGACTGTGATGATACATCGCACGGACTCGTTTGTAGTGCGGTTTACATGCTACACCTTTCCTCTCGTCGCCTCGCTAACCGGTGTACCACTCTGCTCGATCGTGTGCCGCTACAACCTTCTCGAACAGGGTGTATTTTTCGCTTAAATTAATATATTTTGATAGTACATCTACAACTACATTTGTTTTTGTTTTAGTTTTGTCATTCATCTTCATGATTCTCAGAGTTTGAATTGGCTACGGCGCAAATGGAAGGCATGAAATGTTGCATAAGGAGTGTGTCTATAAGAGGACAGTCAATTATCAAGATCCTTAAATTTCAGTTGCCAACATCAAGAATTGCTTCTAGCATTCCACTTCCTGTTCCTGGACACGATATTAACTACATCGTCGAGCACACACTAACACCATCATCTACATCATATCATCAACAGCTGTGCAATTCACCATGGGTTGCGAACTTCTGGTCGATTCTGATACCGTGGTTAGTGTCGATTCCCCTGCAAACAATGTCCCACGGCGAGGGGACGCAGAGCTTTTTGACATGCGGCTCTCTGGTTTTCGGGACATTTGTCAACTTCGTGATCCCTTTCTTCACTTTCCTCAAGTATAACGAACTCTTCTTGACAAACGGGGAGATCGGGTACTACTGCTAGTTGCTTAGAAAGTCGTCAACATATTTGTTACTGGAACAGCTGCAGCGCAATGCGAAATGAGCTAATTTGAGAAGTGTTTGAAAATTCGAAGATTTTTCCAAAAGAAAAATTCAAATATTATATATATATATGATGCGGACCTTCCTTGTGTTTGCTGACTTTATGCAAGTCGCCCATCATCCTCTGAGGCGAGCAGGTGCCGGCGGGGCTCGTTGTGCAGGATCCATCACCTAACCTAACCTTCCTTGTCTTGTCTATGAGACCTTGAACCTTGTCTGCGTGTCGTTTCTATGTATTTCCTGATCTATCTATCCGCTCACAAAGATCTCAAACTATGAGTTAGCTTCTCTCGTCAGATATACAGAGGCGAGCCATCTTTTGGAAGACCGGAGCAGGAAAGCACACTGGGGCGTCTCTCACAGGCTGATTTCACGACAGAGGATGCAGCAGCTAGCACACGGATGTCTTCTTTTTACGACATGCAGTTTTCTGATCAGCATCGCCACTATAGCGGTGGACGGTGTGTCCGACTGAGGGGTGGACACAAGTCGGAATGCGAGAAACGCAACAATTTTTTTGCCAGAGCCAGGGTAGTACCATCATTACCTTGTACTAAGTACTACTTCTACTAACTTCTGTTATTTCAGCTAGCACGTGCTGAAAATGAAGTGATGAAATCAAATACCACGCGCATGAACATGATGAATCTAAACAAATACCAATGAAAAACTCGGGATCATTTGATGGATGTACCGTCTGCTAGATCGACTTCTAATATGCAATGTGGAGAGCATCCCTGCAGGGTGCCAATATGATTGATCTGGACTGACGAACCGAACTTGTGCCGTCTCATCAAGCAGGTCAACCATACGAAATTAATACTATGCATAGTCGTACTAGTACCCTAGTACCATAATGAAAATACAAATTGCGTAAGCGTGCCCGAACGGCCAAAAGAAAAACGTCAATGAATCCACAACTCTCACTTAGGACATGAATGTACCAAATTGTTGACCAGTGTTATTTGTAATTGTATTTTTCACAATTCGATTCGGCGCTAGAAGTAAAGCTAATTGTTCAAATGTGCATAATCATAAATGAGCTGTGCCTGCTGTACCATTCTTGTCCACTTCTCCTGTCTCGCCAAAACCTATTTTTTATTCCCTACTTGTCAAGGTCAACGAGAATGTCACTGTCGTGCGCATGTCGACAATTAAAAGAATCAAAAGCAGCATCGCGGCAGACAGATGAGCACAAAACTAGTTGTAGTAATCGCGATTGCCACGAGCACGACGGACCACAGATATTAAATTGTCAAAAGATGTACTCACTACTTGGTGCCGATTGTACGTGTCCTGTTAGTGTTCCCCTCCTAGATCCATCACGGTTTTTGTGCGCATATCCTGGCGGTTCTGCGAACCCGCGCTAGTTTTTCTACAAGGCAGGCCACGCCCCTGCTCTTCTTTTTGCTATTAGGTTCGGGCCACGCCTCCGATTCAAGTCACGCAAGTAAATGCTAGTGCACTTGTAGACAAGTAGGCAACAAAAAAAAACCATCTACGCCCTTATTGACAGATAGTAGGTGCGCCGCGAGCGCGACGCGTGTGCGTCGATAGGGTCGCGCGCGAGCATAATGATACTAATAATAATATCAATAATTTTGGTGGAGCCGACCTACTTAGAAAAAAGAAAGACCAGAGGAAGATAGAAAAGCGAAGCGGACAACTATCGCCAAGTATCCTCCTTTCTGCTAAAACTAATTAAGCGCCGGCGCTATCGTCCTCGTCGTCCTGTCAGCCCCATAGGTCTCACCTTCAAAGGCAGGCCGGAGCCCTGTGCAACGCCTCCGGTGAGTGCTCAGCCCTCTGGTTGTGTGCGCAGGTTTATTCGCTATGGGGTGCCGGTTCACCATAATAATAAGAATAATGATACACTGACATTCTCGATAATGATACATTGACTTATGTACAGTTTTCTCTTTTCTTGGTCTTTCTTATCGTTTCGTTTCGTATTGCTATTGGAATCATTGTTCTTGAAAAGCTCTTCTGGTTCTGCAAAATGCTCTCTGGTGGAATTCCTCATTGAAGCCTGAATTACGAAAAATGTTGGACGTTCGTTTCTTAGCTGGTGTTATTTTGCAAAACGTTAAGATTGATATTAATAATTTAGTTTCTTGGAGAACAAACGACAAGCAGAAGGAGCAAGGGCTGATAGTTTCTGCGAAGTGTACCTTGTACAGACGCTCCTCGTCTTGGTCCACATAGTCGGGCGACCTCGCAACGGGGAACAAATATACAATTCTTACGCTTTGGTCAATACCATTTTCTCATTCACTCCATTTGATTTGGATTTGCAATTTACTACATAAAAGACATCACATCTAAGAAACGGCTGCACACAAATCAGCACGGGGATGCTGCCTCACTTAGTGTATTACATTTCTTCAAACTGATATAAGCGATGTAACTTGGCTTAGCGGTATGTCGACGCAAAGTGTGCTAAAAGATCAGTCAATATATTGTTTCTCTTTCTTGTTGCCATAGGTCTTGTTACTGTTTTGACGGCACATAATGCTGAATCAATGTGAACGAAGGTGTTCACTGATGATGACCTTAAGCGCCGTTGCAGAAAACTTGAACTAGAAGACGGACGAGTTATCTCAATCAATGACGTTGCCGCATCCATTTCACTGTCCCTGATGCTGGAGGAGGGGAGCAGTAGGTCAGCAAGATTATTTCTTGTATGTGATTTTTCTTTTTGAGGTTGGGGGATGAGTAGTGATCAAGAAAAAGACTTTTCCCGTTTCAGAAGTTCATGATCGGTGCGTGCATGTGTGAAATTACTTACATGTGTTGACTTTTCATGCATATGTGAGATAAAGGATTACTTTTTTACTCAGTGCTGCTCAGGTATGTTACATCTAGGTGGCTTATATTTCTCTCTTCTAGCACTGTTCTCTCCGCTTCAAAGCTTTTTGCTCAGTCTAAGTCTATGTGGTACAGTGCCGAATTGGCGCAATGCAAAAGAGAATGCTACTGAGTAGAAACGGCCGCAAAAATTGTGAAAAGGGAGTCAACGTGAGATTCTGCATTCATCTCATCCCGAAACAAAGTGATTATTGGACATTTCACGAAGACTGTTCAAGTAGAAATGGCAATCCGGCGTTTAGCTGTACAAGCTTCTAAAACAGCATCACACAGTAGAAAGAGGCATCCTGATGCTAATCTCGATGACAATTTTTGACTCCACCGTAAATGATAGAATAGATGGTAAGCAGGTATGGAAGAACAACGTGGCATGGTCATCACATGGTTGTAGATCAGTGGTTTAACTACATCTAAGGAGCATGGACTTGGAACTGAGAATAAGAAGGTTGGCAGTGGTAATCACACACTCTCCTCCTGACCAATGGGCGGCGAGAGCAATGAACGTGCTTTATGTCGGATAGCCTGCCTGGTGTCTTCTGCAGTCGGTTGCTGTTTCGGTTACATGGCTACGTACTTCTTTTACCTGTAACCAGTGTCAGTGAAGGCACAACGCTATGCGCAAAAATAGAGTCCGAGTAGACTACTGACAAAGGTTGTTGTACGGCGGTTAGGCGTTAAGTCTGAGTGCCGAGCACAAACGTTGGGACGAGAATGCCTTCCCCTGCAGCAACCGGGTCGGCCCCTCCGGTCGCGGGGGTTGCGGGAGAAACGCTTATGAATTTGGAGAAGGTGACATCCAGCAGGAGGAATCTACATTCTTCAGAAACAAATGCCGACACTGCGACCGTAAATGGCAGAAACCTAGATGAACAGGAGTGTTCGACAAGATCGGGAGCGAATGACCACGACAAGGTCGCTCATGCGGCTAGTCGTTCCGCCAACGCGGGGACGCGTGCTACGGGTGCTTCAACTGATGCTCCAACAGCAGCTTCATCTAGCGCAACTGGTCCCAGAACAAGTGCTGGAGTGTCCTCGTCGAGCGCAGAGGCGAATCCCGTTTGCAGATTCGATAATGCAACTGGCAGCAAATCAAGAGCGTGTCTGGCACTGTGGGACGAAACCGAGTCCGAAGATCCGCATGAACTACAAATCCCGCCGCGCATCCTCGCTCCAGAGCACCGCGGACGGGAACGGTACCTACTGCGGCGCCTCTGGACAGAGAAGGAGAGGGCGGAGCAACTCACAAACAAACTCGAATTAGGATTCTTCAGAGCTCTGTTTTAGAATCTGATCTTGACAAAGACAAACTCAATCGCAATTAAGTAGCAATTTCAATGCACTTTTTTCTATACTTTTAGGCCTGGGATGTGATGGTAGCCATCTTCTAATGAAAACCTACCGGCGAAGCGTCACTGACTATGAGCAGAAAGAGCGGGAGTTCGTTTATCAAATGGAGGCTCAGATGGATCAATGGGAGGCGCAGGAGAAAGCCATGAGCATGAAGCTTCAGACGCTTGAGATGGAGAAGGTAGTGTCGTTTTTCCATTCTCATTATTTTTCTTTTCATCGTATGCAATTCAATGCCCATTAGTACTAGAAAGTATCTTGATTGTAGATCGCCTGGTGCCCATTATTGATATGGAAGAATGGCGAAGGTGTTCGGCGTAGCTAGTTGAGGCGTGTACTATTTAGCTGGCGGCCAGTGTTCTTTTTCTTCCCTCGATTCGTACTCGTATTCATATTCTGGGGGCTGCGCATCCTACACGCAGCGCGCGTTCCAGTCGGCGCGTGTGGTCTTCCTATTCCGTATTCGTCTTCATATTCCTATGGTATTCGTATTCCTATTCTAGTATTCGCATTCTATTCTTTTCTTTCCCTCCCTCTACTCCCTCTTTACTTTCTCCGTGGCACCTAGCTCACCTGTGGCGTACGATTCGCGCGCCCATTGGCGTCAGGCTTTTCTTTTCTCACGACTCACTCTTGAATTTCGTTGGTTCGAGCGAAGCTTTGCCACTTTCTTGTGGGCTAGTCTGTCACGTAGACAGATCTAGCAAAATAATCCTCGCTTCTTCATATTGTCAGCGCCTGCGCCTTCAGTATGCGCCTCAACCTTCACCTCAATAGAACTGTACTGCTGACCCTAACCATGAAGCAAGAGCACACTCTTTCTTAGCAACTACATCGTTAGCAAGAGTGAATTGAAGGCGAATATTCAAGACCACGACTAGTGCCTATGGCTAAGGTTTCCAACCTTTAGCTTTACATGACATTCACTCACAGAGGAAGCTGACGCTGTGGTGTGAGGAAGCTGGACGGGTGCAGCGGGATGCAAGGACAGAGGCAGATGAATTGCGCGAGCAGCACACAGAAAGCGAGCGGCGAGTCCAATTTTTGATGGACCGTTTGGTGTCCCTACTCTCTGCTTCTGGGTCGACTGAGAAGGAAGCCGCGGTAGAAAATTATGGTAATTGAAGGCAAAGTCATCCTAGGAAAATATTATCTACTGGTACTGACCATGACGATGACCTATTTTTGAAGTTGTATGTTCTCCATTTCATCTATTTGTATTTCTAAAACTAAAAGTAGGATGTTCATTTTGGGAGCTGCGTGGTCGTTCAACGAAAACTAAAGAAACTACCTCTACTGTACTAACTAATAATAAAAACTAAAAGTGCGGATGAAGGTCTAAGACAGGGACGTACTGCAAGCGTTGAACGATCGCGAAAAAGAGCTCGTTGCGCGACTCCAGCGAAGCAAGACAGACGTAGATCAGGTACGACAGCAAAATCGGGACCTGGCGTTACGGCTGACAGAGGAGCAGAAGTTGTCGGCACGCTTACATGCAACATTTTGCGATCTGCAGATGGAAAATTTTGAGATGCGAGGAACACTTGCGGCGACGAAGAAGATGGCAGCGTCTACTCTCAGTGCGGGCATAGATGACTGCCGCACAAGAACAAATGCCGATAGAAGTCGTCTTGGTGCACACCGCATCGCTATCGCAGAGGATTTCGAAGACGTTGACAAGGAGAGTCCTCCTGAATCCGGTGCGGATCCTTCGCGAGAACCTCGACAGGCGCCTGCTAGTGACTGTAATCTAGAGAATACGACAAACGAAGAAGTCGAGGATGCCACGGGATTTACTAGTACTACAACCAGGGGCTCTACAAATAACGACACAGGGTATCATGGAACAGCGTCTAATAACATTTCGATGACGAAGACGGAGATTCCAGGATCGGGAGTAGCACCATCAACTTCTTCAAGTGGGCCATCGCGGTTGCCACCAGTACCTACCGGCCCGACACAACTTGCAGGTCACAAAGCTAGGCGAGCTAAATCCAGCAGTCCAATATCCGTTGCAGGGGCTGCCCAAGCTTCCCTAGTTAGCCAACAGCGACTTGGTGTCGCACAACCACAGCCGATGTCGTTCAAAATGAATGCGGATAATGGAGAATCGCGACTGGATGATAAGAGAGGACACACCACTAAAAGCAGTGGCATGATCGGAGTAATGCATCCAAACCCCTACACGCCGTCGCCGACGGCCATTTCGTCGCCATCGTCTCAGATTTTTTCCCGGGCGTTCCCTCCCATCGCTAGTACCTCACCGAACTCGCGCCCTGGTACGCTTACTGAGGCGCAAATATTGACGGCGACAAAGACCGCAAGTCCGTCTCCGTCCCGTCTACCTGCGGCAGTCGACCAGGAGTCTACTACTTCGCCGATCGACACGAACAGTGTCGGTGGCTTCAGGCACACACAAGGAGGTACTAAAACGAACAGACAGGAGAACGAGAGCGATTCTTGCGAGCAGCAGGAAGGTTCTGCAACGACTGCAGCTGGAATTGGTACTAGACCTGGGAATATAAGTGCATCACTAGCAAGGAGCCACCTTGTGCTTTCCCCCGTGGGAGGCGCTAGTTGTAAATCGGTTTTTGGAACGGGAAGCCGGGATCCACAGAAGAGTTCTTGTAGCACCGCTGCTAGCTGTAGCGCCAACAGCAAATACGCAACGTCAAGGGGTACGCCAATTACTGATGAAGCGTTTCCTCGAGACGTGCTTGGGAGTGCACGCAGCACTGACAAGCCGCTGGCGGAGGTGGAGCCAATACAAGAAGAGTGCAGCGTGCTGTCAACTAAAGAGGACGAGTCGCCGCTGCCGGGCACTCAAAAGACTACCGAAGGCATGGAGTTACCGGGGATGGATAATTTTGTGGACGGGCAGCATGCACATGCAGGAAGGCTCCCTCCAAGGGAAGCTCTCAGTACCGTCGCTTCTTCGCACCGGTCTACTACGATAGCGATGTCAGACGTGTCTTCTATTCGCGATCACCATAGCCATAGTATGAGCACTAGCAAACAAAATAGCGGTCCGACATCTTCCAACATAAGCCCTCATAACCTTTCCCTCGTAGAAACAAGTGGTGTAGTTGGAGGCCCTTTTCTTTCCCAACCGCATCACGACTTCGAGTCTGGCGGTGGACGGACTGCTTTGCCCTCTATGGGAGCCGCTTCCGTATCATCCCCCGCTGGACCGTCAACGAGTGCTTCCTCATCCTCGCGGCCTCCGAAAAAGAGCTTTGTGGCGAAGCCAACAAGTTCTCCAGCAATTGCTGCTACGGGAGTGACTACAACTGCATCGTCCCCAAATGGTCTCGCGGCCGTCGCAACTCTTTCCGGGGACTTTCAGCAACACAGCCCCCTGTGGACGCACCCCGCAGGAGAAGTTCCAACCGAACAGGTCCATGGCGTCTGTGCACCTCCGGCATCCAACAAGAGCCACCACAACAAGACTGCGGGTGTCACTTCGATACCCGGTGATTATCTTGATCAGCAAGCGTTGACAGCACACATGCAGACGGTCTTGGGGAGTAAAAGTGTTCAGATCCTCCAGCAGAACTCGGCCACGGATGCCGAACAAGCCAGCGCGGCATTACCTCTACACGATAACTCGAAAAAGCTTCATATGCAGCCATTTTCTGCGTCAGCGCACCCTCACGACGTGCAGGCATACACGAAGCAGCAGCAAACTCTTCTGACGGGTTACGGACTGAGTCCCGGGGGCCCCATTGCCTTGCCACCACCGCCTTTATGGGATGCTATCGAGCCTCTCGTCTTAGCATCCACTCATGGTGCTCGGCAGCTTCCTGGCTGGATTCACGCGCCGCAAGACGCAAATGCTCTGGCGTCGCCTGCGTATCAGGCAGGCACCGTTGGCCAGAAACAAATATCAGGACATCGGGTGGCATCTCCGCTACAGGGCATACATAATCAACTGACCGTCCCCACGGACCAGGTTCCTGTGCGTAGCTTACCACAGTTTCAACCGATCGCGCGTCAACCACACCCGAGCAGTGCCACGTTGGTAAAGCCAGAGCTACACCTTTTCTTAGAGTGTCTCGACCCGCTCATCTTTAATAGGCTGTCAGAACATCTTGATCATCATGCAGTTGCAGAGGACGAGCAATGTTGTAGATTTCTACGTCGTCGCACTAAACGCGATGGCGAGTATACGTATCTATCTATACCTGAAAAGCAAAAGAGTTATAATTGTATATAGAGTAGTTTATAGACGCTGGGCAGCAACGCGGGGCACGCTGGGTGGCAACGCTGGGCGGGCGCTTGGATTGCGCTTAGCGGACTGGAGGGCCACACATTGGGCATGCCGAGCCCGCGCGGCCGATGGATTTACTTGCGCCGCGGGGACGCGGTGCAGCGCGTCCCGTGAGCACAAACAAAGGCGGCGCGCCGCCCTCAAGGTTCAGGGCAGTGCTGCGCCAGTTTGCGCAGTAGCGGGCTGCGCCTGCTCTGTTCAGGCTTGCACTGTGTCGCGCTGCACTGCGCTGCTCGATGTGTGCAATGCTGCGCCGCTCCTGTGCACAACGGTAAACTCACCAGCGTCGTTGGCCTTGGCCTACGCTAGACCAGCACTGCTGGCGAGGTTCTCAAGCGGGCGCCCGAAGGGCGCGCCGCAATTGGAGACGCCTAGCGTCACGCTGGGCGCAGAATTCGGCAGATCTGGCACATTTGGGTCGCTCAGCGACCCAGTGTGCCCAGCGTGCCCAGCCCAGCCATGTTGGGAAACATTACGAACAGTTCTGTTAATATAAGACTTGTAAGATTTTCTTTTTCATGTTGCTAAAATTTTTGTCCAATCACAGGTCTCGTCTCCTGGCGTTAGAAATCCACCTGTTATCGCCAATGTGGCAGCCATCGCTGCAGCTGCTAGTGGTAATGAGCAGCCGCGGCGGAAGACGCTTGGCAGTTTGCAGTCGCACGGAAACCGAGGGACGGAGACATCGTCACAGCAATTATCATCGCATCCCGCGCGCGCGCAGCCCCAAGTCCATCAGTCGCTGGTATCTTTGTCAATTACCGGTGCCTCCGCAGTAAATCAGGTTCCTACTGCAGCAATTCCTTCAACGTCGTACAACGAAGCTGGTCCTGGTTTCATGCCGACGAGACAGACATCAGCACCTGCTACTAACACTGGTCCACCTAGCAAGGCGGGCCACTTGCTACACGCAACAGTAGGCATTGCGGGTGGTGGTAGCACTAGCAGTAGCAGCTCTACTTCGTGCGCGACGAGTGAAGCCGGTCCAACCCCAAACAGTGGCCGAAACAGCAGTAACCCAACTATTACTCGGCAACACGTAATGGAGATGGAGAGGCAGCTACGGGATGTTCTTGACGCCGCCTCATTCGACCGTGCAGTCATTCGCGTTGGCAATGGCATCTACAACTTCGGGAGCGACCGGTGTATTCTCCGCCTTGACGTTGACAACCGTGTCCTAGCTTCTTCAGGTGATGACGGTGCATCGTTCATACCCGTGGCAGACTTCATTCGCAAGCTATCTACGACTCCTACACCCATACAGGAGCAAGGCGTCGAAGAAAATGCGGCTGGAGCGACTACAGCAGGTGTGCGCCGAACTAGCAGTTTGCAGGATGCTGGTGCGACACCACAGGGGCCACCAGCTACCTCGACAGTCCAGAGGAAGGGCATTCTCAACTACCAGCAGCCGAAACTGACTAGTACTTACTCATGATTTGGCCGGGCTGCAACATCTGCAGAAGTGAATAGACTAGGTTTTCCTGAGATGGTAGCCAATTACGAGTTTTTGGAAAGTGTTCACACCTCAGTCTGATGTGACGAATCAAAATATCAATATGATCGAAGGCCCGCTTTGGGAAAACTCCAATTTGCATCACAGGCGTTTCGATCGGGAGCCCTCAGCTATCTGCAAATCGAATGGCGGCCATGGAGCCGATGCCTTTCTATGCCCAACCGCACCGATCGAGTACTTTCCCTTTTTCGTCTGTGCTTTTAATTTTATCTTCATGACTGCCTCGTCTTCCTTAAATGGGTAACGGGAGGCAGAGCGCTGCCAAATAACAACACGACGCCACTGCGTGGCGCGAGAGAGATGGGCTTGCCCTTTCCTTCTGTTGTATGCGGCGCCGCTATTGTTCTGATAGAGCGACAAGGTCGCGATAGAGAAGGGGGGCCGCTGTCCAAGTTGCACCGCTGTGGCGAGAACGCGAAGGCGCCTGCTTTTGCGTGGCATTCTCTGGCTGGAGAGCACTTCGCCACGAAGTCACGCGACTGCCTTGGTGAGTCTCGCCGACTCTACCGCAGAAGCAGCGGCGCCGCAAATCTAAGCCGGCCCTTTGAGTGCGACGTAGCTCGCCGTCTTGGCCCGGATGCTCATGCCGCGCCCTTTTGGTCCGCCTTGGCCGCGGCTGCTCTGGGCGAGTTCGCCTCTGCGTCGCGCTTCCCTGTGTTGCGGCGAGTCATACCGCGACCAAACTACCACTCGGGGACTAATTGGGCCCCGCAGACGACTCGCGGGCTGCGTGGTGTTGGGCTTGGAGCACCGCCGGGCTTCCTATAGGAACTAACTAACTAACTAACTAAAGTTCATGACTACGCAGTATGCACATATTTAGAAGTTTGGTCTGAGTTCATCTTCACGTGTACGGCGGTTCGAGATTGACCCGTATCATTCAGAATTTCCAACATCACCGCCAGCCTCGAGTGAGCCTGTTGTTAAGGATAAGCCTTTCGTTGGAGGGGGAGTTTCGTCGCGACCTAGTGAAGTGCTTTCTCTTGCAGGCAGACAATCGAGGGAAGCCAGTCCTCAGCCTGTTGTGGGCGACGCTATGCGTTCCTGGGTAGGACGCGAGCGGCAAGCTGGGCCACCAGTCTCTCAAATCTTGCTGAATTTTGGACAGCCACCCCGAACTTTGAGCGCTTCACCGCTTCGCACAACCCAGCAGACCCGACGTCATCCCTGACGATTACGAAAGCGTGGATCTTAACGCTTTGTCGCTGAATGGGACTACTAGGGCATCTATCATCTACCTTGTTTGTCACGTTTCTTACACGACATACTTATCCCTTACCTCTTGTTTTTCGATAACTAATGAGCATCAAAACGCATGCTTTCCCAAATATATTTGAAATGAACGATGGTCCTACTGTAGAAAATAGTGGTTGACTCACTCTTCTTCCTACTCGACTTAGTTTTCGTCCTACACCTCAACATATCTGCGCGTGCTTCCAGCATAGAGGAGTGCGTGATCACATGCCTCGAACCCCATTCCACCATGGTCACTTTTAATCGAGACCGAACATTATAATTCTTATGGATGTTGATCTCCGTTCTATCTAGTATCTTCTTCTTCATCTTCACTCACGTGGTTAGAATTCCGCGCAATATCGCTCGATTCGATTGCGCTCTCAATCTTGATGAGTCATGGACTTTTAGTTTCAGGGTAATAATAGACGACTCCAATCCTGCTTCTAGATTTTTTAGAGTATTATATATAAGAAAGAAAGAGAGACTAGGCTTATCCTCCAAATCTTGCGGCAGCTAAAACCGGCGATTATCTCAGAGGTGAAGCAAAAAGTGTTCATCCTATTGGTATTGCCTTGCTTGGAGAGGGGTGGAAGTGGAAATACAACAAGACCAATAACGAACCCACGTCTGTTCCTTTCTAGGGTACAAAAGTAGATCACAAGTCGTGACTTGTGAAATAGACGGGTTTTCAGATAGAGATATCTTCAATACGAATACAGATTTTCGCTCTTCGGTAAGTATTGATGCTGCATAGGAGAGATCCGCGAAGCGGCGAGTGCTACTGAGTACTGAGGAAGCGAGGGAGATTCTATTTGATTTTCTTGTCTCATCACATTTGGGCATCATCCAAGACCAAGAATATTTACAAAATGAGAGTACTCGCCTCCGTGGTTGCTGCCGTCGTCGCTGGCGTAAGCGCGCAGATGTTTCAGCCGGCGGTACTCATTTGATGATGGCAGGCCTATGAAGACAAAATATTTTCCAGCAATAAAGTAGGAGACGACAGCATCATCTTGATCGTAGGACTTTCATTGATTCGATTTAGTATATAATTGTCTACATTGCACTCGCACTCGCACAGCCACATGCACAATCACCCCAAATTCCAGGCTCCGGCTCTGCCTGCTTGTGAGGGTATCAGTTGCGGTTCAGTAAGCTGCCCTGCCCCGTTTAAATTCCAGTCCGCAGTGGAAGCTGGAACGTGCTGCCCGGTCTGCTTTTCCGCGGATGTATTGATTTCTCTAGTTTTTCTTCATGATTTTCCTAATACCTCGCCCTTTGATTCTGAACTTGTTTGTCAGGTTCAGAATTGATGTAGAAAAACGTTTTAATGTTTATCTACCTTCTCTTCGTAGCATCATCTTCGTAGTTTTTATTTTAGCCGGACCCCGTTTGCGTTTACCATTAGTTAGTTTGCCTTTTGCAATTAGGAGGTGAAGTTTGGAATTCTGTAACATGGAGAGAGAGCGACAGAGCGAAGCAAAAAGATACATAACATCTTTATTGTAGAAGACTTTCGTTGGAAATAATTGATGAAATTAAACTTGAACAAGTTCGCTAAGGGTAAGGAATGAAAAGTACAACTATGTATCCACCACCAGGGTTAATCAAAAAAATTCAAAAATCTTTGGACCTTCAGGTGGTAATTCCGGGAAAGACACCGGAGCTTGCTAAGGGCGCACCTACTCATCCCAATGCACCGAGCTCCTGCTTTGATCCCGTGCCAGTCTACTGCCCGCCGCTGAGCTGCCCGGCGGGTGCGAAGGAAACCTACGAAGAGGGAGACTGCTGCAAGATGTGCAGTGTAGCGTGAATATATCAAGTCTTTGACTTTGTCTTGATCACGCATCAGTAGAATGAGCATGAACAAAAAGAAAAATAGTAATAGCAGTGATGTCAGACATCGTCGGGTCTTCAACGATGTTGTACAGAAGGGCGTCAAGTAGATGTGGATCTTCTTCTGGGGGCACCGGGAACGGCAAATAACTCTTCCGGTGTCCTCTATGCTTTCGACGTCTGCTGGATTTGATGAGGAAGCAGTAGTGGTAGGACCATGAGATGACAATCTACGTACGTAGCCACGAGGAGCAAGAGTTGAAGAATAGGTCTACTCTTTTCCAACACGACTTTCGTGTAGCTTTCACTTGTTTTTCAATCTTTTTTTCCGTTCCGACGTCGTATCCAGGTTCTGGTACTAGATCATGAAATACATTTTTCTCAGAGTAGATTCAGATATCGACAAAATGCTACTTCAGCAGGCACATATCAGACAAATAGTTCTAGAGCACATTGCAATGAGCAAAACCAAAGATTATATAGCAACAAGATACAGGTTGATACTATGATACGCGGAAGTAGATCTTCAAATCGGCTATAGCCATATGATATGCTTCAGTCTATGCCAGGCCTGGAATTCGGACGAAAAGACGTAGCCTCAGATGTCTAACACGAAGAACGTCTCAGGATTCAGCTGCAGTGGGGCTTTGTAAGGATCCTCGTTCGCTGTTCGGATTTATTGTGGGTCTTCACATAGAAATGGCCAGAGATGAAGATTCTGTGGAATGAAAATGCCATGGCTTAAAAAGTTAAACGGAGGAATGAAAAAATGGAAAGTTCTGCAACATGAGGTACCGACACTCACATGAAGGCACATGCCTAGTGGCTGTTGTCTTGTCACAAAGAGCCAGGATCTGCAAGTGGGAACAAGTAGCTGTAGCTGTATAACATGAGACGGTTACTATCACTGTAGGAACAAAAACATTTTGACATGACCGAAACAGTAGGTGTCAGTGTATTACCACGATCGTAGAGAACTATGGTGTTGGTGAAATTTTTAGATGCAGCCTAGTACTAGTTGTAGTTGTCTGGTAAGATAGAGTAGAGCTATAAGTCAGCTTCATGTCAAACACTTTTTCGCAGTACTCGGCTAAGCAATCCACATGACAACAATGGCGGGACAGCCTTTCGAGTGGGGGTCGTTGTACCTAGCGAAGAGGCAGCGACCTGTGTCGGATCTCGAAATCGAACATGAGCTTGCCTCGAAAATGCGAAAGATGGGAACTGATTGCCATATTGGCAGTGCTGCGGCCGTTCCCCCGGCGTCGACCTCTTTATCGTCCGGATCATTCTCGACGGGCGGATCTTCTGGCAGCCGTGCGCCATTGTTCGGAGACCATACGCATACTATCACCAGAGGGCCGGCCAGCGCGGAGAGGAGAACGGCGCAACAGGAGAGCAATAGCAGCCTTGGTAGCCATTGGAGCCTCAAGAATAACGATGGTAGCGAGGATGGCGGCTTCAATAGCTCATTGAGGTTCCCTCCGCTGCAACAAGGTGACGTTGGCCGAGACATATCGGAAGTATTTCTGCCGCCCGGAGTTCAACGTGGGAGTAACATTGTAGGCCAGCAGCGCCAGCGTCAGCTGGAGCAAATGACCTCCATCTCACCAGCGACGCCCCGCGCAAGAGGTAGCGGCCGCGGATCTTCGGCGACTGGTGGCGACTCGATGCATGAGTGGCAGTGGGACGAAGAGCCACCACCGCCACCCGAAAAGCTGTCACGCAGAGAGCTCGCAGAACAAAGTGGAGGTAACGATGACTCTGTTGAGATAGAGGAGGATGATAACATTTTGGACGAGGAGGAAAGCCTTACGCGACGGTTCGAAGATGAGCCGGGACGAGGAGAGCGAGACCCTAATCAATTTGCGCTAATGCCATACCTCACACCTGACCAAATACGTGAGGCGCAAACTCGACAGCCTGGAATTCCACGTATTGAAATTTTTTCTCTTTGTGAAGATCTTCATGGTTTTATTCCAGCAAGAAACCAATCTTGTTTCCTATCCTGGATCCCGATACGATTGTAAATAGAACTGATTGATGTTCGTTATATCATCATTACTTATTTCCATTTCCAATATGAAAGATCTGCTCGCCGTTTTCATTTATGATCTATCACCAGCTCGAGTTATATCCGCATCGTCTTGATGACTTGCTTCGTGACTCTCGGATCATCAGGGCCAATACCTACGGATAGACCTATTGCGCATGTGCACATGGGTGATAAGCATCAACGACGTGGACTAACACAAGGAGGAGAGCTTCCTTCGGTTGTTCGAGACCAGATGCGACGAAGGAACGAGGTCCCGCCCGTGGGACTCTCCATTGTTCCTTGGGACCAGCACCAGGCGCAGTTACAGAATTTCTCACAAAACTTACTCAGCAGTTCACAAGGATGGGCTGACATAATGACAAGTGCGCCGCAAGTCGACGATGACGGGGACAATATGATGGTGGATTCTGGATGAAAGATCGTGGTCTTCATCTTCAACAGCTAATGCGAATATGACGAGGATCATAAGCTTTGCCTCTTGCGGAGCTTGCAACAGTGGAGCTCGATAGTGATAATGCCATGGCACTCGGCATGATCGCCTATTTGCTGAAAATTGTGTAACGTGCAGAACGATCGGTAGCAAATGGTGGCATCGCTGCAGATATAATCGCGCACATTTTGGTCGTACAAGCGATGTATTATGTGTGACGAAAGGAATTAGTTATTTTTGTAACAATCGCAAGCATCACCTTATCAAAACCTCAATGACGCATGTACACCCAGGAGAACCATTCAAGAACCATGATCTATGTATTGGCTACTCTTTTTGGAACACTACCTCCGCACACGCACACATCGTACATACTTACTCATAAAAATTAACACGCAACCACATGGTCATGATATTCTTCTTCCTAAGTAGATCCATCTTACTCCTGGTGTTGCTGCTTCGGTCAACGCCAAGAATGCTCGTCGTCGCTTCTGTCCTACACTTGTTCACTATAACTTTTTGGTCGGTTTGCAGTGAGCTGGTCGGTTTGCAGTGCGCTGGTCGTGTTGTAGTTTGATGAATCAAGATACCTTCTTTTTCGTTACTTCTACTGTCGTTCATGATGCTGAAAAGGATGTACCCTCGTCGGTAAGCATTCTGTACTGGCCATGCTGTGGCAACATCAAGCAAAGTTCTCCATTCCTTCGGATTTTCTTTCGTTTTTTCTATGCGGAAGCGGAAGTCAGTTTTCACTGTAAGAATCGCCTTGCGATCGGGGCAGCATCGAAATTCGAATTTCTGAGAGCCACTGAACAGTCGTCGAGTTGAATGTCTGTGAGAAGAGATATGCTTTCTGTCGGTGTCGTTCTCAACCTAAAAATCTTGTGCATGTGCATCATCTCACAAGCGGCTTTTATTTCTGATGCTGTGTGCGAATCGTGGATGTGTCTTTCAGGAGCGGGGATTGTGTGATATGAAGAGAGCCATGTCATCGACGTGGTTTCAATAAGCTTTGTCTTCTGAGAAATGGAACCGCTACCGCAGAGTTGAAAGTAAGAGTGATTTTAGACCAGAGCGCTATCGTTGGAAGCGTTGATGAGAGTCGGATCATTACTAGGGATGAGAAGCAAGACGTGATAACATGAAACAAGAGGAGTGATTTCTTTTTAGCTCACAAGTTGGCCGTGGCGCGGAGAGGAGGAAAAGCTGGTAAAGTCCGAGAGTATTTCTTGTGTTACGCCGATAATATTTTTGATTTGATGAAAGAGAAAGTCGTTGGCAGATCAAGGATATAGAGAGAAAATGAAGCTCAGACAACACATCATCTTCCTCCTCATTCCCAATTCTGTTCACTATTCAATTTCAACCCCTGTCTGAAAATAATATTTCAGTTACCAGTAATTGAAATTGTCATGAGTATATATAGTAACTAGTCGTTTCCCGGGTGTTTAGCGGTCCGAGAGGAGGGAAATTGGAACGATGGAGAATGAGCTGCTAGGGGCAGGAGAGAGAGAGACCGTGAGCGAAGGAAAACATCCCGACTAAACCGACACCACTGCGCGTTGAGAATATGCCCCGCGTGAGACCCGCCGCAGGACAATGACCCCCCCGCGCGTGCAGGTTTCCCCGCAGATTCTCGGTGAAAACACCCACACGCAGCTCTTGGGCGGGCTCCAGCCTCAGGCCCCCCGTACCGCGGGCGGCCTCCCCCCGGTGCGCGAGCCGATTCAGGCCCCCTTGCGGTCCTGACGTTAGCCGGCCCAAACGCGGCTGGCGGCCGCGTTAGAGCCCGCTAACGTCTGCGCGACTCGGTGAAACAGGGTCTCACGGCGAAACTCAGACCCACCGAAACTCGGAGGCGGGAAACCCTGACATCCCGAAACTCTGAGGCGCGAAACTCTGAGGCGCTAAACCTTGACAGTGCGCAACTCTGAGGCGAAAAACCTTGACATGCCGAAACTCTGAGGCGCGAAACTCTGAGGCGCTAAGCCCTGACCTGCCGCAACTCTGAGGCGGGAAGCCCTCACATGCCGAAACTCTGAGGCGCGAAACTCTGAGGCGCTAAGCCCTGACAGTGCGCAACTCTGCGGCGGGAAGCCCTGACATGCCGAAACTCTGAGGCGCGAAACTCTGAGGCGCTAAACCCTGACAGTGCGCAACTATGAGGCGGGTAAGCCTGACATGCTGAAACTGTGAGGCGCGAAACTCTGAGGCGCTAAGCCCTACCATCGCGCAACTCTGAGGTGGGAAGCCCTGACATGCCGAAACTCTGAGGCGCTAAGCCCTGACCTGCCGCAACTCTGAGGCGGGAAGCCCTCACATGCTGAAACTCTGAGGCGCGAAACCCTGAGGCGCTAAACCCTGACATTGCGCAACTCTGCGGCGGGAAACCCTGACACGCCGAAACTCTGAGGCGCGAAACTGTGAGGCGCTAAACCCTGACATTGCGCCACTCTGAGGCGGGAAGCAAACCCTGAGATGCCAAACCGTGAGATGCCAAACCCTGAGATGCCAAACCCTGAGATGCCAAACCCTGAGATGCCAAACCCTGAGATGCCAAACCCTGAGATGCCAAACCCTGAGATGCCAAACCCTGAGATGCCAAGCCCTGAGATGCCAAGCCCTGAGATGCCAACCCCTGAGCTGCCAAGCCCTGAGCTGCCAAACCCTGAGCTGCCAAACCCTGAGCTGCCACACCCTGAGATGCCACACCCTGAGATGCCACGCCCTGAGATGCCAAACCCTGAGATGCCAAACCCTGAGATGCCAAACCCTGAGATGCCAAAACCTGAGATGCCAAACCCTGAGATGCCAAACCCTGGCGCCGTTTGTGCCTGCAAAACCCTGAGAACTGGATCCTGACTTTTGTGCCCCTTTTTGCAAACCCTGAGATGCCAAACCCTGACCCGACCGGGATTTAGCCCTCCCTGGGAACCCTGGGATTCCCTGGCTTTCCCCTTAAAACTCTGAGAGCCCTGGTCCGTTGATTTGTGCCCCTTGTGGTTCTCCTTGCTCGCCCTTAAAACCCTGACGTCAGACCTCGACTTTTGCCGATCATTAATAAAGATAGAATTTTGACAAGTCGTTCCGCGGGCGTGGGGTTATTCATTTTGGCTTAATTCATTGGTCGTCGAGGGTCTAGCTCTAGCAATTGTTCTCTAATTCATCAACATCTAGGTAACTGTGTGGTGCCGCAAGCGCATGACATGTTGAGCGGTCGTTGGGATGGGCTATTTATTGAATTTGTCTTCTGTAGTGTTGTCATCGCAATCGCTTTTGTTGATAGAGTTATCAATCTGATCGTCTTGCTTTTGCTTACTTGTTTATGTTTTGCCTTTTGTTGATGCTGTAATGCGTGGTTTCATTGTTTGTTGTTCTCTGTGATGATTCATGTTCTTCTTGTGTATTGTTCGTGGACAATCTCGTCTTCCTTCCGTATTCATTGATTATATTTTTTTGATACTTGAGCTTGACGATCACGAACGTGAAGATTTTTTACTTGCTAGTTCATCAATTTCAATTTATTTTTTCAATCGAAAACAAAGAAGCTAGCGCTGCGCGCTGCCGAGCGAGCAAAAAGCGACCCCGAGCCCACCCAGAACGCGTAATCCACAAATCATCGAGGACCGCGCTGAACTTCGATCTGCTTGCGGAGACGAGACTACGCAAGACGAGCTGTGTGTCGAGACCGGCTAAAAAACGAAGTCATGCCAGAGCAAGGCCTTCGTGACATTCCAGCCGGTGCGGCTGGTCTTCTCAAGGCTGAAAAACGGCTGCAAGCGTTTTGTTCGAAATACTTGAAGGAGGAGCGCGAGAGCACATCTACCAGTAAAAAACATGGGGATGTGGAAAGGCAGAAGGAAGACGAGCACTTCATCGGTCCGCGCACGCGACTAGAGACCTTGTTTTTAGGGTCCGCAACAGCTGCGGATATCGCACAAGCGATGGACGATTTCACGGCCTCCTCTAGAAAAACGTCGTGTCCTATCGATGCAGCTGAAAGCTACCTGGTGAATCGTGAAAAAGCGAGCGTGTTGTTACGGCCAGAAAAGCATAGGTTAAAGAATTTGCCAGCATACTAGGTTGAATAAGGTAGTGCATTTCCATGCATGTGCTGCTGCACGCAGCCAGACCAATCTGATAGCGTTAATTTTGTCAGCGGTGGACATACAAGAGTGCTGTGCTGTGCTTCTCGATAAGAAGAGAAATATTACCGAGAGCAGTTCCATTTGGCCAGGAACATCATGCAGTAGTAGCAGCTCTTCAGCCGTGAAAGTCGACGAGTTCTCGCTGCAACAAGTGCCATGCCCTTTGTCTTGGTGTTCAGACCTCGCATCCGAAGGGTCTTCTAAGTCCAAAATGTTGTGCCATTTCATCAACAAGATTCTTGCGCGCGAGGACGTTTCCCTCTATGCCAAATCAGCATTTGCGTTTGCTACAACAGTCAAGCTATTTGGATTAGATCACGCGCACATGGAGCAGCAGGGACAACTTTCATCGTTCTCTATTAGTACTAAAAATGATTGCACAGTAACGAGACCGACAGCAATCGCTTCATCTACCTCATCTTCTAGTAGCTGTAATGCTGGACGATCACACTTTATGTTTATGGATACGTCCGAGAAAACATCTGCAGGTACCCGGACAAGAACTAGAAGCCCCAGAAGAACAAATCAAGAAAGTTTTGCTTCAAGTTTAGGACCTCTGCTTTCACCAGGAAGAGAAGCAACAGAGTGTCCACCTCTTGAGGGTCCGAGGATGTTTGTCGATGAAAGACCACGACGAGGACGAGCCAGTAAGAAGAGCAAGGAGAGCCACACGCATCATATTCAACAGGACACATTTGCATCTGCACAACATCCGCAAGATCAAAAGAAGGATTCCTTTGGTATGATACTTGGTCGTGTTGTAGCGTCCTGGATTTTGCGTAGTTCCGGACCGTTACCTTTTCCAGTGCATCGGATTCTCGCTTCCGAACCAGGAGTCGAGGACGTGATGGATCTGCTCGTATCCTCACATACAGGTACAGAGGCTCGACCCGATGATCAAACGAAAAAGAGGGAAGAAGGGGGTGATGGCGATTCCTGTTCGAATGATAAAGCACTACTAGCAATTAACGGTGGTCCAGGTCGTGGAGGGCATTCTGGTTGCGAAGGCCAACGCGAAAAGATTTTGTCATCTCTACACGAGAGATGTCCTCCACCTAGTACAGGTACAGCCATTGTCCTAGCAGAGGGGAGCGACATCAGAATCAGTACTGATGTCGTGACGACCGCCTTGCTTCAGGAGGTAGGGCAAGAACTACCAGAATCGCAACCACGACATGGTGAAACTAGAATTGTAGAACAGTCACTAGGAGATTGGGAATTGCTCGCAGCCGGAGAACCGCCAGCAAAAAGAGCAAAGACAGATAGGCGACCAGGAGCTGCGTCATCGAGTAGTAGCGCGAGCGCACCAACGAGTGTGTCGACCGTTCGACGTCGATATTACAATCCACAGGTGGTGCAACAAGGCACAGGCAGTATCGTTCTGACGACAGGACCCACTCCGGCTTTGGTGCCATTTGTTCCACAGCAATTTCTCGTCCGAGCAAATACTAGTACTAGCACGACATCTTCAGCCTCAGAGCCACAGTTGGAAGGAAATCAACGTAATACTAGAACACTTGCTTCTGTAGACGATGATGCGCATCTAGGGCAGGAGCTAGAAGGGCATAATCGTGCAGCTTCCGTGCCTGCTTTGGGGCAAGTGATTGCGTCCTCTTCATCTACCACAACGCCAGATAAAGCGGAGCGCACAGCCACGAGTCCAGAGACTACAGCAGCGCCATCTTCTGGGTCCAGCACCCCATCTGAGAATCAACAACCTTCAAGTTCAAGTAGTTCGACAATGAAGATGGAAGGCGAGGAAGACCAGGGTGTGTTGATGACATGCATGGAGGACGGGGCTGAAGCTGCCCGATCAATTCCACCTGCACCTATACAAGAAGTCTCCAGACCTACTGCCGAGACTACAATAACAACATCAAAGCAGAACTTCAGCACTTCTTCTACTTCTGCCTTTACAGGAGCACCCCAGGAGCGCATCGAAAGCCCACCGTGTGAAAATACTCCGACGTCGTCAAACCTAGTAGATGAAAAAGGGCTCAAAGAACATCAACGTCCTGACGGGAACGGCGGAGGTAAAAGCATCTCACCACCATCGCCTTCCCGACCCTATGGAACTACCGATGAAAGTGCCGGCGCTCTTGTTAGTACGACTGACTCTTCTTTTGGTACTGACTTTGTGAACAGAATGCCTGCGACAGAGTTGGCCCTTGTTGTTGATGAAGATGTCCATATGCAATGTTCCTGTTCGAGCCCAAAAAAACAGCCGCACAAGAAGAAGATGAACGCGCCTCAGGCTCCTGCTCAGGGGTTTTCTGGTCAAGAAATGGAAGATAATGCAGACTTGTCTGCTCCGGAAATAGGTCTTCTGGCGGCCTATATTCTAGCTGCGGTGAATCGTGGCTGGGAGACATTCGAAACGCTGTTGGAGGAACGCGTTTTGACGAGAGAGAGGCAAGAACGCGACAAGAGACGTGACGCAGCTCGTCGGGAGTTTCTACACCGCGCGCGGACGGAGGAAACCTGTGCAATCTGTTTTGAGCCACATCCCAACGTTATAAGGCTCAATGAATTTGTAGTTGTTGATAAGCAATACTAGGCTGCATGACGCTTCCATCCTTGCTAGACAACAATTTGAGGCTAGTAAACATGCCTCCTAATGCGATATCATGCTCGCCAGTTTGGTTTTCTGTTAGTAATAACTATTCAAACAAGTTTCCCGCGACTGGCTTTCTTTCATTTTCGAGCGCGCTCTGCTGCGGTAGCGTCTTCCATATGGATTGTCTGTGGCGCTGGCTCGCACAAGGTTCGCAGGACTGCAAGACATGCGTGTGTTGTCGAGAGGTGATACCGAATAGTATTTCTAGAAATCTCACAGCAGCAGCTCGGGGCGGCGAGTCTGCAGTAGTCAGGGGATCCTTCTGGACCTCAAACAGCACCAATAGCAGTCAAGACGCAAACGCATCCCCGACGTCGATGTTCATGAACAGAACAGGTAATCCTCATGAAGCAGCGCCTGGACTCGTGTCTTTCAGTGATATTCGTAGACCGATTTCTGCGGTAAGTGGCAGTACGTCCGTGATTTCTCGTCCCGGCCTGGCAGCGGTCGGAGGCAGAGATCCACGCGGCTTACCTCGTGGTGCCTCCTCCTCTGCTGTCAACTTCTCTGGGGGAGCTCTTCATGCCAGCAGTGCCTCCTCTACTAGGCACGAACTGCAGCTGCTTCAGGCCAGTGGAATACGAAACAGACATCACCAGCAAGCAATCGACGCGATTGCAGGCGTTGCTCAGCCAGGGAGCGAGTTGAATTTTCTCGGATGGCCACCACTTGACCCACGGCCATACTTGGATGTGCCACCGCCTGGTGGCTCCTCGTCCTCACGAGGAGGGCGCTTGCGACTTCGACGTGGCCGTACCAATGCAACCTCTACCGTTCCAGCAATGACCACTAGAGCGTCCAGGGGAATTAGTAGGTCGAGGAGCAGGAGAATCGTGCAAGGACAAGGAGAACAACAAGAACAGCAAGTTAAGATGACCACAAGAACAGCCAGAACGTTAGAAATAAGCTAAAGCTTTCAAACATCATGCCTGCGGTTGCGCTTTGTATGAACAAGATGTGCTTTTATCAAAATGCGGGTCTAACTCTAAACAAAATGCGGGAGATTCGGCTGGAGGACCGCTACCAAGAGGTGTATCTGACGGGGCGCAGGTGGGGGAAAGCCGCTTCGAGAGTCGCGCGAATGTTTCTGGTGTGACTTCTGTTTCTGACACGTCAAGCAATCTTGTTAACGAAATAGAGAACCAGGATCGGCAAGAGTCTGTTTTTGTGAGTGTCGATCCGGTCCCGCCAGCTGCACAGCGGCAACGACAACGTGGTCGGGACGAAGATGAACAAGGTCACGGAGCTCAGGATCTAGAGACGCGTCAACAGCAAGGGCGACGGCATGAAGAGACTCTGCAAAACGAACAACAAGTTGAAGATGAAAGGATTGTTGCGAGGCTGCAATCGTTCGATTTCAGGGGTGCCGGTCTTGACGCCGCCTTATCCTCGTCGGCGACGGCGCCTTCATTATTTGGTCCCCCGTCTGTTATTGCTCGAGGATTTCGCGCCGCTCAGCGTCTACAGCGTCGACATGGGTTTTTCGACGATCCTGTGGATGATACGGAAGAGGATGACGAAGTAGATGGGAGTATCGATATCCGTGTCGTTCGTTCTGGTGGACAACTTAACACTTCTACGAGGCAGTACACTACTACTTCCAACAACAACTCTTCTATCCTGCACCAGAGGACCAGACAAGGCGACGAAGATGACACCAACTTGATGATGAGTTTGAGCGCAATGAGTCAGAGCATGTCCTCCATGTCCACTTCGTCGTCGTCAGCGTCAGGTGGACAACAAAACGACAACGATAGACGCCAAATTATGTTGGACGTCGACGGAAACGGAATCAGAGCTCCTCATCAACGAGATCGAGAGCAAGATCTTATCTGTCCGCCACTTCCTGAGGGTGACGAGGAGATCAATCTACTCGATTACCTTGACGACGACTTTAACACAGGTCGGGGAAGAGACGCGGACAGTTTTGACTTCGGTTTTGGATCCCGCGCAACCGCTTACGATATTGGCGGCCTGCCGTGCACTCATTTTAAGGCGCAGCATTCTAAACGTAAACGTAAACCGTCTCATAGATACGAGTTGGCAGTTGTACAACCATGGGAGATTCATACTGTGACTGAAAATCATAGATAGGAAGTCATAATCATAAAGTACTAGGACATACAACCACAAAGGTTTTGTGGTAACAGCAAGAAGGACCGGCTGAGTAATTTTTATCGACAATGTTGGAACATCATTACTGGAAAAAATTATTCCTTTGATATGTGAATTTCTAATGCTTGTGGCGGTGAGAGGCAGCGAGCCCGTCTCTGCCCTCTTGATGCGTGTCGTCCCTGTTGTCGCCGCATCAGGGACCAAGCTCTCTCGCACGAGAGATGCACTCGACACGACGACTCGAATCGACTCTAAAGAGGGTGCGTCATATTCAATGGACTACGGTGACGGTGCTGCTCATGATAATATTTGTTGCCAATTCGAATTCGAGTTGCTGTTCTGTTTTTGTCCCGACTGTGTGTGATTGTAGCAGCGCAGTTCTTCAGTGAAGCAGAATCCCGACCGGACGAGGAGCGAGTATGCACCCTCTTCGCTCTGTCGAGTCTAAGTGATTCAGACTAAATGTACGCAGATGCTAGGTGTAAAATCTATGGAATTTATCCTAGTGCTTGTACTAGTTTCTGTGAAATGTAGTAAGATGTTGAACAACTACAGAGGACTCAGTATGTACTTACACAAATGGAAAGGTAGAAATGGAATCAAAATTTATTTACGTTGTCATCTAAAGACTAAAGACTGAGCGACAATGAAAATGATATAGTAAGTGAAACTGCAACCTTTCCAGTAATTCGCGTAACGTAGTTCTTTCATTCTTCCGTAGTTGTAGTTTTTGTAATCTTACCTCTGTTCTTCGTCTTTCGCGGCATTCTAACAAATTCAGATACAGATAGCTTCATCATAAACATTTGTCCTTATCGTCGTATCTATGTATCTAGTTAATTTTCGTTCTTGTTGTATGGAGAATACTTGGTTCGTCTAGATCTACCCATCCACTTCTCCTCGGTCTTTTTTTTACCCACCGATCATCTATCTTGTCCTTGTCAACGATCCGTCTAGTGGTAGTGGAGGCGGAAGGTAAGCGCATTATAGGTATACTATATTAAAAATAAATGGAAAAAAATAGTAATAGAGAATAGAAATGCATCGGGATTACATCGCAAGCAGTACTTACGTAGTTGCTTTTCATTCTAGTAATAAAAGTCGTGAGTTAGAGAGCTACAGCTACAACAAGATTAACATGCGTTCGTCATTTATATTCTATGTGGTCTCCTATGATGTCGCGCAGATATGAAGATCCTTCATGGTAGACGGTATATATCATGCCATCAATAGAAGACAAAAGCAGGCATTCCTCCTTCCATACAACAGGCATGATGTGATTACAGGTATTGGCAACGCTACTGACCCTATCCCTATTAATATAATCGTGGATGTGAAAAGAAAACAGAGCGCGTATGGGCTTATCATTGTCCTGTTTGTGTATGTGCACACCGAGAGGCGGTCAATATGGTCGTAAGAAGTGTTTACAGAGCTAGCTGTGAGTGACGTGAGCCTCAATGAATGTTGTCGCTATTGTCCGCTACAGTGGAGCAAAGCGAGAGTGAAAGCAGGTCTTGAGATCGTGCTCTGTGGCTTGCAGCGGGAAAAAACTACAAAATGAGCGAGGAATAATTTAGAAGGACCTGCTGTAGCTGTTATGTTACAGTTACTCATCTTGTTGTTCTTCAAGTACGTAGATCAGCAATAATGGCGGCCGTCATGGCATTGCTAACGGGGTGGACGATGCAAGTGCAGCAGCGGTTTCGGCGAAAAGGTGGTGACTTGTTGCAGATTCTCGTTTTTATGTTTTTAGACGAGAACATATGTGAAGATGATGATAGTATCCATGTGATCGTGCTAGTCGTGGCTTTATATATCTTCTTAATTTTTGTGTGGCTCCACCTTTTATATTTATTCATATTCGTCCTGTTTTCCTAACTGAAGGATGTCTCTTCAAGGATGAGTACTATGGTTTTTTATGCTCATGCTTAGTCGTTTGTATATGATGACCTGGCGTCACCCCTAGGCATGATTTAATGGCATCTATTATCAAAATTGTCCTCACTCGTTGGCTATTAAAACTCCTTTCATATTTGGCCTGCTGCTGTGGTGGGGACTAGCAGTGTACATCATATCCGAATCCAAGATACTCATGTCCCTGTCAACGTCAGCAGCGGCAGCAGCCACCACGCCCCTGGTGTCTCTCGATACGGTCGTTAAGGTTAGAGCTTACGTCATTATAGATACTTTGATATGTTAATGTTGATCGACGATAATTGAAGGTATTCGTATTATTGTAATAGTCGAGTTCGACAAAGAGGAAGAGCGCTGTTTTTTCTTTAAGTTGTTTACATGATGTTCGAGTGTATCGAATGCCATATTATATGAAGACTAGTAGGACCTCGACCTCACATGACGAGGTCTTGAAAAGTACTTATAAAGACCTGGTCTTCTGTACTCTAATCTGGGCGGTATCGCGAGCAAGAGCACCGAGGAGGAGGAGCTGCTACGAGGGGGCAGCACCTCGTCCACCCCGGTCGACAGAGTGATCGAGACGCACCAATTTCCAGAAATCACGCTGTCACCAAATGTATTGCTAGGATCTTTATTCATGACCTCAGGATGCTCAATCAGAAGCTACGACTAAGAAAATCAAGTTATCAAGTCCCTCTTTTTGACGTGTGTCCTTTTGTATTACTTAATTAGAATTTCAATTACTTTTACTTGTTGGCCGCGTAGATAGTACAGATGGCAGCCAGTCGCTGCCAGAACAGGATTGGGAGTAGTGGACTATGTGCTATCTGCACCTTAGAGCTCTAATTCTGATGGATGAGGCAACCGATATTATCAGAGAGCACCACCACGCTGGCACGAGAAGTGCGAGCACTCTTCTCGTAGGTGCATTCCCGTTTCCGTTGTTTATCTCGGCGTGGTCCAACCTGGTGATCACAATCTCTTGTCTCTTTGTCTACTACATGTGGCAGCGCCATGCACGTGAAGATGCATCATCCCCGTTCGCAAGGTTATGATGAACTTGAACAAGTATGATAAGTCTAACAACAACTGAAGATAGCTTTCTTTTGTTGACTCTAACAACAGTAGGTAAAGAGGAAATTCAAGTATCTATATAGTAGACACTCTTCACAAAAATTAGGGCACCATACCATAGAAAAAGAAATTTCTGCAGCGATTGCCAGGCTTCAGTCATGACCTTTTCCTCTCATTTTCAGGCAGGAGCGGTGAGTCGCGAAGTTTCCACGACCAGGGCGGTCATCCCATGGTACCAAGGCGAGGAGAGGAAGACTTTGGTTTTGGTAATGAGCGAAGCCGCACTCAACAAGCGACAGAGACGAAGGAAGGTGCCCTCTATGAGCAACCACCAGGAACAGAAATTTTATCGGATTCCGACAGCTGCATCTCAAAAGATGCACATACATCTAGTACTGAACCTCAAACCCAGACTGGTGAGGAGGGGTCCTCGTCGTTCCCCACAAGATCATATGCCGGAGCACACGGTAACGACCAGAATGAAGAAAAGCAATCTCTTGTACTGGGGATGACGGCTGCGGAAGAACCGAAAGCAGCGTTGACCCACATCGACTTCTACGTCGAAAGTGTTTTTAGGGCAAAAGTCGTACTAGTGACTTCGTGAGGGTACAACTAGTATAATACGCTACTAGCTGCAGAAGGAAGTAGGAAAGGCACAAGAATGTTGTTGCACGGCTATTGAACAAGTGCCCATACTTAAGTACTAGCACTACTTCTAGTTGTGACGACGATTACAACAATGTAGTACCATTAGGATTAGAGTTTCCACTTCATCGACGAGCTTTAATGTCACCATGCGGGCGGCGGTCTACCGTTTTGTCATGGCGAAAACGCCACAATTTCGCTACCTAGCGGTAGCCATTGGATGCGTTCAGGGTATAGAAATTGGGGCAACGAACACGTCCTTGTATGTACGAGTGGAATTCTTCTTGTCCGGAAAACACGACTATTTGGGTAGAAATACTTGCATTTGTCAGGAGTATTATTATTGATTGGCTTAAATATATATGCAAGTGCAACTACCAACTAGGCGGTCCCTGGATTATTTTGTCTTTCCTTTTTTCGTCTTCATGCCTACACTTGCCGATAGTTGTGCGCACAATCTTGCAGTCCTTGAATCCGCTTGTGATGTACATCGTGTGTCGCATTATGGGTTTGGAGGATGGCGCACAGACATCAGTTGGAGCATCCGTGTTGTTCTGTTCGGTCGGTGGACTCTTCCTGTGTCACAGAGGCGAGCTTGCGGCGGATGGCGCATCCGCAAAAACTGCCTTCTCCAACCTGAATAACACTGGCGTCATATTCTCATTCGTGGCGGCAGTATTACGATCTCCTTTCTTTCTCTCTACACTTTACCTGGCAACATTGTAAAAAAATTCTTTCCTATTCCCATCAAAATCAATTGTCGTACAACTTACTACAGCTGGATTTTCGAACTCATATCTACGACCTGATTTCTTTTCGTCTTTTCCCCTTTCCTCTGTTACAGCTTTGTAGCTGCGTGCGGTGGGCCTTGTTACAGCGGCTATTGCATCATGCTGATGATCATGATGGTTCGCAACGGATGCCCCGTGGAGAACAGCAGAAGCAAAATCCCGTCGAGGTCTTACTCTTCACAGCGCCAGTAACTGGGTTAATGCTTTCGGTTGGAAGCATCCTCTTCGAAGGAAGCCCAGCTTTCTTCACTTTTGTCTTCTTATGAGGATACTTCTTGTTCTTCTATGTATATGTATTGCTTCTCAACTGCAACGTTGGTGAGGTTGAGACTAGAAGTATAAGACTGTGAACAAGAAACGATAACTGCTTGGCCTACTTCTTCTGAACTCGAAGAAATGGAAATCATGAACCTACTTCTCTCCTTTCATTGTGTAGATGCAGCCTGTGGATACCGATGACCGCCATAGGCTTCTCCGTCATGCTCGTCGTCCTCTGTGAGCTGCGACTTGTACAACTGACGAGTACTACTATTTCGAACCCCTACTTCCATCTCGTTCTGAAACTAACCGATTCTATTCGTGCCTTGTGAAACTGAGAGGTGACCGCTTCAGCTTTGTTGCCTACCATTCACAACTATGATTTTCTAAAGGTGAAAAATTCCATGTCGATTTACTTTTTGGTTTTCCTTTACGTCATCATCCAATTTCTTTCAGGTGCTTTAAGCCTATGCATTTTTGGCGTGATTCACAACCTGGTGATCATAGTAAGCGGTGTATTTATTTTCGGGGAGCGACTTAGCGAACTCCAGGTCCTCGGCGTGGCCGTGGGACAATTCGGCTGTCTGCTTTATAGCTTAGCCAAGGCAATGTTAGGGCAATGCTCTAGGTCTAGAACTAGATGTAGATCTAGTAGTCGAATAGTGATTTCTGTTTCCATGTTGATACGCTATTAAGCGTAAGCGAGCTTATGCCTTAACCTTATGCTGTTAATGATATTAGTTTTAGTTCAAGAACGGTTTCGAATGCTAGAAATAGAACTAGAGATGTGCGGCATTGGAATATATACGTCGTGTCAAGAACATTGTATTCGTAGCCGCCTTCACTTCACGGCGTTTTCGTTGCTACCGAATCTTTCTCCTAGAAACAAAGTGATGCTGATAAAGAAAGAGAGCGTTGCTAAGAATGCACAAAAGGAGGCGCAACGCCGCAGGAGCAAGTACAGACGAAGATACGACGAAGATGGCCGTCTCGTCAGACGAGTCCCGCCTTGAAATTGCGGCAATTGGAGTCCCAGCTACGGAAGTCTCACACGCAACAAGAGATTACAGACACGCATTCAATCAAATTGATGGAAATAGTGGCGCTACTTCTTCGTGTAATAGAAGCCAGGATGGAGATGGATTACGAGGGGATAGGAAGTCATCACTTCCGCATTTCGTCATTGATGTCAAAAGTAGTAATCGATTTTCCACTTCCAACCCGCCCCCTCCATATGATCATGCGCATGTTCCTGGAGGAGGTTGGCGTATCGAAAAAGCATCGCACAAGCAAGAACATAATCGTGACTTTATTAATACCCAAGGTAAGGTGAAGCCGGGAAGATGCACCACAACAGGCAGTCGCCATTTGATGACTCTCAGCACATGAGGATGGCACCTGAGAAATGTGTTCTTCTCCGTTTTCTTGGCGTTCGCAACACGACGAAATATCGCACGAAAAGTTCCCTGACACAGACGCGGTTGTGCGATGAAAATACTAAGAAGTTCTTGCGAGTACAGCTAGAGCAGACGAAGATCATCAAATAATTGATCAGAGAGGGCGCACCTTTCACAGATAAAGATCCTTGGATCATGTTGCCAGAGATCCTGTATTATGCAACATGATCAAGAAAAACAAGGAGATGCTATTGTTGTTGTTTCGTCCTGTAGCTAGTACTAGATTTTACTCCAAGATCTAGTAAGGCTAAGCTGCCTAAACGAAACCTTATGCCTAGTCCAGGGGACTCAACACTTTTTCATCGTTCTGTGTAACCGAAAACTAAAAGTAGGCTCGTTTACTTGTTCTTGTCGTATCCCTTTGCTCGGTCTATCTCTATGCTTTCATCCCTTTATATTGATTTCTTTGTCTTTCCTCCAGGCTGTCGAGCGCAGAAATTGGAATGATCAATGTAACAACTACACTGGACTAATCTACTTGTTGTTCTTTCGATAGCATGTGTAGTTCTAGTTTGCTGCACGATTCGAAATTATGATGATGCGGTTCTGCCTGAACCTGAAGAAAGGTTTTCGTTTTGACATGCAGTTGTTGGTCCGAGAAAAATGGAGATGAAGATTAGCAGGGCTTCCTAGGGAGTTGTGGACGTTGACGAATTCAGTTCTCAGAGTGAAAAATGCCGTTGGCGATGCAATTCATCCGCGATCACCCCGAGGCGGTGCGCGCTTCGGAGCGCGCTCGGGGTCGATTAAGAGGTGTGGAAGGTAGCGAGGATCTGGTCTCTCAAATCCTGAATGCAGACAAGGAGTGGCGTGCGGAGTGTACTCGAGAAAACGAGCTCAATCGTCACGGAACTGAGCTGCAAGCTGAGATAGCGCGTCTCAAGAAGGCCGCTGCAAAAAAAAGAGGGAAAGCTGAGGCCACAGCAGCCACTGAGCAAGTGGAAGGAGGGGCGCCAGCTGTAACGCTGGAAGAACTAATATCGGAAAGGAAAAATGTAGTCGAAAGCTCCCGTGACGCCAAAACACAGTCTGCTCACCTTGCTGAAACTAGGGACAAGCTGGTCGCGCAAGTAGGAAATATTGTGAGAACACTCTCACCGTCACCTCCTAGTCGTGTGGTAGAAGGCGACTTTTCTGCTCCACACGACAATGTGACCTCGGAAACCTCTCGGCATGCGCAACCAGTACCACGAGATCCTGCCATACTCCGAATGAAGGACTGCTCTTCTCAGCGCGCGAGGATAATCAAGCAGGATGGACCTCCGTCGCCGGAGAGGCGTGCCGATTCGACGGCCACACAAGTCCAAGAGCGGAAGGTGGTATTACCCCACTGGGAGCTTCTCCGGCAGCTTGGAATGATCGATACCAATAACCGAGGGTCGAAATTAGCCGGTAGCCGTGCTTATTTTCTGACCGGGCCTGGTGTGTTGCTCAACATGGCACTCCAAAACTACGCGATGACGTTTTTGGCGCAGCGGGGTTATGCACCGGTTGCGCCGCCACTGTGGATGCGGCCCGAAGTGATGGCGCAGACAGCGGAGTTAGCAGACTTTGACGAGCAGTTGTACAAAGTCGTGGTCCGGCCCCCGCGTGCTGAGAAAGACGGGGAAAAGGAACAGCGCAAAGGCGACGCCCCGATCGTGTCTCATCATGGTCAATCTGCTTCCTCATCAAGTTTTACGTCAAGTTCGGCATCCAAACCGGCTGCCTCTGCGTTCGACAAGAGCAACTCTCTGTACTTGATCGCTACATCCGAGCAACCCCTGTCGGCTATGTTTGCTGGTGAGCGGCTTGACAGAAACGCCCTTCCAATGCGCTTAGCTGGGATCTCTCCGTGCTTCCGGCGGGAAGGCTCGCAACATGGTTACGAGACGAAAGGCCTTTTTAGAGTGCACAACTTCGACAAAGTTGAACAGTTCGCACTCTGTCATCCAACAGATAGCGATACAGTTTTAGCAGATTTTGTCTCCATAGCAGAGGAATTCTATGCGAGCCTTGGACTGTCGTACCGTGTGGTCCAGATTCCTCCACAGGAGCTCAATAATGCAGCGGCTCAGAAAATAGATATCGAAGCACTTTTTCCACATCTCGACGTTGCGGAGGACACGGCTAAGTCTAAGAGAACATCAAAGATAACTACTTTTTCGGCGCGAAAGGAGCGGGAAACACGAACAGAGGACATCGCCGCAGCCATTAGTTCAGTCACAGGTCTTGAACAAGAATTTGAAGGCACGTATCGCGAGCTGGTATCGTGTTCGAATTGTACAGACTATCAATCTCGAGCTTTGAATATCTGCACAGGCGAAGGAAAGGACAAGGTTTTTGTGCATTTGGTCAATGCAACATTATGTGCGACACAGAGAACGATTTGCTGCCTCCTGGAGAACTACCAAACCAGGGTCGGGGTAGTGCTACCTCCGGTCCTGAGACCGTTCTACTTCGGGGGTGCATCGCCGCCTGTTACTTTCCTCCCTTTTACCGAGACATGACTAAGATTCTAATCAAATGCTGCCCCTACTGCTCCCATTTTCTACACGGCAGGGATGCGGACACTCAGCAAAACTTCCCATAAGCTTCCTGATTTGTGAGTCTTAAGGGCTTGTGAAGCACAACAAGGATTACATATCGACGCAACTACTGGTGTTCAACTTCACCCTTCAAATTTTCTTGATGGAAGCTCTACATATTAGACGTCGAGAGTGTGGTAGAAACATCTTGAGAGTGACTGAGCGAGATGTCCCCAAGTTTCACTGAAAGGGAAATATATATACAAAAAATGGCGGAGATAAGGTTATAATGCAAGCAAATGACAATTGTTTCAGAGAGATTCTCAACAAATGTCTGCTTACGTGGTAGCCGTTCAGGTACAAGCAAAGTGCTGCAAAAGCAAAACCCTTACGCGTGATACATGATTATTTGAGAGTGAAGACGAAGACGCATCTTGAAACCTCCCGCGCTGCGGCAAGAAGTGGCATCATCCGCGTAACTTTACTTCTATTTGTGCATTTAGGAAATACTTCTATTTCATTTTTCTTCTAGTGGTCGACAAGGATCCAATCAAGGCATGGCGTGCTGTGGTGGCGGGAAAGCACCAGACACGGTACTTTAGTTTGGAAAATGAATTCGTACACGTAGTTGTATTCTTAGTTTCATCATCTACTTCTAGTACTGCTGCTTATATAGATACCTTAAACTGTTACTCAGTTTCACCGTCGATTGCCACCTCTAGAAGTAGCACAATAAGACCACTTCTAGTATTTTGTTTTTACAACAGTCCAAGTTGGACGCCGAGTTGGCTGCAGCCAAGCGGGAAAAGGATGAAGCGGATAAAGAGACTGAGCGCATTAGGAAGGAAAAGGAGGCGCGTGAGAAGGAGCTGGCCGCAGAGAGAAAAAGGCTCGCCGAGCTTGAGGCAAAGAAAAATGAAAAGCCTGCTCCACTTCCTACCCCGCCGCCAAAGCCGGATAAGAACAGCGCTGTTACGTACTTTGCTTCTTCATACTGCTTGATGCTCTCGTCTGTATACTTTACATGTTAAAATTGAGCTGAAGACTTGCATCAGTATTTCATATTCTTAAATCTTTCTGCAGAGCGAAGCAGGCGTCACTCCAGCGACAGAAAGAAGAAATTCTTATGCTTGCGCAGAAAATGCTCGACCAAGAAAAGGAGTTGCCAAGTATAATGAAGCTGCAGCCACCCGAAGTCTCAACGCTGTACCAGAAGTACATCCGCAATCTTAGTGGCTTCCATTATGATGAACATCACCAGGAACAGCTGCAGATGTCGTTGTGTTTCCACCTGTCGTGTATCTTAGGTTTATTTCCCAAACACATGCCGACAGCGACAGATTCTACTGTTCCAGCTAAGTATATCAACGTTGTGATAAATGCCTTTAAGGCTGCACTATTTGTGCTCCGTTGATCCTTGGATGTATCTTCACGGTCTCTCTGAAGAAACCACTTAAACCTGAACAAGGTTATAATTGAACCGGAGATCATCTTGATCTCCTAGGAGACTCACGGGACCGTTGACTCTTGGTTGGAGTGACGCGGAGTGTCATGGATGCTTGTCCTCGTCTGGTTCTGATCTTGAATACCTAATTCAGATCGATTAGTAGGCACGATTCATTTCGTGCTCTCGATTGCGCTCTTTCCGAAAGGAATTCGGTTAGCAATTGGTTTGTATCCCCTGTATAGCCTAGCGCTTCCTCACGCCATTCTTCGGAATCCTGTCAGGAACTGTTTCACCTTGTTGATGGTTAGTGAGGACCATTGGAGGTGCAATGATGATGATATATCAAGTTGTAGCACTAGCAGTAGTACGATGTAAGTAGTTGCCGCACCCAATGAAAGCGGTACTTCAACAAGAACACGGGTTCGCTTCTAAAACCAGCAGCCGTATTTCTGCTTTGCGCTACTCGAGCTCGTTGCGTGCATTACCTTCGGCCAGATGAAACGCTGTGACCATCTATGTTGATCCGATTATGATGTTGTAGATTTCCATATAATCCATGTCATCGTACATCTTGATCTACGTAGCCTGAGGAGAAGAATAAAGAAGCTATTCTTGCACCAAACGAAAATGACGTAAAAGTAAAATTATAGATGGTCATTTGATATTGTTGGGAGCACAAATATTTGTGAGCAACTCCACATCAACCTAAGCACCCGCATGAGTAGTTGGAGTTGTGGTTGTGCGTACATAGCCGTAGTTGTTAAGGAGTCAGAAAGTTGTGTGAAACACTCTTTTTTGCTTTACGTAGTGGCCGTTGTTGTAATAATTCGTTCCTTCATTGTCTGTTGCTACGGTCTGGCTTAGGGTCGATGGGGCGATAACGTTGGTGGGCGCGCTACTTTTCGCACTCTACGTACTAGACAAACTGTTCTGCTGCTTGGGACGCTACTAAACCCATTGTCACTGTGATTCGTAGAAACAGTTGAGTGCTCCTTGTTATGTATTTATGTCTGAGAATCGTCAGAGTGTGTGACTTGTCATACTTCTCGTCTTGTTTGCCTTTGTCATGATACAATTCTTATTGATTCTAATTCATCTTCATTCGATACACGCAATCAGGTGAAAATCTGCTTGGGTCCTGTTTACAATGCGTTGGATGGCGACCCACGAGGGTTGGGTAGGCGGTTACAACTTATGTATAGCGGAGGATCGGAAATGACGACTCTCCCCACCGACCCAGCGAGCAGAAAAGCTGCTGTAACTAAGGGCTTTCAGATCTTTGACCTCTTTGCCGACATGGCGGGATGGAGAAACAAAAAGTACGTCAACATTTGTGATTTTGGATTCGGATTCGGGTACTACTAGCACTACATGTTAGCATGACATCAACAAGAACTCAAGAAAAAAGGTGGTCTCTAACTCTATCAAGGCCACAGCGACTGCTTGCCGAGTCGCTCTTGTCTTCCTCCTTGACGATTGCCACACCCCATTGAAAATCTTCTACCAACAGGGTCTACGTAGTTTTGTCCGCTGCAACTGGTGGAGTTTCGATGGCGATAGCATTTGGCTGGGTGCCGGTAGCGTTTGTTCTCACCATGATGGCAGAATTTCCGGCAGTTCTATCCCTCTTTCTCACTAGCTGCGACCCCGTCCTCGACATTGTCATGTTGGGTTTCCACTTGCTACGGATACGTACCACCTCATCTAGAAGTTTTTCGTGATGCGTACGAATATTTGCAAGAGCGGCCTTAGTAAGGCTCTTCACATCGAGCTACTCTTATCGAAAATGATCATGATCAGAAAAACTAAGACGTCCCTACTCGACGACAAGATCATTCTACTTTTTGATAGAAGTCCGTCGTACTTCTACTCTACTTTTTCATAGAAGAAAAAGACAACATACTACTAACTACTTACTTACTTCGTTCTTTTCTTGTATTAATTTTTTGACTTCCTCCAAACAACTCCAGTATTCCTTCTCGATCTGCTGATTAAACTGTGGGAGTGCTACGGAGGCAGCGATCCGGGATTCGTAAAGGACCATCTCCGGGAATATGGCGCAAATTGCTACTTCGATAGAATGGGTACAAGCTTGGTCGACAATAAACTACTGCTACTAACTTTCTTAGTAGAACTTCTGTTTCATTTTTTTATCTCATACAATTGATCAACTCTTTTTTGTCTAAGGTCTACCTGCTTATCTCATACGATTGTTCAGCAACAGCATAAAAATCGTAAAAGAGAAGCATCTAAATGGGAAAATTTGATGAACCCGCATCTGCACTCAATACAGAGGCGGGTATCGGAACGAAGCCAATGCGGGAGGATGTCCGCTACGCCTTTTATCCGGAAGAATTAAAGCCGGAGTCATATAAGGACATTGAGCGTATCAATGTCGAATTGCGAAACCTGGAAAACGAGTTGGAATCCGCGACGAAGCCTTTGCTGCCATGAGGACGAGATCCATGGGAGAATGATACGTAAACCGTCTAGGTCTACTTCTCAAGGCTTTGCTGTTTAGGAGAATGTTACGTAGGCGTAGAAGACTATCTACATCTAAGTACTTCTCAACGTCAACGTGGTGGTAGTTCTGTTTTCGAAAGCTAGGAAGTGATTCAAGCAGACTCTAACTTAAAAGCCAGATCATCTTCAGAGTTTTCAAATATGCTCAAGAAAACGGACTGAGATCACACGATACAACAATAAGGGTATGGACAACAAAATTGGCCTCGAAGTGCCGGCGGTTTGAAGAGCACTAAAGAACTGCTCGATGGTTTTTTTTTTGCCGAGAGCTAATGTTAATGAATCCTATTGGGAGTAAAGGGAGAACAAGATACACATACCTCCTGACGGGGGGCTCGTACCCTGGAAAAAAATGCGTGGAGCAGCCACCAGATATCCTAATGCATCATGGAAGTATCGGCTGAAAAGTCGGGCTCGAAGATCGTCAACATAGCGGTGAGAAATATGGAAGAACTGTTTCATCGCTCGGAGAATGGAAGCGACTAGAACTTCATCAAAAAATAATCGATGAGTGTCGTCGTCTTTCGAAGTAATCTCGTGGATGCTCGGCACTTATACTCGTTCTCGTCTTGGGTGATTGTCTACCATACGGCTCTAGTCGTGAAGAGGAGCATCATCGAGACAAGGAAATAGCAATTTCATCATGCGTCAGTTTTCGGTGAAGAAAAATAGCAAGGAATTTTGGGACTAAGACCAAATCGAAGAAGGTTGAATGGATGAGACTCTACAATCTGTCGTGACTCGTGACACTCGTCTCCTTGTTTCTATGATCGTTGTTGCTTAGAACTCGTGCGTAGGAGGTCCGATCACGAAACCCGACTCTGCATTTCCCTTGCCTACCGCTTCGCCAATAGCTGCATTTATTCAGCTTCCTGGTCGGCATCTAAAAGATGAGCCTACTTGCCCTTGCGCTCTAAGCTCATCTTCATTAACATTACAGATGGAGGTACATTATTTTTCTTGAAAGAGGATAGTGCTCCTCTCACTGACTGAATGCATCTGCTGTAGATGAACAAGACAGAAACATCAATGGCACAGTATTCGTATTATAGTAAGATGAAGTTGAAGTACGCTCGAAGTGATTACTTATGCTTTTATTTGTACAATAAATTTGTTATCAATTTTTATGTGAATGAGGATGTTGTTGTTGACATGGATCTTCTATTAGACTGTAATTCTAGTTGTTCTGATAATATTTCAATACTTCATGGACGATCATCGCGTTCCAGAGGGCAATGGACGCTCTAGATGCCTTCGTGAATGCCTCCTCGGACGTTTCGATTTCTACGAACAACAATAACGGAAATTTTTGCCACGGCTTCGTGCATCAAAGACCGCATACCGACGTTGCGATCGCCGGCGGACATCACCAACACGCCATCGACGGCATCCGTAACCTCAGCAGCGATTATAGCTCTGGTACGACGGCGGGTCAAGGTCAGCAACGAGACAGGATTCTGCGACAGAATGTGTCTGCCATAGATCAAGCATCGCTTTTGAGATTCGCTACAGCTGCCACACGACCTCCTCCAGACCTGCTTGATTCGAATGCGGCGCGCAGTGTCGCAGCGGTTCTTCATACCCTGGATCATCGGCTTGACGAACTGATTAGTTCTCAACCCGGGCCGCGCTCGCAACGCCTACAGGCACATGTTTGGGAAGGTCCCGAATCGTCGCTTTCTGCCCAACCCAGTGGCAGTTTTCCCCGTGACCAGAATGTTGCAGTAGATTTGGATGCAAGAGACGATCATCGTGAAAATGACTATACGCACCATGGTACACGTTCGGCCGTGACGACTACTACACGCCGAGTAGCCGCTGGGCAGCCATTGCAGGCTTTCGTGTGGGAACAACCGAACCATGATGACCGCACGGTTTCTACGTCTTCAATACAGGAAGGAACGGTGCTTTCGCGCAACGCCGCATGTGATGGGCCAACAATCGCAAGCAGTGCAGTCGGGCCTGGCACCGCTGCGACATCTGTGCGGTCACCACCCGTCGCCACTGGAAGGCGACAGCGTGGGTCTCTCGAAGAAGACTTTGGGGGTCAATCTTTGGATCAAATTTTCGCGAGAAGACGTGCAGATACAAACGCGAGAACGCGCTATGCCGCTCGGCCTGTGCAGGAAAGTGAACAACGACAGGAGGGAATCGATGGACAAAGACAGGCGCAGGCCACATTCGTCGGTAATGCCGAATCTTTTTCTAGCATAACGAGGGTACGCGGCACTACGCAACCTACTACTTCTAGAACACAAGTACCCGAGGCTGGCAGCACTGTGGACCTGATGGATGCCGACAGACGACCGTCAGACTTTTATCATGATCCGGAGATGACAATCGGAGTCGGACAGTATGACAATCATTATCGCCCTTCAGTAGTTAGCAATAGTTCTAGGCGGAGAACTACGCGGCCGTCCCGCCATCACCCTAACCCTTCTAGCATTAGCGGTTTGGGCAGCACCGACCCACAGGCGCCAGATTACAACCCCTATCTTGCTTTATCTGGAGTAGTTGACTCAAGCCTACCCGGTGGAGTCGCGGTTATTGATGTAATGCTCGGAGGAACCGTCAACGACTATGACGTCAGCAGAAACTACATCGAGCACAATGCTGATGTTGATGAGAGTCATTTGCACCTTAACGAAAGCGGTCGACATCAACGTGGTCGACCACAACCAGCACGAGGCTTCCGACAACGCGCTACGGTCGACGATTTCGGTGGAGCGCTGGATGACATTCTGGTGCAACCAAGTGGGTCTTCGCGGCGTCTTGGAGCATCGCGTTTAGGTAGCTCTGACGCGAATGAGACTGATGAATACAACGCTGAGTCAGGTGGTGCTGGCGGCTCAGCTGTAGTTCAGAATATGCAGGCATCGAGAGCAACAAATGAAGACTTCGGTGGCAGCCTGGAAGACATTCTGCCACGCCGTGTGAAGAAACCGCGAAGCAAATCAGCGAGTACAGCGGGAGCGGGTGCAAAAAAGAAAGTCGATAAAATTCGGTCGGTGATTTTGCGAAAGACAAACCGAGATCTTCTTGGGGAAGACTGCGCATTTTGTCTAGGCGAATTCGAGGCCCTACAGAATGTACAAATTCTCCCTTGCTCACACGTGTTTCATACGGCATGTTGGCGCAAGCATTGCATCCATTCCTTAAAACAAGCAAAAATGGACCCGTCGGTGCGCTGTCCACTGTGCAGGGGAGACGTAACGCACCTAGTCCCAAAGTAACAGATCTTTTTTTTCCTGACATGCAACGTTTTCACGAGGGCTTACGTTTAGGTTTTGCTTGTGACATCATATGTACTTATGTGATAGGTAGATGGTGAACATTCATGAATCACCATCGGAATCATGGATTTTGATTTTTGTCTCTAACGAGGAGTTGACGTGTTACTAGAAGATGAAAAGAACAAATGAGTGACGCTCATTTGATCGAATTTGTTGAGCGCTGTAGGTTTTTATCTGTTACAAGAGAACGAGAAGTTGAAGCAAGAAGTCGAAAGGAGCCTCTTCATCTTGTCGTTATAGAAGATCATGTAACTGTAAGTAGAAGCTGATAGCCTTCTATACGGAAACAATCATCCGTTCGTCCTCAGTCCATGCTGCGTGGGCTCGATGTATGAAGACCTACCAGTTTTGCTTTGCGAGAAGAGTGAGATAAAGATACTCGCCAATACGCGAGTTTTTGTGTGCGTGAGAGGGTTTGAGTATTCACTACACGATTACGACGAAACGGAAAAATATCTGTGGTTTTTGTGAGGTGCTGCAACGCACTGAGAGAAGTATCTCACATCAGTCTGTGCTTGTGTGTAGGAGAGAATGTAGATTGATCGTTCTTCGGGAGTGTCGAGCGGCAAGTGTTGCCCTTGTCTCGATGAAAATCGTTTTTTCTATTGTCATTTTTCCGCAACACCTCCAGGGAACCCAATGAACACCTCACGCTCCACTGTTTACCTTTACATCCTCCAAGTGAATATTTCTTTGTTCAATCATGCTATTTCAATTTCTGAATATATATTTTTATCTGACGAGAACAGAAAAGGATTGTAAACGCACTCTCTGTTCCTGCTCGAACTAGGTTTTCTCACTGTAGAAGGCACATCCTTTGAGAAACTATTCTAACGAAATTGACATTGAGCCTTCCCCACTATAATTTGATTTTCGCATCGGCCATTCGAGACCCCTTACCCAGATAGAAATTGCATATTCTTATCATTTGTGCATCAATCGAGATTCGTATTCAGATTACTCGTTACTGCAGCCTCTTCGACGAGACGGAGTCATACAAGTAGAGGACAAGAAAATGGCGCAGCCAACAATGGAGATGACGAAGGAGGAAATTGAGGAGGCCTGCCTCAAGGGTGACCTCAGCAGGCAATGGGAGTGGCACTCAACCTTCCGGGATGCTGCAAAGAACATGTACAGAACAAACACATTCGACGGTCTGCACATGAGGGAAAACTGCGTACTCTGATTTTTTTCAACTTCTGCTTAGTCTTCGTAGCTGTCGCATAGAAGTATGAGTATGAGCAAAGCAACAAGCGTAATCTAGACTCCATTTTTTGAGTTCTAGTTCTTGTACTAACTTGTATTGTCTTGTTTTAACTCCAACTACTTGCTACAACGCCTTCCTCTGTCTTCTTGATGTCAACTTCATGTACACGACGGAAGCTATCGTCAATATAATCTGTTTCAGGTAAGATCCAACTACCCATCTGGCTATGGAGGACACGTACCACAGCTGAAGCATGATATGTTGCATTTGAACACAGCCCAGTATGAGAAAATGAAGCTTGCAAGTGTGGACCCAGGAAGGTAAAATTGATACATGCGTCTTAATATTGAAGATGGTGACTATCTCTATCCCCTCCATCTCCCATTCTTCAAATGAAGATATCAAACTAAGTGTAACTACAACAAGGAACAACACCAATATCTTCTATACCATGCGCTCGCCATGCCATTTTTCCCTTTTCTCTTATCGAGAAGATTTTTTTTCATGCAGTTTCACTTTCACTTTCACTTAATACACTTTCTTCGCCGATCATCATCGACACACATTCTACAACATAAACAGGGACACTTTTCCCTCGTTCAAGCAGCAGAAGGATGGTCAAGCGACTTTTAGTCAGCAGGCACAGGCATCGACACCTACATTCGGCACGCTTCCGGACGTGCGAGTCCAGCCGCCATGGGCCATCACGCCACCGATCTGCACCGTGCCAAGCTTTCGTGTGGTACTTACTTTTTCGATGCCCATAATGATTGAGATTGTTCATCTCTATGAGTATCAGTATGATGATTATATGTGATTTTTCAAGAATCTCTTTCGGTGGAGAGGTTGAACATGAACTCGGTTTTGATATTACTTCCATTTTTAGTTTATTATCCCTCTTGCTCTTCTACTAAACCAGACTCCGAATATGACGGTTGCAACGAAGAAGTAAATATAAAATTTCTATCGAAAGCTGTGAAATGAAAATGTCGACGTCGAGGGAGGCTGAGGATGAAAGTTGTCAGAAATACTAAAACGCATAACCCGACGAGCCGGGGGAAGCACGCACTGCAACAGTTGACGAGTTTTATCATACTCGTCTTCGAGATAAAATCTAGTACAAGCAAAAATGAGAACTCATCTACTTCTAATCCCACTACTAAGCTTATCCAAAAGAACATGGCCAAGATTACTAGCGGAAATTTATTCACCGTGACAGTGCCGACGTAAATTAACCTAACTGTAGTACTAACGGAAAATAGTTATACGAGATGGAGATGCTGTGCTGCTGAAAATACGTGATACTTCTTCTAGTCTTTTATCTGTGAGAAAAAAATGCGCTTCGCGGCATTGAAATTGTCAACGATGAGAAAACATATCCAACACTTGTCCTGATTAATATCGAATCGAACTGCAAGGGAAGAACGAGAAATTCCTTGTAGATATAGAACGCGACATTCAATGACATAAAAATGAACAAGGCACTAGCACAGCATGAAAATGAACGGGATACTAGATAATAAGGGCGACATGATGAAACTTGGAGGGGAAGCAGCTATTTACTGATATTGTTTGCATATTTTTGCGCAGCAGTAAAAGCTGCGTGTGTTCGAATATGCGTGACCTGCTTGTCACGAAGCATGCTCGATTGTCATCTCTCATGATGAATCACGAAATACTTCTTGTAGAGATGGAACTACAGGCTCCACGATCACTTGACCGAAATACTAATGCAATGCACGACCACTCGCACATTTTTTATGCGTCCATGCACTATAATACTACTTATTTATTTCATTATGGTTTAGGATTTTGTCGTTACTCTTTCTCATCCGGGACCATAATATCAAATCGTAGCGTTACTAGGAGCGTTGTAGATCATGTTAACAACCACAAGGCGACGAGTTTTTGTTTTGGATTTTAGTTGTGTACGGGTTGACTCCTATTTTTAGTATCGGCAAGGAAAAAAGTAAAACATGGCCGCTATGGCAACCGCACGACGTGAGGCCATTCGGCGGGAGCTTCGTGAGCGACGAAACAAGACAGCACAAAACCAGAAGAACCAGCCGGTTGAACAACTGCAAGTTTCGGCTGGTGTTGATGCTCCACTGAACGCGATCGAGTTGCAGCATCTTTTTGGCACCGCAGCTGCTTCGGGGGTGTTACCAAACGGTGAAGACAATGGTGGAGCAGGACAACAGGCACAACAGCAGGACGTCGATCGGTATGACTACATTGAAAGAAAAAAGTCGGTGAACGTGGTCCCGACACTGGCTACGCCATCGCGTCAGAAAGAACAAGAGCGCATAGAAGCTCGCCAGGCAGCCGCAGATGAGGTGGAGAAGAACGTGCGAGTACTTCAAGGCCCAGCGCTCAAGCGTTATGATGCAGCTCCTGACGCGAACGAGGAAAATAAGTCTCAAGTGGATACCGCAGCGGATGCCCATGAGGGTTTGGCTCAGAAAACCCATGACCTTTTCCTTCGCCGGGACCGCTACACTTACCATGACAAATACATCGACGCTTTGTCGGCTATGCAAAGAAATCATGTTCAACAAGTGCCACCCTGTGCCTCTGGAATGCTTGATGAATGGTGCATCTTCGGACGGCTGGAGCTTGAATCTGGCCCACTTAGCTACGGCTGGCTGACGGAGGCGGCCTTGTGTGCCGGTCTCTGTCGCGACGAAGGACTGACTTGTGCGCTTTTCAATGATGCTACTGGTGCCGCATCCTCATTCTCGAGGAGTGGCACTATTAGACCTCACACTTATTTTCTGTCACGCCGCTTGCTCCAGAGGCATCCGTTGGGAACGAATTTGTTTCCTGAGGACAAGAACGAGCATGATGAGAGTGGTCCTGATGCCAGCTCCTCATCGACATCGAGGACTCTTGACGAGGCTGGGATTGCGCCACACCTTCAAGGCAGCATACAACATCATTCGAACAATTATGATGCGAGGATTGCGGAATGGATGGCTCACGTTAGTTCTTCCCTTACTTATCATCTGCTCGACGTAGACCTAAACATGTCACCTGTATCATGGTGTGAGTCGTACATGGACCTCCTGCGCATCTCACGCGACTACGGGGAAGAAGCGCGCGGCAACTCGGGTCCGGTCGACGACTATCTACAACACGTTGATCACGAGCGACGTACTTCATCTGTCCCTGAAGAAGATAGAAACAGGGAACTGGCTGAGGGCTGCTCCAGTAGCGACCATGCTCCAGTACGAGGTGTTGGCTTACCAGACAAACGACCTCACGGTGCGGACGAGGCGAATGGTGCAGGCGGAGCCACGAAAAGGCGAAAGTTCGAAAAAAATGAAAAAGCAAGAACAACGCTAGAAGCAGGTGGACGTGGCCAAAAAGACAGTAGAAGGCCGGTTCGTCGTCACTACCGGCGTCTCCATGCCTTTGATATCGGAGAGCAGCAGCGAGAAGCAGAAGCACAGGAGGAGGAACCTGTGACGGGGCTACATAGTCCCAATTCAGAGGATGCTTCGCGACTTCTAACCGCAGAGATCTTCATCTGTGACACCAAGGACATGCAAATTGTTTTTCGTAGTGACGAGGAGGTCCGCGCTGCACCTACAGACCTGTCATTTTGGCAACTACTCCAACGACACCGAGTTCCATTCGAGTGCGCTGCTGCAATTCGCTACCAAGGTAGCCATGGACAGTCACACTATTTCGTCTCAGGGTCTTCATCGGGGTACGCACACAGCGCGGGGGACATTCAGAACCTAGCACGAGGAAATCGCATGGACGTCAATCTGACTATTACAATTACGACCACGTTCACGAGGACCACCTTCTACTTTTGTTGATTTCAAATTCTACTTTGATATTCATCAAGGGGAAATCACATTCTCATTCACCATGGTCATCCAATCAACCTAGGTAGTTGTACGTACCATTTATGGTTCTTGAAATACTATATGATTAATATATGAAAAGGAAATCTGTTATCATTATCATACTTTTCTTCTTCAGAAACTTGATAATGATAACAGATTTTCGTTTCATCAAATAGATTATTTTCGTTCTATAGTAAAGAAGTGCCGTGGTGGTGGTTGCGGAGTTTTTATTGTCCTCTAAGTAGAAAAGTTCCGACACCACGCTGTATGTAAGAGGAGCCGGCGCTGTTGCAGCTTTCGCTGACGTCTTTCGCATGAGGTGCTTGTTACAAATTGTGTTGGAAACATCAGCCGCTGGACGATGTTGAAATAGACAACCAAGGAGAACTAATGTCAATAAGTAGCGTGTTGTAGAATTCGCCATGGAAATCTTAGGCAGCCTGCCGAGTAGATTCACGCCGTCAAGGAGCTTGCTGTAGCGCCAGCGCTAGAGCTGTCAGTAGTTGTTTTTACTTTCACAATACTCACAGTTGCTCACTTGAAAGAATGGATACGCAAGGGGAAATATCTTTTGATGAAGGCCCGTCATCTATTAGTTCTTCGATCCCGATTTTCTATTTAAGGTGTCTGAATCGGAACCGGTATAAGAAGCAACCCTTACCGAGACTGATAGCGCAGCATTCCTTCTTGGGGGGACGCTTGCACCGCTGTACAGCTCATGTGGCTAGGGAGGAGCGACATGAGACCACGGACCCCTCAGCTGCAAAACACGCAAGCAACGCAGATTTCGCACGGACCCGCCTCAATTTTGATGGTCACGACAGTGTTGATGAGAAGCAATCAGCTTCAGGTGTAGTGACGCTTGTGAATAATTATCTGACGCTGAAAGGCGCACTCTTTCCGCGCCAAATTGCGCGCTTTCTCAGCCACGCTGCTGCCGCTTCGGATAACTTCACAGCGACGCTTCTAGCAGGACCCACTGCGCAAGTCTGCGACGCCGTTCTTCAGCGAGTCGCTTATAGCAATACCTCTAGAAGTAGGAGCACTATTGGCAAAACACACGAAAAAGAACCACCCTTCTCACTCTTGTGGCAGGAGGTAGTGAAAGGAATAGAATAACAGCAACAGGCCATGGTCATCATGATGCCGAGTAATCGCATCGTCGTGATTCGCATTCGAGGAGCACGAACTACATGTAGATAAACGTAAGAAGGAACATGATCCTTTGTCTTGGTCCCAGGCATGCGCATGTGCTCCTTGCTCTGCAAATGAGCTACTGGATTGTCATCAAAAAGTCTACTTTTACTTCAGATTTAGTTTTACGTCCCTCCAGCTCCACAGAGACATATTCTCCTCTGCAAGGATGTAGATTAACTGACGCATTCTAAGAGAATACGCCGCATCAGGTGCACTTCTGTTCTCAAGACATGTGAGATCCTCCGAGCAGGGATACTATTGAGAGATAAAGGCAAGACGAGCACGAGGTCATATTCTGATTTGCGCCATGCTTACGGTTACAATGGTGAAGATATGAGCACGACACATAAAGAAAAGGCTCGTTTCTCGTCCGTTGTGTGAGCACTACGACAATGAAGATCTGTATCAGGAACCGCTTGGCGGAGACTGGAGGACGAGTAGTCCCAATCCTGAAAAAGGACGTATCTCTATTTTTAGATTTACATGGCAGGCTTCAATCAACAGCATCACCATCTGTCTACTTTTGATGAGAGAATGTTATGATCCTGATATTAATACAACAAGATAAATCTGTGCCTCGGCGGACAGCATCTGTTGAAGATTAATGAATAACTAATTGTTGTTATCATAACGGTGGCTCGTCGACGAGTAGCCCAGGCGAACAAGATCCTGCATGTTGAGAGTTTTGCTGATTCATTGGAGTAGAGTCGTGGTCCTGTTGTAGTCATCTGTCATAGTTGTATGAGAGATTTAAGCATCTGTGACTGAGCTGCTTCCTCCTGTGACTGTGTTGAGGTGAATGTCATTAAATGTAAGGAAAATCTGTACTCATTCTTAAAATCGAGATGCAAAAATTTTTCGCGTGTTGAGATTTCGCCGCTTGGCTGGCCACTCACAACCGGCACCGGGCGCAATCCATACGGCGAGGGGACAGGCGTGGCACAGGAAACCCAGGAGAGAGGGCAAACAAAGCCACCCAAAGCGACACAAGCCAGCCCAAGAACAAGGGCGCCAGGCGCTCACTTCCTGCGGCTCGGGCGTCAAGCCAACACCCTGCTGCTCTTGGGAGTCACACGCGCACACGCGCGGCGGGTGCCGCTGCTCATGTGCGTTGCTGGTGACGAGGCACACGCCAGACAGCTCGCGGCGATGCTATGCCAAGAGAAACGGGGCCCACCCCTGGAAACAGTCAAGAGCCACGAAGACAGCACCTCTGCGAGGGCGGCGCACAGCGGTGTCGCTGCGCGACCCTCTTGGGGGCTTGGTGTGCGTGTGTTGTTGTACCTTCTCAAGCGGTGTGAATTAAATTGCACACAACTTTTCTCAACGCCTGCGTCTGGGGTGTGACTCAGCCCCTCAGGCCCAGACGCTGAGAAGGTTTGCCATCTTAGTTCAAAGATAGAATTAACCTAGTGTGAGGAACCTCCCGAGGGCGGTCCAGGCTTGGGAAGGCTCCAGCGCGTGCAAATCTGGACAAGCTTCGCTAGCCATTTCCCACTAGGTTCCGCCTATGTACGGACTAAGGCGCGCCTTTTTCTGAACCTTTGAACTTTGAGGGTTACTCAGGACACACCTGAGACGCGGACGTTGAGAAAAAGGCGCCACATAATTAACCCCTCGAGCCTCTCCTGCACTAGAATCCGTCGCCTGGTGTGTGCTGCAGTCGGGCCTGATACCCTTGGCGCAGCTCTTGGGTGAATGTGCTGAAGGGCTCCGACAGCTGCCAGGCGGTGGCGGCTGCTGGCTCTCTGGCTGAGTGCCTTCACGGTCTGCAGCGCGGCGCCCACTCCTGACCCCGTTTCGCCGGGTGTTGCTGCCTATTTTGCGCAGCTTTGCTGGTGGATTGCTCCCAGGATCCGCGCGCCGCTTCCTTGGCGTCAGAGTGCAGCCGGCGGGCCCTTGGCGTCCGCGCTCTTGGGTTGGTTAGTTTGTGTCGCTTTTGGTGGTTTCGGTTGTCTTTTCTTTGGAGTTCGCGCGCCACTTCTGTGATCTTGCTATAAGTTAAAGTACCGCGCCCGGCCCTCGTTGTGGCTTGCCATCCAAGCGGTGAATGAAAAAAAAACTATAACCCCCTTTGAGAACAATGAGTACAGTGTTTATCTCCATAGTCATGCTGTGAATTGTACGAAGGAGGCTTCTAGCCCTAAAAAAAATGTTGAGGATATCATGTCATGGATGAGAGTCTCTTGGAGCTCCAATCATTGTTTGAGTGCTCCTGACCTTCCATGATTTTACACTACGCAGAACGCAGATCATGATCTTTGCCTTTCTACGTTATCCTTTTTGTTTGTACTAGCTTTTCACTTTTATTCGACATTCATAAGATTTATTATCTGCCTCTTCTTAGCTTTGCCTTTGCTTGTTCGATCTAGATCCCCAACAACATTATCTTTGTTCCCTTCATGTCGAACAATATCAATAGTGGTGCTTCATACAAGACCAGAACTTGAACTTCTTTGTGATCTTAATCGTCACATGCCACATTCGTAGTTCAATTGTCGAGATATTTATAGCGAGTGGTAATTTTGTGAGAGAAGTTTGAGGTAAGATCAACTTGATTTCTTGTCCGTTTTCATTATTTTCTTAACTACGAAATATAGATCTTTTGAAAATGTACGCAAACGACCAACAACAACAGCAGCAGCAGGCTGCGCCCCCTGCTGGTTACAACTACCAGCAGCAACAGTATCCGCCTGCTCCGGGTTACAACTACCAGCAGGAGCAGCCTGTTGTGAGCGTGGACGTGCCGGAGCAAACGTGGGCGCATAAAGTTGCGCTATACCATAATCCAGCCCTGGGTATCGGGGTCGTGATCCTCCTTATCAATTGTGGTTGTGCCTGCGCCAGTGGGTTGGGGGTCATCACTTTCCTCACCATCTTGAGACTGGTACTCTTGATTCGAATGCGAATCCGAATTTAGAACTATTATTATCGTACTAGCCTTCATCACAAGCTTCGCCCGGCTTCAAGTTTAGCACTTTTCTGCCTCCCACGGGGTACAGCCGCTGGAGTAGAGACAGCCCGCTGGTGGGCTGTTGCGCTCTACGAACTGACTACGAAACGAGCCGAGTGCCGGCGCTGGCCGACTCAGATGCGTCGACTCTTGGGCAGAGGATTGCGCTGCCTTCGGTTTTTTTATGGGATTGCCGGGCGGGGTCATGCAAATGCTCAAGAATTTGCAAGACCGCCACGGCAGTCCAACAAAATTGTGAAAAAAACCAGAAGAGAGCCACCGGACACGCACAAGAGTCCGCAGGCCCCAACGCGCGCAAACGCCTCGCAGTGGCACCAGGCAAGAACGAGGGGCGACCTTGACGGGCCAAACAAGAAAGAGCAGCGCTTGGCCGCGCTGCTTGGGTCTCTCTATGCGCCTAAAGCTGGCGCTAGTGGGCCTTCTTCCTTGCTTAGCCTGGCGTCTTTGGTCAGAAACAGAAGGGCACACTTCGCGGGAGCGTGGAGCGTCGCTGAAGGGCGACGGCGCTCGCCCGGCTGACGTCTTTCGTCTGGCTGGCGTCTTTCGTCTGGCTGACGTCTTTCGTCTGGCTGACAGCTTTCGCCAGGAAGGGGACTGGGACTCACGGTTTTCTTTCGTCAGACTGATGCCTTTCGTCAGGCCAGCGCTTTGCGTCTGACTGTCGGACCGACGGCCTTCGCCGGGCAGGCCGGCGCCCTTCAGCAGACGCCCTGGGTCAGGCTGAGGCCTTTCGTCGGGTCGACGTGTCTCTCGCCAGGCTGGCGCCTTTCGTCTGACTGAAGCGCTTCGCCTGGCTGGCGTCTTCTGCTGGGCCAAGGCTGACCACGCCTTTGGTAGGTCAGGTCCGTACATGGCTTTTTTCAGCTTGGCGCCCGCTTTTCGTCAGGCTGATGCACTGCCACTGACCAGCCCAGGCGACGCCCCTCGCCAGACCGGCTCACTACTTCGCCAGGCGGAGGCGTCTGCCTTGCGTCGGAACAGCTTGAGCCAGGGGAGCCCTTCTTGGGGGTGTGGATGTCTTTCGTCAGATTGAAGCCGATCGTCGGACTGACGTCTTGCGCCGGGCTGACCTCTTTCGTCGGACTGGTGTCTTTCTTCAGAGGTCTTCTCGATCGTTCAGGGCCTTTCGCCGCAGGTCTTTCGCCAGTTTTTTTTGCCAATCAGTCAAAGGCTTTTCGCCACAGGTGACAGGTCTGTCGTCGCGGGTCTCTTGTCAGCGGTCGCTCTCTCTCTTTATCAACGGTCTGCTGCGTCAAATTCTGCCAAAGGTCTTCCGTCGAAGGGCTTTTGTCAAAGGTCTTGGCTTTTGTCAATGGTCTTTCGTCCAAGGGCTTTGGTCCGAGGTCTTTTCTCGGAGGTCTTTTCTCGGAGGTCTTTCGTCCGAAGTCTTTCGTAAAAAAGAGATCTTTGCCAAAGGTCCTCTGTCGAAGGTCTGCCGCCACAGGTCTTTCGCCAAGGCCAAAGGTCTTTCGGTTTCGCCAAAGGTCTCTTGCTGAAGGTCTCTCGTCCGAGGCCTTTCGTCAAGTGTTTCTCTTCGGCCTTCTCGTTCTCTCCCCAGATTGCGCCACTACCCCCGTCGGGAATTTTTCTGGCTTCGTTTCTGGTAGTCTGCCACGGGGCCGCGTCGAATTTCCAACATGAAAACGGTCAGAGACTATCGAAGTTCGAGACTGAGGGGAAGGGGCCGGAGGCTATCGGCGATAGCCTCGCGGAAGAGGCTGACTTATCCCCGGTGGGGTAGCTGGGGAGTTTTGTGGCGGTGATCAGTGGGCTGATGAATATAGCTTAATGCCATTTTTTTTGCAATGTTTGACTTTGAGCAATATCGCCTTATAATAGTTATGATAGTTAGTACGTAGATAATATTATTAATTTAAGACTTAACGGCTCCACACTTTCCCGGCCGTTGCTTCGGCGACACACTGTTGGAACTGCTTTGTCGCGCCATTGTTGGGGTAGCCGTACTACATGGGACACCGTGTTGAAGATCATGCATGATATATTAAAGCAGATCCACATGATTGATAGATCATCAAATGATGATATGGGGACTCGATGTAAAGCATCCACGACCTAAAATTCGCATCAAAAGCATTTTTAGTCGCGTAAATCATCCAAGAAACGAAAATGTACTGTATGCGTAAAATGATGACTTCTTTGTCCATATTAAAAACTACATTTTCGAGCTAGTTGAAATTCGTTATTCATTATATATTTTTTTGCCGGGGGCACCTACAGACCCTGCCACTGGCACTGGTCCTGGTGCGCGTGCGTTTGCGCTATCTGCTTCTGTTAGTCTTATGATGTTAGGACCAGGAAGAATGAGAATTAAAATTATGATTATGTATACGACAAGCAAAATTGTGTACTGCTATCTTTACTTTTTTAGTTATTGCTGAAGCCGAACTCTCTACATTTATAATTTGTTTTAGCTACAGCTTTTGCTAGCTGAAGCTATGTCAACACAACTACTTAGTACTTTAATATCTGGTTCGGAATCACATTCTTGATTCTTTTTCAATCACGTCAGGTTTTGGCGAGCGTGGCTGTTGTGGCAACATTTATGGTTGTCGGGAATGTTGGTGAAATTTGTCGGGGTCCTAGACCTTTATATGGCGGTACGGGGTCGGAAAAGATCTGGCCCTTTGTCGCTATGGGGACTTCTTTGGTTCTTTGGATTCTGTCTTTCAGTTTCAGCATGTACGCTGTGAGCAAAGGCGGAGCCGCGCTTTTCGAGTCTGGTCTTGCCTCTACCTCGTGGTATTCAATATGAATTCAGAACTCTTTCCCCGTCGTTTTTGATAATGATGATGATGAGGAGTATGAATAAAACAAATATGTCCACCACCGCATCAGCATCACCAGCACTCGTGTTACTATGATAGTTTCTCCGTAAGTGGTCGCCATTCCGCCTTCCACTTCAATTTGTGCCACAAAAGCATGAAATTAAAAAATAGTGCAGCGAACTACCAATAGTGTGTTTTCTACTCCTAGCTGCAGCTGGTTGATCAGGTTACTTATATTAGAAGGCGACGCCAACTAGTATACATTTCGGTCTCGTGGTCCAAAAATACTCAGATTTTCAAGTGTTGAGTTGGTGGTGTTACGTTTTCCCTCATTCTAAGAAATCCTATCAACGTGCGACAACACACAGGTTCTTCGACCTCCTTTTTGTTTTCGCTCCTGCACTCTCGATTTTCATCGGATTGCTTTTTGCCTACATTTACGAGCGCTCGGCGAAGACGGAGCCGCTTCAGCAACCCATGACCGCTCCCCAGCCAGGATATGGAACAGTCTAACGCTGCTGATCGCGAAGGATAGGAGGTTCAGGGTTACTGTTGTACAATCAACTAATATGCCGGTAACCTCTCCGAGCACAGGTACCGGACAGCCAGGTGGAGATCAAGATTTATATCGATTCTCACACTATATACTTGGAAGATGTGGAGGAGCAGGAGGAGGATGTGATAATGAACAAGAAGAACATGCTGGAAACAAGTTCAAGAAGAAGTTAAAATATCATGTAAACGTTGACCTGGTAGTTGGTTGTAATATCACAGCAGGACAGATGCAGGACCAGAGAGCTAGCATGGTGGGACTAGGTGTGCATGTTTGCACGTTCTTAGCATAGCAAAGCTAGCCGAATGCAAAGACAAGGATTTGTTTGCCGATATTGTTTACTCAGTAGATTCAAATAGGCATAAAATAACGATAATATTGAAAAACACCATCTTGAAGATGACATGCCATGTAGTGAAGATAATATTGATTCTAGTAATGATATAAAGTAGAGCAGCATTTTAGATCAAGACCACAGATGATCGCAACGTGAGGCTTTACCGGTTCGGGAAATTGATTGAAGTTAAAAGTTTTTGTGGTAACACTAACAAACGTTTTTTCCTAACATTAGGTTGCAGGGTTGCACGCGCCTACAGTCAGCGTTGCGTTTCATCATCATTACGATTATCTGACTGATTGTGATCATTATTTTTATTCAATTATGTAATGTTATATGTTGCTTGTGGTGTTTGTGTTACTAGTAACTTAGACCGCCTGCCGTCGGATCGCCTTCAATCCCGACTATGTCATGGAGTCAAAATTGTATTTATAGATGTGTAGCGGTGATGAACTAACTCTAACTCCTTACTTTGCAGCGCGTCGATTCTTCAACATACGTAGAGTATCATAGACTACGTTAATTCTTGATTTATGTGCGACAACAATTGAATCAAACAAGACGCCAGAGGCAGAGAGTAAGCAACAGACAGGAAGTAGAACGAGATGAGCAGGAGCCTTGATTTAGTCATTATTTCGCCTACTTTAAGTTTAAGAGAAACCGCCAAGGACAGAGACACTCCGAAGACTCGCATGGGCCTCATGGTGTTCAAATTCGGACAGCCAGAGAATAAGGCGTGGCTTTATTTTCCTAGGCCATTGGTTTACGCACAGCCTGCCACAGTGTTCACAACTTCCGTCAACCTCGTCACAGTTGTCACAACTTCCGCGCCGCTCGTCATAACTCCCGCCACAGTGGTCATAACTTCCGCACCGCTCATCATGGCTCCAGTCAGAGTGGTCACAACTCGAACTCCCACAGTTGTCGAATAATAAAGTTTGGCTTTTCATAGGACTTGGGCCTTTCTAAACTTCTGCTGGCGGGCTGGCTCCTGTGTGTGACTCTGTCGACTACGTCCTCCAAGCGATTTTTACGGGCTCGCCATACTAGTACTGAAGCCATACCCTTCCCAAGCAAGGGTCTTGGTTTATTTGAACAAAAAGAAGCTTGATAAACGGTGCCTGCGGGGGATGCAGTTGGTCAGAGTTTTCATTTCAATCTGTGTGCGGAAGTGGAAGCATCGTTCTGTTGTGTGATGCCGAAAGCAATACTTGCAAAACCGTTTAAAATATCAAAATGTTGTGACAAAGGTGCTATGTATATTACTGCAGCGGTCTTCATATGAGAGTTGATAATGATTGTTGATGATGATGATCAATATTGTAGACTTGTCTGGAGTTGTTGTAGCGATAGACAAAATCAAGAGCGCGTACTAGAGGCAGACCAAGTCGTAAAAGCAAAAGGACGGAAGAAACAGAACTCTATTCGACGACGTATCATGAACAGGAGTCTTCCTGTGTTTTACTACCAACGAGTTTCGCGCGTAGTGGGGCAAAAAATTTGGATTAAATGTCTAAGCTTCTTAGGCGGAAACTTTCCGCAGCCCATGACGTGACGGCGCGCATGGAGTGAGGCGGACGGTTTTCCGCATTGCAGTCGTCTGCCTTAGCTCCTATCTTTGACCATCATAAAGTCGACGGATCAAAAACCTTCGCGTATTCTATAGGAGGCCAGCCCCGTTCGTCGCCGGCAGCTTCGCGGATAAACATGCAAGCTATTCCCTTTCGGATAAGCGTGGCACTACAAAAGAAAAAGGTCGAAGTCGAAGTGGGCCAGTCAATTGAGTTGTATAATGTCATAGATTAGAATAAGTCGGCTTCCCAGAATATTTTCAATGAAAATCTAGATCCACCACGACAGAGCCAGAAGAAATAACAATAAGAATCCTGGGTTAAGATTATGATTACAAAATATTTTTACAACAGCAGTATCTTCAAAAAGTCCGTTAAACACTTAAGTAAGTTTTGAGTACTGAAAAGATGGCGGCGCGAATGGGTGTGGGGAAGTCCCACCCCTCCAATGTAGGGATGATGGATGCTGCTTTTTTCGTCGGACGATCGGAGCTCCTTAATTGGGTCAACCAGTTGTTGCAGACAAGCCTAACAAAGGTACGACCACGACCACGCCTAGGCCTCATCATGATCATGCATCTGCATCAATTGTAACAAATTGCAATTTTTGTACGACTCAAACTCTTATTTCTATTCATTCTCATACATTTTCATTCTTCTTGCACAAGCTTTCTGCTTGATGCTTATGACGTAGTCTTAGCACAGTGTTTGGAAATGCTGAAACTGAAAATGAAAGACGATAATGGAATAACAACACTGATGGAAGCAACAAGAGGTGCATGATAGAAGGATAACTTACACGATGCACACTAACATTGACTTCCTGCTACATGTCATGAGGAGGTCAGGAGGGACATCATCTGCAGGTAGAGCAATGCGCGAATGGAGCAATATATTGCCAAATATTAGACGCGTGCCATCCAAACGGGGTGATACAACTCAAAAAAGTGAACTGGGTAGCGAAGAGCGAGCACGAACACATACCAAATTACAAAACGCTCCAGGCAGCCTTCGACAAGCTTGGTTCGTCTCTAAAATTATATATAAGGTTGTTGTAAATTTACTGTAAATTCAATCATGATGATCAGCATCAGGCATCCGATTTTTTTATGTATTCGTTTCACTTTCTGCATTTAGATCCGCTAATCGCGCCTCAGAAGTTTCATGTGGATAAACGGACTACTTGGACTTCTCTTGCATCTCCATCTTCTAGTGAATCACGCGATGCATTGGAAACCCCAACAGGTATCGATCGGAATATAGATGTGGACAAGCTGATAAAGGGAAAATACCAAGACAACCTAGAATTCCTCCAGTGGATGAAGTGCTACTACGACCATACTTTCGCGGTAAAAGTCCTTGTAAGTATTTCTAACCGTGGGTATGCGCGTGTGCAATCTTTTTATACTTCTGTGTGTTAGGTTCTTCATAATAATTGATTGCTGTGGCTGTATTTAGTCCACTTCTATAGCAAGTAGAACAGTCATACCTTATTTTCGATTCAAATTTTTGCAGGGCCATGGCTATAATCCGTTGGAGAGGAGAGGCGGTAAAGCTCTGATGGAATGGGCAAGAGCTGGCGGCCTAGGTGCACAGCAGAGTGAACCAAGCAGACCGAAACGCGAGCAGCCACAGATACGAAAGACGAGGCCAGGTGCTACTTTAAGCTGAAGTACATTTTCCTCCTCCATCCCTGAATATTATAATTGTGTTTGTGAGCAAGAGAAAGAGCAGCTGCTTCGCCATGAAAATAAAACGGAGAAGGAGGTTCCCTATGAAATATAGTCATGCCTTCCCCTACTGTTCGCAAGCCTTATTTTCATCGATATTTATCAACTTTGGAAACTGTATCGTGCCGCCGGTAGTCGAGGAGTACTACTAGGGATGGCAATCAATCAATCGGAGCTGCTTACGAATTTTTGACTTCGTACACCCTAGCATACTCGCCATGGCGTGTTCTTATGCTACACCAAGTTTAGTCCATTGTTTCTAGGTCCGAACGGTGGCGCAGGCGGCGCGCCTCCTCTAGGACCCGCACAGCGCAGCAATAACGCCGTTGGGGATAGTAACGCAGCAGCAGGCGGCTCAGCCGGCGGTCGTACCGTAGGCGTTTCCGCGATGAAAGAGGAGCTTCGGAATATGCAACTCACCCTTGACGGCCTAGAGACCGAACGAGACTACTACTTTCACAAACTCTTATGGCAGAAAAAGAGGTTTTTGCATCTGAAATGGTGACCGTGACCACCCCACGGACGGTAATTAATACGATTTATCAAATTCACTACCGACGAAAGGAATCTTTTTATGTGCGCAACTTTTTGCGTGGTCGCTAAAAATTAATCTATAATCCACAGTAATACGAATAAGATCCAGATCAACATCATGTACAATTGTTAATGTAATACGAATTATTGTCGTAAGATTATTCTGTTTCATTCTGACCTTCCGTTTCACCCACATCCGCTTCGCTTCCATCCCCTTTTCATGGTCTCGAGAAATAGAGATTTTGAGTCAAACGTTAGACCCCGACGACCCTGCCAGCACGAATGCCTTGCAGCAAATGGACGTAGGGACTCTTGTAAAGGAAGTCCAAAGGATACTTTACAAGGAGGATGGCCCCGAAACAGCCGGGGCGGGTGGCTAGAAAACTAGCCTTATTTGAATATGCAAGCTTAACTACCTTGCTTATCGTCCTTTGCTGAATTAGCGAAAAAATATCAGTAGTCACCCCATGCGCATGCTTATCTTCGTTGGTGAGAGGCCTACGAGCAGTTTTCGTCGTTGACATCAAGATGCGTCTCTCCATAGTCCAACAAATCAAAATTTCGAAACCCCAACACGATTTGAGGTTTTATTTGCCACCCCTCTCTCAGATTTACACTATGATCTATAGGAGCTTGATCCGTGATGTTCTCCAGATGCATGACGCGCAGTAATAATTTAGACAGAAAAGGCCTTATGTCCTATGATGTATCTTTCTCTCCTGATGCCTTTCTTTGTTCCCTTCGAGTAGTTGAAAGGTGAAAGAATGTTGTTGAGTGATGTTGGAGAAGTATCGCGTACCTTTTGATGATTCTTTGACGAGAGTTCATTTATGAGAGAAAATAGTCGGGGCTGAGTTTTGAGTTGCACCTTGCGTATGCAGCGCCCACCTCCACCGGTAATTGCAAAAAGAAAATATGACTGATTTTTATGATGAGAGAGGAGGAGCACACCCAGCACACAGAGCGTGAGAGTTGAAATTGGTTTGCAAACTCTGACATTTTGTCCAGAATGAGGAAAGAAAGCAAAATGGAAAATGGAGTCCTCGACGACCTCGGGGGAATGATACATATTATATATGGCTTCTCTATTTGTTATCGTGTCGTTGTACTTGGCATCTTCGACGATTCTCACTCCTGTTCGTTTTATTTACTCGTAATCGTATCGTCTATTCTTTTCAATCGTAAAAACGCAATTAAGAAAATCGAAGAGGAAAACAGGTGTGACGGGGAATGGCTTGTAGGATAAATTTTTAGCGGTAGATATATCCAACGAGATAGTACTAGGAATTAGATTTTGTGAATTCGTACTTGCATTCATTGTATGATCTCTACCTCAGTTGTCGTATCCAGTCGCTCAAAATGTTGATTCAATCTCTCTCATAATTCAAACCTAATTCTTCTGATGGTATTGAATAAGAAGTGTGAGAGAAGAGTTACAAAGAAAAGCCTATAAGCATTTGGGAATCAGTTGGACTTCAAATCGCATGGCCAACTGCCGATTGTGCTGCCCGCAATGCAGTGGGCGAGGGAAAGAAGCTGAACGGTAAACCACATTTGCTCGTGCTGGGAGCGCAATGAGCTTCGAATCGGGCGGCTCATCCGCGTCCTCCGCAGCAGGACGGCGGCATGATGAATGCGCCAGGAGTGGATCGCCGCCACGGACTTCTACGAGAAGAAGGACTGCTTTTGTCAACTTGCACCAACCTTTGTTCGATAATACTGGGAACGAAGAGGCAACTTTCAATAGAGAGGACGATTACCGCGTGCACTATGCCGCTGGGACGTCTAAGAGACCCAACACAGAGACGACACTGCCGCTGAATGATGGTCAGGCAGGTCAGCATACTCACCCGAGTGCGATACTTGTCTCAAGACTTTCAATAGGCGATGGCGATAATGCGGTGAGCGACAGAGGGCAACTACAAGCGGACAATCGGTCTGCATTTTTGGGGAAGCCTGAATTTGTGGTCGAACGCGAAGATGGTGTTGGGTGGCCATGGCGACGTCCAACAGAAATGGATCCCAGAACGTTTGCATGTAGCGTGATAGCACTGGAAAGCGCGGGGACGGCTGTCAGGACCGATGCAGACAAGGAGGCAGATGAGAGGCAAGAATCACCGTCGAAACTATGTCAGAAGAGTTTCCCGGATTCGTGTAAGAACGAGCAACGGAATATGAGAGTCACGCCTCCAGCCTCGAAAGGTACGCCCAAAGCAAGTAGAAGAGCACCTTCTGGTGACAGTCCTAGACGATTATATGAAAGAATAGTAGCAATTGCAAATACATCAACGTCGAACAAAGCCTCTAGAAAGACATACGACGCTGCGGACAAGCACAAGCAGAGCAACCCATGCTGCAGCGATGTAGACGACCATTTTGGGAATCCTCTTCTACAACTCCATTCTACTGGTGTGCAATCTTCTCCGGCTACGATGATAGGCCAAGCAGAACCACTGGTGAGTCACGTAGTTGAGATGAACCAAGACGAATCAGGACAAGATGTTAAAGCAAAAGCTAGTTCTCGTTTCTCTTCTACTAGAACTACTACTCGTGAGAGACGGAGATTGCATCATCGCTACAACCATGACAACGCAGAAGAATTTTTATCTCTCAATCCTGCCGCGCGATGCCGGAAGCGACAGAGTCAGAAACGAGAGCTCATCATATGTAGCGACGGCCTGTCTTCTTCTGAACGAACACGAAAACACGAGAGAAGCGGAAGAGGCTTTCTTATCACGACCGCTGTTGTAGGTGCACGGTTGACCGGGATCCTTAGTGGTGATCTTGGCGCTTTTGCTACTCCTACCTCAACAGCGGCAGCGGATAGAGCGCTTGTCGATGATATTACTTCGTCGGGAAAACAGAGAGGCACATTGAGCCTAGATCACGACAAATCACTTCCGGCAAGCGTCAGACGAGCGCAGGACGAGACTGGCGATGTCAGTGGCAGTGTCATCGGCACTTCGCTTTCAGCAGCCGCGGCGGCTGCCGCAGCATCGGCTGCAGGAGATAGTAAGGGTAAGTTAGGCGATGTGTTTTCCTCCTCAGCAGAAAAGAAGGATTCCGACGCCGCCGAAGAAGCCCCAGCGCGAAAAAGGGCTCGAAGACGGGCTGCCGCTGAGGAATACGATTTTCATAGTGACGGCGTGACTTCGCTGCCAAAGAATGGGGACACAAGTTCAAGTCTCGGAGCCGAGAGCATTGCCAATTACGTACGCAACGAGGATGGTAGTATAGTATCGCCGAGCTTTTTCGACGCGCCTGCACAACAAGAGGCTCTCCAGAACAATGTCGGTGAGGAAAATGATTTGGTGCCAGCTTGGTGGAAGCGAAAATTCGAAGAGCGGGTCGCCGCGGACAGCAAGGTTGCGGATTTGCCTTCCCTCAAGGGACTGCAAGGCCGCGAACTCGCGGAAGCCGAGGCCGCGCGACAGTTGCAAGTAGCCGCTGTGTGGCAGGATGTGTGCACCGAAGACGCCTACGTGCAGTTCCGCAAGGAGCTGTGCCCACCGACGTTTCCCGTCTCGTCTTTAGCCTACAATCCCACGGGACCAGGATTGACGACGAAATTGACGGTCATTTTGCGTCCAAGCATCAACCTCCTGATGGTGCCCAATAGCCTCGAACCGATTGAAATCGAATTCAGCTTTCCGAACTTCGGCCTTCCAAGTAATCTGAAACCCCACCCAACCGACCCAAACAAAAGACAAATCGAGGTACTTAAGTATTTGATTCAGCTTCCGTTTACGTAGCTCAACAAGGAACTGCGACTTGATTGTTCTACTTCTATGTGATTATGACAACTTCTTCAAGATCTTTTCCTTGTTGGTTGTTCAGACGATGAGATTTTGAAGTATGTGTTTTCATTCAGGTAACGGGTACGAACCATGTCGGGGTCGGGGAGAATCCGTTGACAGCCTATAATACGGACCAGAATGGTCTCTTTGAGACACCAGCATACTACGATTTCGTGACGTACAAGTTGTTACTTAAAGCAAAAGACAAATACATCGTGCTTCCAACGAAGAACGCAAACCTCGAACTATGTTGCTTTGTGCTGCCGGAAGAGCTGGCCCGGAATCCACTAGACTTCACGCTCATTTCCAGACAGTTGTCGTATATCCCGAACGAGCTGGGAACAGATATCACAAATGCGTACACGCTTCCGGAATCAGGCACACCACAACAAATCAAAAGCGTGCCAGAGGTGAATACTATGCTTTTCCTTCTTTCTGCATTGCAGCTAAATTAGGAATGCGTGCTGAACAAGAACAAGTTGGCGATGCTGTAAATAGAGACAATGTCAATGAACGGATTGTATTTTCGTTTTCTAAAGATCCTAGTGTCTGCTAGTAATTGAAATGGAACCTAGTTGGATGCAAAGCACCGACCCGCGACACACCTGGCACAGGCCTTTCTACGAAGCACTTAATTTTTTCACGCACTGGTAACTCCCTTTCAAACCCAACTACAACATTGAACATCACTTTTACTCCTAGATCGTGCGAGTAAACTTCTTCACGCATGTGGAAGTGCGATTCGACCCAGCTTTGTCGAATGCTGAGTCCGTCGTTAGCTTCAAGGTCCAGGTGAAATCAGAATTGCGCAACGGCGCTCGTATCGTCGCCACAGTGCCGGACCTCAGAAGAAATCCGAACTCGCAATCATGGCAGGACTTCCTTCGCAGCAGTTGTACTTTTTTCCACTATATCGATCTAGTATTTTTATAATTTTTCACGGGCTGTTACTGTTTTACGTTGTTTGAGTATAATGGAGCTAATGAAAATTCTTTCAACAGCTACAACAAGTAGTTGATTACAAATGGCTCTCAACATTTGACTACGAGTTGTACAACAACTATTTGTTTCGGAACCGCCATAATCGTACTCCTTTGTCTTTTTTTAGCTTCGTCTGCCGTTTCGGATATAAGTGGGCCTGTCGGCTTCCAGACGACCGGAAGTGACTGGGTACTCTTCGAGTATTTTGCGCAGTACAATGCAACTGCGAAGGCTATCACGTTCTTTTTGCGCACAGACAGCGTGCTGCCCGCTGGTAAGATGATTACCTTTATGACAGTGAAGGACGACTTTACCCTGCCGAACTCGCTCCCCAGCAACAGTGATCGCCTGAAGGTTGGCGCTTTTTCTTATGACGGCGTCGACGAGATGATTCAGGCGACACCGGTCTTCCAATCCGATAGAATTCAGGAAATGCGCATGTTCTTGCAGTCGCGGCTCGAGTATAGTACACCCAGAACCAACGCAGAAGGTACGAAGAGCTACGTGGACGTTACACTCACTTTCCAGACGAACACGCCACTCTGGAAAGACAGCATGGTAATTTCTCCATCACAATATAAAAAGAGAAAGGGTGCTGTTTTTTTTCGAGAAATAATCGTAATCGTTAAAGAAAAAAACTGCTTTGTCATTCTCGCGGATTGTGATTCATCTTATTTCGATAGACTTTATTCTGCCTCATCTTTATCTGGCATAGTTAGTGTAAACCATTTTCATTTCTCCCATCGCACATGTTTTCCTCTACCACGCCTTTCTCTTTCTGATGTCTTTCATCTGTCTCTCCAGGTCTATCTGCGTCTTCCCGGATTTTCATCGGAGGTGACTGAAGTTCAGATAGTCGGCAATGAGGTGAAGTTCTTCCGGAATCAGGAGGCCGTTTTCGATTTAGCTAAGAATGAATTGGCGATGAAGGTGGTGAGAACCTTGTATTCGCAGGCGCCAAATTTAATCGCCATCACGCTTGTCGACCTCCAAATTCCACCTGCCTTGTACGAAAACGACCCCTCCCTCCTTATTTGGAACCAAGATTGGGATGGAGTGGAATCCCCCAAAACAAGCATCATGGCCTCAGCGCCGATCAATAATTATGAACAAGGTGTAGGTATACAGCGTGTTGTTTTAGTGGTAGACGAGAATATATTTTATTCATTATTGCCTGCGTGAAAATTAAGATTGCTTCCAAGAATAGAGCGGAAAAATGTTGACTAGCTGCACAATCGAAGTTGTGACATGATAAAGATGTTGATCTGATCAAATTATCCCTCTTGTTCGTTGTCAGCTACTTAATTGTAAATGAGCAAGAAATCCTTGCTCATATGTAGATACTTATCGTACACGCGTTGTAGTTCTTCTTACATAACTACGGTTTCGGTTCCTACATCCATCTCTTAGATGACCTGTCTCTAATTCTTTGGGCAGAAGGAGTTTACGCGTAGTGAGGTGAAGTTCTCGCCGAACGAGCCAGATGTAGTTGCCAACGTGACGTTCACGATCTTGCCGAGCATTGTCTTCTATCAGGGTGATGAGGTTTTACTCTACTTGTACGGATTTCGGTGTAGCTCGAGTGAGATTCCGCTAGTCGGTCAAGACGCGTACCGATTTTTTTCATACGGAAAGAACTCGAGAGCGGACTGGACGCAGGACACGTTCACTTTGACATTACGAGTGCGCGACGGCCACATCTTGTCGAATACACAAGCGACCGTGTTCCGCATCGAGACCGATATAGGCTTTCGTTTGCCGGACAAGCTGAGCGAAAATGATGGTATCCTGAACATTGAGGGCCGAGGCGCTTACATCGCGAAGGAGATGCTGAAGAAGACCCCAGCTCTGGGCGGCAAGAAGTACATCACGGACTCGCGCATGGTTTTTGAGTCGGCGCAGGGCGCGTCGGGAACGCTGAGCAACAACATCGCGCGTGTCTTGTTCAATTTCAAGGCGAACTCCGACATTCGTCCGAACAGTACTATCATCATCACAATGGGTGGTCTCACGAGGCAGGTGCCCACTGGAACGCCGGAAAGTGGCCCAATCACGCTCAGTGGCAAAAATGCGCCCATGTTCGCTTATCTTGGTGTGACGAGCAGCGGATACTGGGACTCGGTCACTTCGGAGCTCCGCGCCACCATCATCCCATCGCTTGCGCCAGTCCCGGCTGGAGTTGAGACGAGTATTGAGTCTTCACCTGATTCTGATAACATTCACCTTTTTAGTAGAGACTTCATGATATCTTTTCTGATTCATCTTTATCTCATCATCAATTTCAGAATTCAGAAACCAAGAAGACTACCTTGCTTTGCCTGCTTAGCTGGTTCTTTCGAGTTCAATCTCAATCTGGACCATCATTCTCAAAACTTCGAACAAAAACCAGTTTTCTTTTTGGAGATCGATCAGATGTTCAAGCTACCGTTTGCGATGTATCTAAACGATCCGTCATTGAAAATATCGGTTCCTGCGGCTGGTATACCTGAACAATTTTTCAATTTTACGACGCGGGTGAATGATATGGGGAAACAGTTCACGGAGTCAAGACTCTCTTACGGTGCGGTCGGAAGTGTCGCGCACCCGAGTTCGCCCATGGATTTGACGATCGAGTTCTCCACAAACGTGCAACTCCCCAGTGGAACGACGATTCGACTGACGCTACCAGGTAAGAATGTTCTTTATCTTCTGCCATCGCTATGATCGTGAAGATATAACAAACCAACATTGTGATGCAAAGATCGGCACGCAGCTAGTGTCTACAAGGCAGTTGCTATATAATTGCTATGTGCTTTATTTATCATTATCACTTATGTTGCTATAATTATGATATACTTTATATAAGTGCATTTTTGAGATTGTTGTATCGATTAGAAATATTACCATTTTTGACCCTTGAGCAAAGAACTCCTTAATACAACCACAGGCTTCATATCCGCGGTTCTCGAACCGAAGCTAGAGCCACCAGCCGGGGAGTCATTACTCCACTACTCGTACTTTTCGCGACGCGTCATTCAAGTGACGACAACAGACACGACGGGTATTTTTAGAGCGAATGGATGCATCTTACTTTATCTGAGATTGTATATCGATGATGTGCTCCTTCGGTCTTGATAGCACACAGACACCCAGCACTGTACTTGGTTTAATTGGCCGTTCTAAAAATTTGCCAGGCTTCACGCAGAATCTGAATGTTGTCGAGTATTTTGGTGTGTGGAATCAAGCTGCGTTCACGCTGGATTTGACACTCCGCAACGGGCAGTTCATCCCTCCTAACCAAGTGCATAAGATGACAATCAAGAGTTCGCTCGCAAATGAGGTTTTCCGCTTGCCGGAAAGGTTGGAACCGAACGATCCTCGGCTCACAATTCAGACAACCTCAAAGCAGATTATTCTTCCGCAGGCTATTCGAAACAGCCCTCAAGTTGTCGATCGCTCATTCGATATCAGCACGTTTACCTACGAGCCAAGGTACATTTAAGCAACAAGACAAGAATGCTTCTAATATTTGATAATCGAATTGAAAGCAGTTCTCATTTTGGCGTTCAGGGGCATAAATCAACCAGCATTGTTCGTAGAAACTTTTAGTAGCACAAGAACTAGTGCTAGTGCTACTCTCTTCAAATAAAAATGTAGATCCATTTATTAACGCCCACTCTGGCTCTGCAGGAATGCTCGGTCCACGTTCATGATGAGCATGATTTTCAAGCCAACAGTTGATGTCGGAACAAACGACGACATCGTGTTGCGTCTCTACGGCTTCACCAATGCTCTCGGCCGACAACAAATTCATTTGACAGGTGCTGCAGCCGATATTTTTAGCTAGCTTGTTTCCTGCATCAATTTTTTCTTGCAAAGAGACGAAAAAGATTGAAGCTAACGCTATAGTCACGAATTGTGTCTGCGTATACTGACGCTGGTAAAAAGCGAAGTTGTAAGAACTAGACGTATAATTGAAAAAAGTGACAGCACCCTCCTCTACTCGTCGGAGATGACAACACTTTCACTCACTTACAGTAGCTGCGATCTTCTACAACAGGTAACGACGCAGCCTTGATCGAGGGCTCAAAGGCCCAATGGAACCCGACAACGCAGGACTTGACAATCAAGATTGCACGTGGCTCGATCTTGAAAGCGAATAGCACACTCTCACTGACAATCCAGGAGTCTCAAGGCTTTCAGTTGCCGGCAACCTTGAACCAGAATGACCCGACACTCTTGGTAAGATTCGATAGCATCATCTATATCAGTAATATGACCTCATGAATTGTTGAAAAAGCTCAAATTCAGTTACCACACCCGCCGTAGTACCATGACTTGAGCGCCCTTCTTACATCATGTAACTGTTGTTATTCTACGTTTCTCGTACCCGCGAGCAATAGACCGCTCTCAGTAAGAGTCGGATTGAATGTGAACAATTAGACCATCAACAACGATTACTACCAGATCAAATCGGGAGTGAACAATATCAAGCAAGCTGCAGTGAAGAACAGTCCGATGGTCGGAGATGGACCGCACGAAGATCAGCGGTTCTGCATGTACCAGTACGAGACCGGGACGCGTACAATTGAGCCACGAATGAGTGTCTGTACCATTCCTTGTGACGGGACCATCAACTCCATCATTACCGACCCTTGCTCAACAGAGGAATTACAGCGTTGCGGTTGCTTCGCGGATCTAGCGCCGGATGGTGCCGCAGTACCTCTGAAAATCCGCGGATTCCAGTTGGTAGAGTCCGATCGCGTTGGCTTCGTACCTCTTGACGAACAGTGTCCGGATCTACCTGATAACTTCGTCACGTTTGTCGCGGGTAACACCTTTGGCTCGCAGGCTTCTTCGAGCTCATCATCCAATGGGGGTGTTGGTAGTACTTAGTTAGATCCGTTATATAGTTATACTACAGTGTTAATTACAACGTCAACCTAAGACTTTCGTCTACTTTTTCTTTACATTACAACTAATACTAATGGACACTAGAGACGGCCCTAGGGCAAAGGCAGCATTGTTGATCTAGATCTCATGAAAGCCGTACTAATTTTTGAAGAATCATAACCTAGTGAAAGATCAAGTTCATCAATTGGTCCTTAGTATAATTCCTTCTCCTACTGAAAAAGAAAGCAAATACTTGACATCGAATGATGAAAGAAAATGAAAAAGAAAGCCACTACTTATCGACCAAATTACAGCATCCAGTCGGCGTCAGCGTCTGAGAGAATTACTGGTGGATGACCCGGTAGCCAATCGGGAGTTGCCGGACGCCGCGTTAGATCATGCTGGCCAGTGGGGTGACACAGAGTTGGAGAAGCATGAGCGCATCCTGCGCAGACTGCGCGTCGAGATGGCGAACCAGCGGCGCGACCGTGCCTTGCGGCGTCGGGCCGCGTTCATGCGCCAAATGCGTCGGCAGCTGCGTGCCAAGTTGCACAACCGTAGAACGGCACATATGTACGCCAGTCAATGGCAAAAGTGCGGCTCTTCTGATCTCCTGTGTCGTGCAGACGAGGAGGAGAACATCGACACCTTCGAGGGAATCGCGAACTTCGTGGAGGAGCGAAGAGGCGCAAGCTTGGCGACAGAAGATAGGCAGAGCACCAATGCTGTCTTGGCTGCCGGGACCGAAATTCGTGATGCCGCAGTCGCGTTGCCGGGGAGTGTAGAGGATGAACTGTCCAAAAGTGCAGTACAAAGCTCAGCTTTGTCAGCGCACCAGACAAGCAGGTCTTTGAAGTCGTTTAAGAGCGCTATTCCCGGGGCGGTTGTGGATTGGCGTATGCTTGTAGGATCCTCGGAACTCGACGAGATGATCTTCGAGCAGCGCAATAACGTCCTAAGGCCTGACTGGAATGCAGGCGCCGACGACTTCCGCCTGGGTGCTGAAGCTTCCATGTCCTGGTGGTCAGCGGCAGATACGTTCACCAACGGATACGACAACCATCAATCTGAAGCTGTTGTTGTAGGGACGTCAATCATTGCTGACGGTACTATCATGGATACCGATCGAGACGAAGATGGCAGTGACCTGTTCGCGAAGGACGCCGGCTCACGAACGCGCTCTCTCCAGAGCAGTCGTCAACGCCGCACCCACGAAATGAAAGCGGCTAAAGCAAGGAACTCGCGCTCAAAAGCAAAGAAGGTCCACCTCTCCGCAGAACAACGCAATCTGGAGACGGAATTGGAACAAATGCTAGATGATTTAGATGCTGAGATTCTCCGCCGTATCCAAATCTCGAATTTCGGAGGCGAAGTGCGAAAGGACCAGACTCAACTAGCCTTTTCGGAAGCAAACGAGAAATCTCTAGAAGACGCAGCCTACGAGATGTCTCAGGCCTACTTAGCTGCATCTTACGATGAGGAATTCGACGGCGTTGAAGATGGTACTTACAACTTCTTGTTGATGATTTCTTGTGGGTGTTCTGCTCCTGGCTATCATGATTTAGATTTTGGGAGGCATACTAAGTAGATCTACATCTTGTGTTCTTTGTCTCTCTTGTGAGTTTCGTGCCTCTTTTCTCATGCGAATGAAATGATCACTATCTACAAACTCCATTTTGTTCACCGACTCATCATCGTTTTAGATGAGAGCTTTGACGAGACCTTCGAGGGAATGTCCGTTCGGCGTCGGTTGACGACGGTCACTGGCACCACGACGATTGATCCTTTGACGCAGTATCAAGCTTTCTTGGCGTACGATCCCTTTTCAGAATTGGGCTTCTTCTCGAACTTCACGAGCCGTGAGTTGTCTCAGGGAGCCGATGAGTTGACCTTCCACGACGTGACCGGTCTCGAAACGGGGTTTTACCGCATCTGCTTCCAACATTTTTCAGAGATTTTCGATGTCGGTATGGTCATTGTGCGTCCATCCTGCCCGCCAGGAAAAGTGGCAGTAGATGGCACAGTGTGCGTCACACACTGCCCGCCGAATACGATTCCGGTTGCGGGTCGGTGTGAGGACGAGGAAACCTTTGGGTACAAGAACTACCTTTGCTGAGCTTGACTTCACCATTGATTTGTTGGTCTTCTGGTTAAACGATTTGAAAATATAAAGATCTTCTTCATTCAAGCTAAAGTTGCAACCACGACTCGCAGGTATTCCGACCCGACGTTCTATATTCAAGCGGGTTTGTCGCAGCTGAAACCGGGACGAAGATCACCGATTTTTGTGGAACCGGGAACGAACTTCTCGTCAACAGCATCCGTAGTTGCATCGTCGGAGGCAGAAGCCCTCGCACAGACGGTGAGTACTATACCCATGTCTGCGCAAGATGACCAAGCCCAGGTAGATACACCGATCACTTCACCCGACGCGGATCCAAATATGCAGTTGTACAGGGTTGGCCATCAGACGAACCCATACCTGAACGGAACGACGTACGTGGCGACAACAACAAAAGGCGGAGTTGAGGATGTCTACAGCCGAACTCTAATGGTACCTCCACAGAAAATTCTTCATGGTTTAGCATCCATAGATGTCTTGTGGCGTCCGAGAGGATAGTTCAATGCTTTGGCGTGATGAAACAACACACCTTCATGTTCACTTGCACTTATCATGGTTGTGCTGCACCTGCAAGACAACATGAAATGTAAAAAAAGCATACTTGCCGTTGTCTCCACATCCAGGTTCCCATCAAAATGTCGAGTCCTGAGGCGGTGTCCAATAGTATTTGGAATCGATCCGACGAGAACTCGGAGAGAAAATACTACGTTTTCCAATTCTCCTACGAGCTGGCGCAGCTTCTTGGCGTGTCCGCGGAAAACTTCGTGGTGGCTTCCATCAACGAGGCGCGGACGGGAACCGGGAACGCAGCGACAACCGAGGGTGTCATCGTGAATACGATTTTCACGCCCAGCGGAGACCGGCAGTCTCGCAGTGCCTTCGAGCTTTTGCAGTTGCTTCGTGCACTACAAGCGGACATATCATCCGCGCTGTACGTGGAGGCGGACTTTTTCAAGAACATATTCCGCGACTTCCCATTACAGAGTATATTCGTCTCGTTGTGTCCGGACAACATCTATCGGAGCATTTGTCCTTACATGGACAGCATCATGGATGCGGACATAGGCTTCATCATCTACATAGCGTCTGTTCTCGGGATCGCGCTGATGCTCGCGCTGTTTCTCTTCGGCGCGTGGCGATGTGATCACGACCCTGCGGATACGAAGAAGGACGACAAACAATTCTTTCAGAAAGCCTCAAAAGGTCAGCCACAACTCCTTGATCCAGGTCTCCAGAATGAATACGCGCGATCATGGCTCGAAGGACGATACATGGGAGAGGAAGTCTAATTCCAATCACAATGAGGTGGATCGTCATCTTCAAGAAACTCTGAGCGAACTTATATGTAGTACTACAACTCCTAAAAATGCAGAAGATGGGGACAAAGATTCACAAGCAGACAAGCAGGCGGAGGCGAGAACGTCTAGGAAAGACTACATCAGAAAGTGGCGCATCTCTCTGTAGTGGGACGTGGGGTCTACTTCTCCGCTTGATGTCAGCCTCAGAGTTTGTCTCTTCTTGATCTTGTGCTGAAGTACTTACAATTACATAGAGCTATTTTTATCTTTTACTTTTAATATTTTCTTCAACTTCAATGTCATGCTCAATCTCGAGAAGTTGTGAGATGAGACGAACCGTATTTGTATCATTATTCTCAACATAATTTGCTCTTTTTTGTGTGACAACTCAGTTGTTGTAGATCCTCATCATTCCGTTACTCTCAAATCCAGATTGTAGGGGGGTTCCTTGAATCACAGGGAAAGGACGAAGCTGTCGCAACAGCGTCAAAATTTGCAGGCGTTGAACGTCCGAAAATGCTTACAACAGATTTCTGTAATTCTTTCTTTTTTCACCTGTTTAGTTTCTTGTTATTACACCAAAGACGCAGTTTTCTTTCTTATTTTTTCTTAGTCATTGTCATGTACATGTGATGAATTCGCTTCAAGTTCCAATGGAAGACTAGTCGCGAAGATGTCAAGGTGGAGTGGTGTAGTTTGCCCCAGCGACCTCGCTGTGAGTCCATGCACTAGCTTGGGCCAGATGCAGATGCAGTGCGTCACTCATTTGCGTTGGTCTTGGGCACATCGAGATTTTGATTTTTTCGCGTGTTTTCCACGATTACGGAAATATGTTTCGATAATTATCCTATATTCGTGTTGTACTAGTAGGGTCATTAATATCATTATATAAATATAATATATACAACTTTCATGCAGGACCAGGCAACTACCAACACAAGCCAATAATTTTTAGAAGTGCGATTCTCATTTATCACAATTGACACCTGCTAACCGGAGGGGGTAATAATATCGAATATCTGTGGAGCACGATGTCCACTATCATATGGTCGTCCCAGTCTCTTTCATAATGGAAAATGTCGTAGTCGTAGTGGGACCATATGTCGTGTGATCGATTATTATTCTAGCATTTGGACGCATGTCGCCTGATGACGATGAGCAAAAGCAGCAAGAGCCAGATCTTCGAAGGTTATGATTGTCAAGAATATATTTGTATGACCTTATCGTCCCTATATCTCCCGCCTGCTAATGTTGTATGCTATCAATGTACTAACACTCCCCTCCCATAACCCGCTCAAGTACCAACCCCATCTTCCATATTAAATGAATGTTTTAGACGGTGATGAAGCTATTATTTGTAACCAGAATTCGAATTCAAGAACAAGATGATCCGCGCACATCATTTAGAGTATTACGAATACTATGAGCAAAAGGAAAGTAAATACGAATCAATTTTGTCGAAAAACATTACCGACACGTCGAGGGGTGAATGGGTGTTGATAAACTATATTTTTACGGGTAGGTCGTGTCTGTGCCTGGGCCCGCATCGTGATCGCGACCTCTATTACCTAGATTTATATTACGACATGAGAATGTGAATGAGTTTCTGCGTTTGCCATTATTTTTGAGTTTTCCCATAAGTCCCTCTCCACAGCGTCAGTGTCGTTCTCCTGTATAGTTTATGGGAAGATTCGGGAGATCTCCAATAGAGTCTAAAAGTTGATGTTCTCTGTGTGTCTCTCTCCCCGTACTTTTTCTTGGATTTGCTTCTTGCCTGACACCAGATTTGGGGTGATGGTGCAGATCTATTTTTATGGCAGGAGAAAGAAGTACGCTAAAATATTAAAATAATCGTCTTTATTTCGGAAACGTTTTTGAGAGAAACAGAAAAGAACAAAAGTGGCGCACTAGTTGCTTTACTGTGTCGAAATCTCCCCAATGCCTTAGTAGAGAAACGAAAAAAGTGGGTCACATAGTAATTACCCTCTGTCCTTCGTGTAGTGAGCGTCTGTTGGCTTGATACGAACCGGCACTGTCTTTCGCCGTCTAGTGCATCTATCCACTTGCACTTATACTTGTAGTCTGCTAACGAGTAGTACTATTACGCAGTCAACTACATCCACAATTTCTCCGCGTCGAACTTGAACGTGAATTGTTGACAAGTTTTAGATTTATAGATATAGTTATACGTTGATCGTCAGCAAAATTGCGAACGGCATCAACAGCGCTCCTTCGTCAAACTTATAATCATCGAAAGTCAAATGGCCGCGGTTTTGTCATCTCACGGGGCACCACACACACCTGTCGGCGCCCCGTTGCTCCTTGGAGCCTGTCGGTCGCTTCATGAAGAGTTTCTGGTACTGACGCGTGAGATCGAGGCGGTACTGCAGAGGCGCAGCCTAGCGAAGCATGTAGCATTACGCGTGCGCGCGTGGCGAGACAGGTTGTTGCACTGCCACTCGTTCTGTGGCACGCCAGCACTCGAGCGGTTGCGGAATATGTATCTTGGCTTGCTTTTTTACTGTCTCGCAGCGGACGACTGGACGCACGCTCCAGTGAACAAAGTACCACGAGCAGAGGGCGGCCCGCTTCCCGGCTTGCCGTCGCATACTGCGTGCATGCTGCGCCACCGCATTCCTGGGGTTTTGTTGCGGGAAACGTGCTTCGTCGGAGCAGCCGAGCAAGCGGGCGGGGCAACGTCTTCATCTTCAAGAGTCAGGAGCGCCAGCGCTTACAGTACCCGACGTCGAATTCGCGCCGCCGGTGGAGACACAGGCACGACCCCGCGAAGTCAACGTCAGCATGCTGATGGTGGCATTTCTGCCCGAGGGCACATCAACCACAACCACCTAGTTTTCTCAAACACAATCCGAAGTGCTGCTGGCATGGTGGACGAAACGACTGTTGATGTCGGTCATCCCGACCTTACGCCGTCCGTCGTGTCGGCAGGTAGCCGCAAAAAAAATTTTTACGAAAGTCGGCTCAGCTGCGAACAGGATGCCATGAACAACGTCGCTAGACCATCAACGACAACATCTAGACTGAGCACGGACATTCACAGAGACAATTTAAGCCTGTCTCAGAGTCAGGTGCTGGCTGCAGGCGTGGAAGAGTTTCGTCGCCAAGTACACAGTTTCGACGCCAGCGGAATTCGTACGGAGCACTCACCACCTCCACAGACCGGCGGTTCTCTGGATTATCTCGATCGGGCTCGGGATATCGTTTTGCGGACAAGCGTGAACGCCGATGTTGTCGGAGGACCGTTACCTGCTGCTATAGGTGCAGCTGTGCCTGCAGCGGAGACGACGAGCTTGCTGAACCTCCCAGAAAGGTCGGCTTCGGACGCCAAGAACAGCCACGACGCAGATGCACCATTATCCTCATCAGCAGAGGAAGACGAAATGGTCGCTCTTGTTGAAACCCTAGCTGAGCAAGAGCGGGTGCAGAACGAGCAGCGCAAGTGTAAAGAATATCAAAATTGTGCAGCAAGCGACGCAGGAGGCATGGTCATACACAAAGCAGCAGCCGCTTCTCCTCCTGTCGGGAAACTACAACAGGCTCGCATGTCATCTCATCGTAGTCGCTCCGCATCGCGGGAACCGATTGCTGAGAGTCGTGCTGAGGCAAAGCGCGACGACCTCTCTGGGAGACCACATCGAGCAGAAGATGACGTAAATCTCGAAATCGATGAGGATGATCCAATAAACGATCACGAACCACGAGCCCCTCCGGTTGGGGGTCCTGGCCGAAGCGCGACGTCATCCTCGTCTAATTTGTTGTTTTATCCTGGCGATCGTGCAGGCAGAACAGCCGCGTCACCTCCTCGTACAAGGGAAAGAGACAGATCAGCAGACTCAACAGGTCGCCGCAGTCGGTCACGCACGCCTCTTGGCGGATCGCAGCACGGGAATTGGGAGCGACCAAATTACCTTCGGGGACTGCCGACTTCGCAGATCATGCGCATGCCGCCTCCGCAGATATCGTCGTCTATCTCTCGTGCATCGAGTGGAAAAAAACCAAGACGCGTTAGCATATCGACAGTACCGCGCGAAGACTCGGTGCTCTCACCAGCGACAAACCGCTCCTTTGCGCGTGCCGATGCAAACTTCACGGCTGCGATTCGACAACACTCCACAAGCCCAGCAGGGCAAAAGCCCATAAGTGTAAGTGATTTGCACGAAGGTAATAGTTTTAATTCAATCATTTACATCTTTTTGAATTTTCCACTCAGCTGTCAATACGTCGGGTCGTGCGTGTGTCCAGGGAAACCTGAATATTGATGAAGATGGCTTCATCTAGATCTAGTTTAAAAAAAGAGTCGTCGACAAAGCTAAAGCACGACGTGCATCTACAAACTCTAGCTCCCGAAATGAACAACGAAGCGACCATCAATAGCCAAGGCCGTGTGCGTGGTAGTCCCAACACATCAACAAGCGTCTTCCTCCATCACTACCACCATCACGAGAACGCGCGGATACACCAATTGGAAAAGCAAGTCCGCATCCTTACGTCAGACAACAGACGCCTGCGGACCGAGGTACTTTCGTACTATAATTGGATTTGGAAATAATGATCTTCTAGAACAACGACATGTGCGACCAGTCAGAGCATCATACATAATCTCGATCTACTCGTCCATGAGAATTACCATTTCCCCCGCCCAACTTGCCCCACGATCATCAGCTTCGACGCGGGCAGATCCGTGAGCAGCGATTGCGAAATGCATTGTCTTTGCGAGAAAAGGTCTTTTTGAATGCGCCAGCTAATGAGCCCCTTCGTGACGACTCAGCGGTTCTCAAAGTGATGATGCAGCCAGTGCGCTCAGAGGATGAGCGACTGTTTTCGATGAATGTTGAAAGGGCTATTTCAGATGCATCTGCAGCAGTGGCAAGCCAGAGTAAGAGCAGCACCGTGCCCGGTGGGACGATCGCGCAAATCAATGACAGTATGCTTTTGCCTGAATAATTATTGTTTTCGGGGAGGTCGCGGTCACCAGAGTGATATTAACGCCAATGGCAATGAAGTGGAAGGTATACTAAAAGTTGTAAATAGTTAATAGGCTGTGCGTCGGCTCTCTTGAGTGCTTCATATATTCTTCTTCATATTCATCACTGATAATCTATCATATTACAGCCGACGCTTTTCTCGCAGAGCTAGACAAACGACTTCCGGCTTCTAAGGGTGCCTCTGAAGCAACGGGGGCGGACGATTTTCTCCACTACCTCGACAATTTTCAAAATCAAACGAAAACTCTCTTGGACCAAAAGACCACCGCTGCTTCCAGTAAGCTAACATCAACTCAAATGGAGTCCTCATCCGGTCTCTATGGGACAGAACCATTTGATTTTGGCACATCTAGTTCTAGTAACCATCTTCTTGGCCAGACGAGCGGAGGTGGAGGAACAGGAGTCGGCGCACCAGCACCGGGAGACAGTGTCGAAGATCTAGCGCTACGTTCCGTTTTTGCCGCGGACAACAGACGCGATGCTAGTTTCGGCCACCCATCTAGATCATCATCGCCAGGAGCCACTACAGGCCAACAGATGGTCGCAGGCGGAGAAAATGCATTTCACTCGAACAAGCCACAACCCGCGAGTGCTAGCATTTTCGAGTTTAGCCCAGAAAAGGCAAGTGGGAATGACGTCCTCGAGCGAGCAAGTGTGCCTCTTGTGGCCATCCCTGGGCATGCTTCTCCTGCGAGTGCTCGATCTCGAAATCTCGCCGATATAATTGTTGCTAGTAGCAGCAGTAGCTTTACACCTGACCCCGGGAAACGGACCTCCCATACTACTCCTTCTGCGCAAGAGCTGGTCGATCTTATCGACCGCAGTCTGACAGCCGTGTGATATTGTTGTATATGAGCTCTTGTCTCGTCATCCATATCCTACTTGTCAAAATTTGCGCATAAGAGCTCCCGCTCGTAGTGGTAGTGCAGCCTTCAACTTCGCGTCAGGTCGGCAGCCTACGCGGAGAGCTGCCGCTCATCACATGGCGCCGCTATACTTTAGTATAATAGTTGACGTAGCGGTGTTCGAGAGCTATTGTTTATTATCGTTCGACGTTCCCAGTTCACCTAGCGCTAGTACTTGATGTCACATCAAGTCGGTCTTGGGCCCTCTGGTGTTCGGCAAGTAAGGAAATAGGATCGTCGTGATCAATCGCGTTCGAATCGCAGTCCTCGGGCTTGTAAGGAGAAGGTGGAAACCAAACGTGTCTGGAGGAAACATGTATGATCCCCACAAGGATCTACGACGAAGATGGACGACTCGCGATCGCGGTCCACTGGCTCATCTTCGGCTACACCATGCTTACACTCGGGCTCTCGTACAGGCTGCGCTTGTTTCAAGAACGATATCTAACCTTTACTTAGTTGTTTTTGATAATATGCTGACCATTTCATTCTCTAGGACTAAGTAGATGTTGATCATCATCATTTTTTTTGATTTCCTTTCTCACAAAGAACCTACAACCTTGGCATAAGTTGTATTAGAGCAGCTAAGGATGACGCCAGCTGCTCATGACCACTAGGCAAGCTTGATATTCAAAAAAGCTGGTCTCTTATCCAGCTGGCCCTTGTTGCAGTTGTTGTTTGAAACGCACTTCAAGAACTGACAGGCTGCCTGCTAAAACAAGAAGAGGCTCCACGACCACCCGTCCTCACACCCATACACGGTCCAATACCGATCCAAAAGAAAGCTGTAGTGCTGCTACTGGCTGCGATTACTCGCTTTCTACTGCTGCAAGATGGCGGCATCTACGATAGGGCAGGGCAAGAATGGGAGCTTCATCACGGGGCTGGAGCTCGACGAAGTGCAATACCGAACAACATCGTCATCAAGCGCCTTTCAATCCGCTCTTGCCGCGCTCGATGAAACCAAAGCGGCCTATCGCGTTGACGACGCGCGACTTCCATTTTCGGAACAATGCCTCGAAGTGTCGCTGGAACAGACACCACAAGGTGAATATTTTTTCAGCTCTCAAGTGCTGGCATTATTGTGCAAGCACTCCCACTCAGATAGCCACCACAGAACTGAGTAAATAAGCGCGAGAGAGCGCTTGCTTTTTTCATCTGCTTGTGTATCGACCTTGACAGATTCATCCCAGTATTGCTACGTCTTTGCTTTTCTTCATACCTACATCAGGCGCGACGACGCAACCCGTTTTCCCGCTACCAGTAAACTTACCGCTAGAGAAGATAAAGAAAAATTGCGCGATCAACTTAGACATTGGTCAAAGTATGGAGCAGCAGATAATCAGAGCGCAATGGGCGCGCAGTTTCGCTTCACCCGCTGCTAGCGCGATAATAGCAGATATGTTTTGGTACTTTTTGCAGATACAATTGTCAAACCTTGTTGAAAACTGTACTATCCGGGTAGTGCAGATTCTCTATGCCTCTGTGATGAAGAGTTTTTAAAACCGGATTTCCTCTGGCAGTATTGATCTTTTACCCTGAAGTGAACACTTCTGATCTTGACCCCAAGAGGACTTCACTCAGTAATTGCACATGAAACAGGTACGCCATTTGCTATTATTTTAAGAGTGGAGAGTTTCTTGAAGAGGAAGAGATATTATTCGATCGCCTCTCGATGAATTACGTCGCGCTTTTTGCTAATATCACACCAGGAAAGCGAGATTTCTTCTTCCAGCACTTCGCAGATGCTGTGGCTCAAGCGGTATATGAAAATTAAGATTATTTCAGCTAAATAATATAAACAAGTACATGAACATGTAGTACATGATTGCATTGCTTCTGCTTGGTCCTTCTATTAAAAGAACGAAATGAATCTTCATCTTGCAGGTGTTGTATTGCATGTTCCTGGCTTTTCCGAAAAGTCGAGTGTCATTCGGCGCAAATTTCAGAAAGGACCTGGTCTGTAGAATAAGTTACTGGTTCACTGGTTTCAGTCCGCAGTTCCTATCGATTTCGCATTGGAAGCTGAATCTCGGTGGTGGTGACGTGCTCAAGACAGCAGAAGTCCCTGGAGAGGCTGCGGCTGCTGCGGGAGGATTGTACTTCGTCACTTGTTCTTTTAGAGGTAAACATTGACTTATCTTCCATCTAAGGGTAACACTTCTGCTAGTACAAGCAGAATCATTAATATGCATAGATATTTTACTTGATTATATTTTTCATCACAATCAACATGATCATGATGACAACTCGGCTTGCGTTCGTCGCGTCACAGAATGACTCGTCACACATTGCCAATTAGGCTGGAACTAACCAACGTCGGTGCAGATGCGGGCCACGATGAGCAGCAGTCAAGTGCACCGATAAAGAGCCGACCGCCACGCGTGATGCGCACGCTGCGGCATAGTCCCTTGCTTGAACATTTTGTGAAAGAGCAAAAATTTGGCTCTGCAAACCTAGTAAAAGCACTGAAGATCATGCTAACAGATGCGGAAGACCACGTGCAAGCACTGCACAGAAAGCACTCGAAACTGCCGAAGCAGGCCGCGGCCGCGAAGAAAGTCAGTGAGGACTTACTAGTAGAGTATGAGAAAATGAACCAAGAGCTCAAAAGAGAGGAGGTCCAAAAAACGATGCAGCTGAAAAATGCAATGCAGGCGGTCGAGACGAAGAAGAAGGAGCTCCTAAGGAAAGCGCCGCACGACTTTGCAAATTACCTTGTAAGTCTAAAGCTGCTACAGTCGGAATAGATACTGCTGTACAGGAAGGGAAGCAGGGCAATCAGAATGCTAGACTGAAACAAATCGGTAGTGCTCCTAGAAGACGGCAAGGCCAGGGTCCTGCTTTTTCTTTTTGACCTTGATCTTGTTGTATGTGTCCTTGTTTTTGTATCTTTTTGCACAGAAAATGAAATACAGTTGTCGCCGCGGTCATTCATTTGCTCATCTTATTTTGCGGCCAGCATTATCGTTAATCTTAATGCTGCATTAAATTTGATTTTCATCCATGACTATTTTCAGGTAGTACGCAACATCTTAGGTTCTTGATTCTCGACTTTGCATACTTATTCTAGAGTAGTTTATAGAACGGAAGTAGGATGGACTTGGATGGATCGGATGGACCCCCCTGATTCTTCCGATCCTACTTGAAATTGTGGGAAGTCCATCCGATCCATCCGATCCATCCCATCCCGGAGCTGGCACCCCTATAAACTGCTCTACTATTCTTAATATTGTATCCATCTATCATGAGTAACTATGTATTACATACACTGACTCGATCTAGAGCATGAAGTTAAAGCTCGTGTTGGACTGGTCATCCTCGCGTGGACAGATTGCGTTGCATTTTCGATTTCGGTAAACAAATTACAGCGTGGTTGCGATACCAATCGATAAACGTCACGACAATAGAGAATCGCTTTCTGTATCTTGTTCTCTATTTTGGATCATTCTCAATTATAGGATCGATCAAACAATAGCAGCTATTATATCGACCCACTACTAGGCTAAGATGTTGATGTACTTGAAATTTGATTATCAACGATTTGGTTATTTAACATTTAACTTATAAAAATTGTATACAGGAGGAGGCCGAGGCGATGCTTGTTGCAGCTGAGCTGATGCATTAATTGCTTTTGGAAGAAGAAAAAAGTGTTGCCTTTCGTGATTTTGTTTTGAATTTGAACTTGCCAGTGCTCGCCTTCTTGCCTCCTAGCTAAGCCATCTTTCTTCTAACCGAAAGCGAAACCGAATTCACTAAGCAATAGCCAAACCGATTTCGTCATGCGTTCCTCTGACACCTTTTCACATCTCAACTCCCAAAGAAACCCTTTGACACCTACAAACATCTAGTACTACGTCCTTCCAATCTGTTCCACTTTCACAGATTCAGCAATACAAACACGCAGCACCGCAGATCAGGTCATATCCCGATCTAATTTACTCGTCTTCCCAACACAATTATACGAGAAAGCGACGCCAACACAGGAGAAAGGTGTTGCATTAGGTACAACGATGCAGCTCTTCTAGCTGGTTCCTCAGAACGTCGGTAGTATTGTAGGAGAAGGAGTGTTCCAGTTGCAAACGAGAGGAAATATAAGCAAACGAAATTTTTTAGCTTCGACGAGCATGGGTAACAAGAGTACAAGTTTATAAAGATTTCAGCACTTCTTCAAATCAACTATCTGTGTATTTTTTCGATGATTCGTTGTTTTTGCGTCAGTGCGAATTTTATTTTTTGAAACTCGATTCGGTGCACACACACGCGAAGTTTCTCCAGATGTCGTCCCCGATTTTTTGTGTTTTCAACTCCTTCTACGAACTTCCCCCGTTTACTTCTATCTTAGTTTTCTTGCATTGAGGACGTTTCTACTGAAGTAAGGTAAGGGGTGTCTGTTGTTGCAAAAAATCGACGAGATGATGAACCAAACATCGGCTAAGGGAAACTGAGCTTAGTCAGAACGCTTCTCCAAGGGGTGCCAGCCAAGTCGCTGCACCGGCCACCACAACTATGCAGGCACCTGGTGCGGGATCCATACTATGGGCGGTCTATCGGAAGAACCTTACGCTTGGGTGGTACCGAAAGCGCTTGCGGACATTGCTGCTTTCCGTTTGCTTGTACTCCTACCTCTTTTTGTAGTTTCTCTTTCTCAAGGCTGAAGCCATACAGTCTACTAGGTTTTCAGTATGCGCATCCCCCTGATGATGATGGTGATGATGAACATGAATATTACTTTATTTTTTACTTTTCTCCTTCTCGTAACTAGTCGCTGTGTTACTTAGCGTTAAGCGCGAGCGGGTTGTTTATGATACTTCATGCTCATCTACAAAATCATATTCAAATATTTTTTGTATATGTATACCAGTTCGATGTTTCCGATCGTGCTGATCTACCGAATGACAAGTGCGGCAGTGATGGAGGTTCTAGCTATCATTTTGCCGTTTTACCTCGTCTTCGCGATGTTCTCGATAGTTCAGTGCCTGGTCGTCGATGTGGTGACCGAGAAGGAGACGAAGATGAAAGAAATCATGCACATCTACGGCGTGAGTGATTTCGCTTACTGGTTCGGGTGGCTCAGCTGCTACTCCACTTACGCAGCTTTGTGCGTTTTGGTCATGCTGGTTGTGCTCGGACAGTACACGAGCATGTTTACAGCTTCGAACTACGTCCTTGTGACAGTCGCGTTTCTCGGACAATACCTGACGCTAATGACGCTGGCAGCTGTAGTTTCGGTCTTTTTCAATCGTGCGAGGAGCGCTTCGATTGCTGCCTCGGTCACGCTGCTGTTCTGCCAGGGATTGTATACGGCGATCACCGTTAATCAACGTGATATCGCCAAATTTTTGGGTGGTGGCTTTTTCCTCCCTTTCGTGTTCAACTTCTTCACCTGTATCTGCCTTCCCAACTTCGCCTTCTCGCATCTGCTGACGCGTCTCTGCACACCACCGATGCTGAAGACAAACATGAATGAAGCAGAAAATGAAAATCTTATCTTACACACTCCACGAGGAAGAGCCCTAGCACTGACTTTTATGGCGAAACGGAAATTGGGAAGTCTTTTTCAATACCCGGCAGGCCAAGTAGACGGAGCTCCAGACGATGACATAACAAGAACGCAAATGCTAAATGAAGTTCCTCGTTCGACTGGTCTCATACGAATGACATCTCCACAGCAGCATCATCGCTATCATGGCACGCCGTTCGCTCAGTTTGGGCACGAACATCATGCGTCGTTTCGCAGACATCCTATGTTTGGCGGCAAGCACGACGGGACGGCGACGGAGCTTCTAAGTCTCGCTACCAGCGAACCTCGAGGCGTGCCAATGCAGATCACATCAAACAGTTTCTGGTTTACACAAGAGGGCGAACCTCCTGGAACCTTGGCCTACTGCTGGCTTTTTCTTGCGATCTTTCTAACAATCATCGTTTATTTTCGCCTGGCAATAGAAATCGACCGGAGATGGCAGGGTGAATTTGGAGCTCGGAAAGAGAATCCAGTCGCAGCGCTCTTTGGTCGCTGTCGAAGGTGTTTCTGTTTCGGAAGGGGTTCTGCCGCATCGACTGACGACTTGTCAAGCGCAAGAGCAGTTCGCGCTACGGAACAGCAAAGAAATAATGTCAGTCCCCTAGTAAATGAAGAACTCACGCCATCCTCGCGAAACAGACAGCAGGACGATACGCCAATGTCCGGAATGAGCTCGTCGGTTCCGACCACGCCAGCAGTTTTACGATTGACGGGCCTACGAAAGGAATTTGGAGCATCGAAGGTTGCAGTAAATGACATATCTTTCTCGGTGCATGAGGGAGAGATCTTCGCACTGTTGGGACACAACGGCGCAGGAAAAACCACTATGGTGAACTTGCTTGTGGGCCTCACGGCGCCAACACGCGGGGATGCGGAGGTTTGTGGTGCGAGCATTAGCAGCGACCTCGCAGACGCGAGAAGAAATTGTTCCATTTGCCCACAGGATAATCCTGTTTGGCCAGAGTACTCTGCGATGCAGCATCTCCGTTTCTTTGCAATAGCACGTGGGGAGCCGGATGCAGACGCAGCGGTAATCTACTAACTAAATGTTAATATTCTCGAAATTGAGTCACCAGACGGTGTTAGTTATAGTTAATAGTTATCGTCGAGCCAAACCCAAATCCCCTTGGCTGTAACCCGCATGCTTAACAAGAACACGAGCCCTCTTACTTAATGAAATAGATCTGAATAGTTTTACCTCCGTGAATGTGAATCGTCTCTATTACTCAGATCGAACGATATGCTGCAGCGTTAGGCATCAACGAGAAACTGCAGTCACGTTGCCGCGAGCTTTCAGGAGGACAGAAGCGACGCCTCTGGGTCGCGACTGCTCTCCTCGGAGCAACAAAAGTCTGCATTTTAGACGAGCCAACATCCGGCATGGATCCTGAATCTCGACGAAATCTCTGGATTCTCCTCAAGCAACTTGCTTATGTAGAGAAGCGATCAATCATCTATAGCACCCACTACCTAGAAGAAGCTGACTATCTCGCGGATCGCAAGATCGTGATAGCAAGTGGCACAGTTAAGGCACTTGGGACGTCGCGAGAACTCAAAAAGCGATTCGGATGCGGTTACTGGCTTAACTTAGAGTTGTGGCCACGGGGTAGTGCCTCCACTGCGCCGAGAAGTAGAGGGAACTCGATGGACGAAACAAAGTTAGACGTGGAAGCTGCAAACAATAAGAACAGGACTTCATCACCTGACCAGCGACTGCAGGAGCTGCGGACTGCAATCCAGGAATTCATCGATCCAACAGGGTCCTCCGCAAAAATTGCGAACAACAATGGAGGCGCCCCAGTCACGAGCACGCCACCAGCTGCAGCACGACTGGTGTCGCGTGCTGCTCGAGCAATGCTAGCGGACGGACTGCGCGACTCGGTACTGATACCGTGGGCAAATGTGGATCGACTAGGCCCGCTGTTGGATCATCTAGAGTCGCATGCCGATGACTTCGGACTAAAAGATTACGCAATCGAAATGACCAGTTTAGAGGAAGTCTTCATGCGGCTTGGCGACGAGCAAGACATGTCATCCTCGAACACACTGATTGCACACGGTTCCAACGTGGCTACGACAGGGGTCCCTGTCGCTTCTTCAACAACGCGACAGGAGCTACAGTCGCCGGTCGAACAGCAGGCAGTAGCTGACGCCCAGCATGTTGCTGTGCAGGCTGACGGTCAGCAGAGGAATTCTCCGAAGCGCAGTTTTCAGGTTTCGCGACAGGTTACTGCTGTCTGGCGCATGCGTTTGCAGCTATTCTGGAACAACAGACGGGGAACCTTCGGTCAATTCATCTACCCGCTGTTGATTCAAATCGCTTTTCTCTACTTCCGACTTGGCGTCGCAGAAGGCGCGCGCAACCCGCTGGCGCGCGTCATGGTCCTGATCTTCGCTTGCGGCCCGCTGTCGGCGCAGCTGCTGGTTGCTTTTGTCGGCCAGATCGTCCAGGACCGAGAGCGTCGCGTAAAACATCTGGTTTTTGCGCACGGTCTGAACCCTTTGACTTTTTGGGCGGGCACCTTCCTGTCGCACTATCTGGTCCTACTGATCGGCCTTCTATGCGTGCCACTTTTCGTCCAACTGTCCAAACTAGAGCCTTTCGTCAGCGGTCAAGCGACAGCTGACGAACCGATGAACACTTCTCTATTACCGGTTTGGGGTTCAGAATCCCTGGCGTCGAGAAAGAGCAGCAGTCCTTTCATTTCCAACGTTTACCACAGTATCAGTAGAGCGCCAAGCGACGATTCAGCTCAGTCGCGAGTGGAGATGGCGGAGTGGCCTCTAGAAGAACAAAAATACGGCCAAGGCTTAGGCGATAACTATATGCAGGGACCACCGACCCCGCATGTAGACATTCCTGATGTTGATATTTTTGGGTTCTTCTCCATTCCGGTGACCATGTTCATCTTGTATCTTCTAGTGCTTGCAGGTACTGGAGCTATGCTCCTCTGGAGCTACGTCCTTTCCTCGTTTTTCCAGAAACAGGAGACTGCGCTCAAAGTCGTTCCTGTCTTTCTCACGCTTTCGAACTTGGTACCTCTGATTTTGATTGCGGTGTTCCTGTTGCAAGGCATAATACCGGGACACGAGGACAAGACCCAAATTGCGCACGCTTTGCACGTCGGCTGTTCGATGCTGCTCCCTGTCTACGGCTTAAGCGGCACGCTGCTCCATATGGCATGGTTTGCAACGATTCAACAGCTGGTGCCCCCAAAGCACGTGATGGACAACATTTTTCCTCCAGAAAACAAACACATGCAAGCTGAAGATCTATTGGGTACTAAAGCCTCATCTTCACTCGTCGATTCTCACAATCTACTCAGTGACATGTCTGCTGCAGCATCGAAAGCCAGCAAAGGCGTGAGCGAGACTTCAGCTGAGAGTGAGATGCTTCGCAATTACATCGCGCAAATGCTGCAACAGCAGTCGCAAGACGGTGGAAATGATGGCACTCCAGAGTCGGACGCTGAGCAAGACGCCGCTGACGTGAACAAGGTTCTGGGAGAGTTTCTCAGTAATTACGCAGGAGGAGCACCAGCACCAGTTTCAGAATCGGAAAGGCAAAGGTCTTCCTCGAAAAATACAAGTAGAGACCCGCAGCTTCAGGATTTGCTTGCCAATCCTGAAGTTTTGGGCCAGGGACTGACGGATAACCCCATGCTCGTGGCGGGAGCGCAAGAAACCGGATATAGTGACAGTGAGCACCTGAAGCGACTAGGCTTGGGGTATTCTACAGGTCAAAATCAACAAGAAGGACCACGACTAGGACAAAAAGACGTGGAGAGTTTGCTGGAACATCTGCTGAATGATGGGGGCCGGGGAGCAGGAGAGGATCGCGAAAGCATTCCCCTTTCCTTTGTCGAACAAGGAGAAGACAGTATCCCCATGCTCCTGACTACTGGCGGAGCTCAAGCTTTCGCAAGTGGCGCACTCTGGGATGAGGCTGGGTTGCCAAGGCGCAGAGCGACTGAAGGCCACCAAGGTAAGGAGCCGGTAGAAGTAACGGAGCGCAGTTTTCTGGATGCGACACAAACCGGGACGTCACCAGCTGCTAGAGCTGCAATGGAGCGACATGAAAAAGACTTCTTCGTTGCCTCAAGTGCAGTTTCGGATCGCCGACTCAGCCTGCGAAAGAAACTGCCAATGGCGCGTAACATATGGCATGCCTTACACCAGCAAATTTCATCGTCATTCAAGCCACCATCCGTGTCTGATTGGTTGGATCCGCAGAACATGGTGATAGTCGGAGTTTACGGCGCAGTATTTCAGGTATTCTTTTGGACGTTCGTACTCTATTGCATTGAGTATCGCGACTACAGCCGAGGAAGATCGGGAGCGTGCTGCGGTCGAAATCGTGCCCAGAGCAAGGGTAGAGGCCATTACGAGCCAGCCGCTGGCGCACCGATGAACGCGGTGAGACCGAGCGAGGGTGGCAACAGTAATGTCAGCCAACAGCTGAGAAGTGGAGCCGAAGCTGGTGCAGCACAACCACAATCAGAGTCCAGAACGGAAGCACCTAACACCAGCGCGATTTGTCCACGACAGCCTAATATTTCTCCCACAGGATCTCCCAGTGACAATTCAAAGGATTCCGATGTGGCAGCTGAAGAAGCGAAGTTTAGCGTTGAGGACGATACTGGTGTCCGCATCCACCGTTTACGACACCGCTTTCCACGTCGACGTGGTTCCAATGGGGGTATGCGACAGTTCTTGTCGAGGAGTATTGGCGGATCCGGTGGGGATGCCCACGACCCGACGCGCTGGCTGTATGCGGTCGACGGTGTGTCTTTGAACATCCGCCGTGGTGAGTGCTTCGGCTTGCTCGGACCGAATGGTGCCGGAAAGACGACGTGCTTGTCACTACTGACGGGCGAGCTGCGATCGCCCACGGAGGGCACGGCCTTCGTCGCAAAAGACTGCTTGGCAGGGCCTTCTGATGAAACTAATCCAACAGTTGCCCCTGGCACAAATGCGCTCAACGATGTCAGAGGAGGCAATGTTGCGCCTTTGCTACCCTCTTCAGCACAGGTGGAAGCAGCAGCGCCAGCATCTTCTGTGCGAGACCTCGAAGTAGGGAACCCGCAGGCAAGCGACGAGGACGACGAGGTCGAACCCGCGAGTTCCGACGCCTACTTCGACATTCGCAGTGACTTGAGTCAGATCTACAGAACCATGGGAATGGTCCCTCAATTTGACGCCTTGTGGGAGCATTTGTCAGGCCGCCAGCATGTGCGCTTCTATGCTCGTCTTTGTGGATCACTTCGCCAGGGGACCGAAGTTTGTCCTCCCGGCGGACAAGGCCCTTCATCAGGCGCCACACAACGAGTAGACGAAGAGGCTGCTATTGCTTTTGCCTTGACGCATGTAGGACTGAATTCCGTGGACGCCGACAAATGTGTGACCACCTACAGTGGAGGCATGAAGCGCAAGTTGTCGCTAGTGTTGACATTGATCACGAATCCGACAGTTTTGTACTTGGACGAGCCTTCAACGGGTGTAGATGCCATGGCAAAGCGGATGCTGTGGAACCGCATTCACGCGCGTCCACGAGGACAGACTATCATTCTTACGACCCACGCGATGGAAGAAGCCGACGCGCTGACAACACGGGTAGCAATCATGGTCAACGGTCGTTTTCGGTGTCTAGGTTCAACGCTGCACATCAAGAACAAGTATGGTTCCGGATACCATTTGGAACTTCTCTTGGACCTAAGCAGCGCGCTAGGGAGGCCAGCGCGAGACTTTGGATTTGGCGGAGGGCAGGAAGAAGCAAGAGATCAAAAGGTCGACCTACAAACTGTCGAGCCTCTCATACTAACGTCTCTGCAGCAATTTCTGTCCGCGGCTGGAGCAGAACAAGCGAACAAGAAAGCAACTTTAACAACGAGTGCGACGTTGCCACGCGTACTTGAGCGCCACGTCTTTTCCGATACACGGCTCAAGATCACTGTGGGATTGGAGACTAAAAGCCGGCTTGGGCGTGTCTTTCGATGGTGCACCGAAAATCGACACCAGGTTCTCGAGGATTACGCGCTCGGCCAACCGACGTTGGAACAGGTTTTCCTTTCATTCGCGCGCAAACAACAAGCGCAAGATGAACTCGACACGAGTGTGGAGTAGGCGACTAGGACTACAATTGCGGCAGAGACAAGAAGAGGACCAGCGTCAGCTTTTCTCGGGAAGCACGAAGTGCAGATGAAGAAAGAAACACCTCACGCATAGAGAATAGGAGACGGATGATATCGCCGATGGAAAAAAGACTCCAGTGATTAGAATTCATGAATTCGTGAAACATATTTGAATTTGAGCATGAATGTTAACAATGACATGGCATGGTGGTTCGCTTGGTGCCTCTGTTTGGGAATATAGTTGCTATCCCCGGTGTTTTTTTATTGACCACGGGACGCTTTCATATTAGTCGGAGGACATGCTAGCTGAAGGTGAAGCTGACAAACGCAAAAAAAAGACACGCAGGTGTATTGGTGACTCATCTAGAAAGTAATCCTTTGCAAAGTGTTTGCTTTCGACAGTGCCTTGTCTGAGTCTCCAAAGCACCAACGACTGGATCTTCACGATAATGAATCAGACTTTGAATTTAATTGAGCCTGAGGTCAGTACTAGATTTTCCAAATTGATCCCACGATCTATTTTTTTCTTCGCTGTCAGAAAGCTGAAGCCCCAACAAAGATCTTGATTTTCCCGGTCTCGTTCTACTTGTTCTTCCGTTAAGAACTCGAGCACTCATAGTTCAATGCTGCAGAAGGCCTTTGTCTATCGACAAAATCAGTGAGGTACCATTGTCATAGGACGCAGATCGAGATCCGTATTGAATCATCGTTCTGATCAGAGGAGGAGATGGATCTGCTTCCAATGATTTGGTTGTGTTAATAATTCCTCCAACTGATAGTGTGCGAGTATGGGTGAGAGGATCATGGTACAACGATCTGCTTCTAACATGGATCAGAAAACTAAGGACCCCTCTTTTGCTAAAGAAACTAAGCTAAGCACCGCTCTTTCCTCCGTCATTCAATTCGATTTTCCTTGTGTTCTTTGATGGATGCGAAGCTTTTAAGTGCAACCAGTACTAGAAGATCTCTATCTTTTTCTTTTTGTTTTTAGGCTTTTTATTTCCTCGTGAAACAAAAGATGAGATCAAGTGCGAAAAGAGGCGGCGGCGATGGAAATGCTTCCGGGGAGTTGTTTGACTACCTGCGGATGGCAGAGCAACAGCTTCGCCTTCTCGACGGTGAAGGGAAAGAGGCGTTTCTTCAGACGGTAGTGCGTGAAATACGAAATCACGAGTTAGATTGCGTCACGCAGCAACGGTGCTCCCGCATCGTCGAATACCTGCTGCGTCATATCAACGAGCTAGAGACATTCAGGCCGCTGTTTGGATCGTTACTGGGCGTGAAGGACGCGACCACAAAAGCAAAGGAGGCGGGTGAGGAGACGACGGAGCAAGAAGTCCTGGAAAACAAGACGCGAGTGTTTCGCTTGCTAGCGGAAAACCAGTATAGTTCTCATGTTCTACAAACGCTCTTCGGCGTTGCGGCAGAGAAAAACTTTCTTTACAACGGCTCTGATGGTACCCTAATCTTACTGCGAGATCTAGGGACGGCGCTCGTAGCTGTGCCCAAAACTACCGCAGAAGAGCAAAACCCGTCAGCATCTGGGAGTAATGCCACTGCAGTCCTCGAGAGTGCTTGGATTCAGATTTGTCAAGACCGCTCTGGATCGCATGTCGGGCGAGCGCTGCTTTTGGCCGTTGGCGGTTTTCTCGTAGAGAAGAAAATGAAAGCCAACAACAAGGCAAAGAAAGGAAAGATGGGTGCTGGTGCAGTTTCCCATGCTGCCTCTGCAGCTGTCTTACCAGAAAAGCGGGTGCCGATATCGGAAATCCGTAGTGCTGCTGATGAAATTCAATTTGTGTCGTCTGCTACGACTAAATCTTCGTCAAACGGGGAAGGTGGGGATGGCGACCAGCAGCAAGGGGACAAAGCGAGTGGAGATTCTGAAAAAGCTGCAGAGGAAACGAATTGCACCGTCAGCCTGCTGAGTGTGCACACTCGTTGCCGCGAGGTGTTTCGACTGCTCTTTTCCTCCTTGCATAGAGCAGTTATTGCAAAGCCAAGCCTTGCCCGTGACGCTCGGTTTGGTCCCGTGCTGGCAATCGCCATAGCCATCGCATCCGACGCGATTCCACAGCTCGCAAACCAGCATGAGGAGGGGGGAACTGCCAGTAGCAAGAAGGACGATCTTCAAATGTCCGGAAAAAAGGACACAAAAATGGCGAAGAAAGAGCTGATTCGATTCAAACAAGAATTACAGGAAATCTGTCGAACTGTCTTCGGAGATGCACAAGCTTTAGAATGTTCTGTAGGATCGCGCGTGATGGAGGCCTGCTGCTTGGCGCATGCGGCAGGCGTCAGGGTGGTCCAGGACTTCATCACGAAGACTCTCGTAGCCAAGTCCGAGAAAATCTCAGGAGCAGAAACCGAAAGTATGACGCTCTTGGAAAGCATGGCGTCCTCGTCAAGTAGCCTTGGGGTCATGGTATTGCAAAAAGTGCTAGACGTGCTGGGTTGTGCAGGAAGTAAAGATGCACACCTGTTGGAAGTGTTGTTGCAGAATATCGATGTTGGCAAGTGGTTGTGCTCAACCGCGCGCCATCAAATGGTCATAGCCAAAGTGCTTCAGGCCTGTGTACGGGTGGGAGCGCACTACAAGACGGCCGCGACGAAATTCTTCAATGCAATAGCGTCCTCAAACTCAACAAACTCAGCGGCGTCGGAATCGACCACCGAGGCAAATGCAGAAAGCGAAAAGCCAAGCAAGAAAAAAATGAAATCGAAAACCGCAAAGGCGCAGGCCCCTAGGGAAGCACCCGTATGGATGCGCGCGCTCCACCTTGGTCAGAACTGCGATGAACTTGTAGCAAAGCCGCACGCAGCGCCCCCGTTAGCGGGTGCTGCTGTGATATCCGCATTTCTAGATTTCCCTGAGAAATGTGTCCCCTTTCTCACAGGAGACGCTGTGATGCGTGAATTGACAGCTATGCTTGGTAATGTGCTGCCGCCAGGCAGTATAGTAGAGAAGACTGCGGAATCCGTAGAAGACGATAGTGAAAAAACAGAAAACACCAAAAAGGATGCTCCTCCGACCTGCAAATCATCGTGGTTATGGCATTTTGCGTTTGCAGCTCCTCGGGTCCTCGAAAGCGTATTTGCAAAGCCACTTTTACCAGCGGAAGCGAAAGATAAGCTCCTCAAATCACTGTGCGCTGACCACGGGAATAGGTAGATTGTCATCCTCAATGGGAATTCCTATGGTTGGTTCTGTTCGTGTTTGTTGGTTCAACTCCTGTCTGACCCCCAGTATTCGGCGATGTTCATGAATACTATGTCCTTTTTACTCGGCTTGCCTATATGCCTACACTTCCTCTCTTGAATTACCGGATCATGATCTGTTTTTTGACTCGATTGAATTCGCCCTAAGAAAACCTGCATTATCTTCACCTTCAGGTCCTCGAACAAGGCATCGAGCGAGCAAAAGAAAGCAGCCACGGGTGACACGGCTCCATCGACAGCGAATAACAGGGATTCCCTTGCTGAACAGAGAAAACGGATACCTCTCGTCGCGCTTGCGCTACAGCGTCGCACGGGATGGGTTGCGACTGCTGCTTGGAAGGCAGCGAGTCTGGTGTCTGTGCGTGAAGAGATGGCGAACCTGTTGGTTCGACAAGAAAAGGAACTAAGAGAAGAGAACATAGCCGTATGGCGAGCTTGCGAACTGCATGCATGGAAAACCCGACATTCAGAGTGGCGCGAAAAGCATGAAAAGGCAGACAAACGACGAAAAACATTTGCCGACATTCTTTCCTTTCAGCCGAAAAACGATAGTCGTGACCAGGACAAGAGCAAGCAGCCAGGCGCCCTTGATTCTTCTTCTAAGAAGCGAAAAAGAAGCGAATCGAGCACCAAAGCAAATATTGAAATTCCGGCAGCTGAACCGCAGACGCAGAGCGACACACCGAGACCAAACAACACAACTTCATCTAGTACAGCAAAAGGGTCTATCGACGTTGCTGTAGCTGTTGAGGGTAAGCCACCACTGCCAGTAAGTAGAACGGCTGAGCAGAGTGCAGACAAGCCACTAGAAGTCGCAGTCTCGAAAGACAAAAATCTGCAAGCCGTTCTTGCTTTTCTCCATCAGCCTGCGGGCCCCAAATCAAAAAAGCGAAGGCTCAATGCGAAAAGGTAGGTATTTTGAGGAACTACTTTGCAGTAATGTTACTCTTACTCCCCCTTAGTTTGGAGTTTGATCAGCGACAGAGTGTGAGTGTGTGTGTGTGTGATGACAGATGTGACATCTAACTAAGTACTCGTTTTCATTTTTTCACCTCGAAGAAGGTTTGGCCGTTTCTGATTCAGATTCTTTGTTCCTCGTGACGTGAAGGCGAATCACACGGTCTGATTCGCAGAGTTAATCTGACAATCGTCAGTTGAAAATGCAAATCTGTGGCTGGCACTTATGGGTCGTTTTTCCTGCTCCTCGTGTATTGCAATGATTGCTGATTCTGATGCTGAATAAATATTTATATAACAAGTATGGTCTAGATATATATTTATAGATATATAAAATATATTATCTGCGGGAACCGTCGTCGAGCGTGATGAGACTGAGACTCATTGAGAAGCTCTGTATCTACTGAGCCACGTGGTAATATATTGTGAGGCGAGCTGCTCCAGTTCCTTTGTTGAGAAGTTTGAGCTGATAGAAACATGGTATTTAATAGATACCACAACTTCTGTTTTAAAGTGATCTTCTGGTGTGAGAGTTGTGAGTGACGGAGTTTCCAAATTAATCGGGATGAGAGGGATCTGGATCTGTGGCGTTGAATTCGAGAGCACCAAGATGAAGAGACAAGTGTGCCGAAGAAGTGATTATGTCAGAGCGTGTAGGATGGCGATGGTCTGATGTAACGAAGAAGTTATTTGTCCTATCGGCGTGAAGCTGAAGAGACTTCAAGACGTGATAGAGTTGCTGCTGAGAACTGTCGTTGTTCCTGCAACTTTTGTGAATGCACCCATCATGCGCGAGGTGAAGGTAGTATGATCTTTTTGTTAAAGTTAAGTTTCATTTCTGGTGATGAAATATTTTCTGCAGGAAACCCTTTTCCATGATTTTAGCCCACCCTATTTTTTATCCTATGTTCATGTCACAAGAGTGTGCCCCCAACGATGCGCAAATCTATCTACTCTTTTACATAAACTATCAAAAGGAGGGGAATCACAACATTCACTTTCACGCACGTCGACTCAGCACATTCATGCACATGCTCTTCAACTTCTTCATATCCAGTAAATTTTTTTCGAACCTCCAGAATTCGAATTGAGACAACATCGTTGTTGCTCAAATCAATCAAAAAAGAAGAGAAAGACTGTATCAAGCCAAGGAAAATCCCCACACAGTGCGCGCGTAAGCGTATTTCCAGAACATCGGGACGACGAGGTGGAAGATGGGCAGAGACAACGGGAAGTTTCTTGTTGACCGCGGCGCGACTGTTCGCCAGAACATAGAAGTGACCCAGCAGTTGCAGGATAAATTTGGTAGCCGATTGCGCACGTTCTCCCGATCCCGGAATCATTCTCCGGAAGCGCGTGACGATAGTCCAAACCGCTTTTTAGAGGAAGACGCTTCGCTCGCCGATCGTCCACAACTACGACATGTTCGGACGATTGCAGGCCAACCACGGCAATCTATAGAGACCGGCGAAGCACAGAACAAGGAAGCACGCGATCAATATGAGGGAGACGACTTTTCGAGCATGAGTGGGATAGATCAAGCGGGTGTCAAGTTCCTATCAAGTGCGGTGAAAGCGCTGCCGCATGTTCCGTCATCTGGAAGACACACGAGCAATGGGCAGAAGATTGAGGATATTCTCAAGGAAAGAGAAGAGCAGGCGTTCAAAAATCGCCAAAGCAGAGACGGTGGTAAAAGCGCTGCAGCGGGTGCTAGTACTTCTCCCAAGGGTCGTGACGCCGCCGGTACGGCGAAATCGCCAAAGGCTGCAGTTTCGCCTCCGCCACCCAAAAAAAGTGTTCAAATCGATCCTGTGCCGGCGGCCAGCCCCACGAATGCGAAGAAGGCCACAGCGAAGCAAGGAGGCTCAGCTGCAAGTGACGGGAAGTCAAGGGGGGTTCAAAGCGTTGCCGCCGGTGGTGCAGGTTCATCTAGCACACCAACCGGATCAGCTAGCAATAAAGCAGCCAAATCAAGCACGTCTGGTGATGGTGCAGCAACGTTTTCGAATAGTGCGAATGCAGGCGCATCTACCTCTCCAACGAGTGGAGATGCAAGCACGAAAGGCAACTCCAATGCGAGTAGCTCGAAAAAAGTAGCACCTAAAGCGAGCCGTTCCGGCTCCGCTACGACAAAAGGCGGCTTGCTCGGTGGTGCGGGGAAACAATTACTCGGGTCCGCCGCTGGCGGTGCAGCAGCTTCGCCTCGGCGTGCTGCGCCGGGCCTTGTCTCAGCAGGGACAGATCTTGCCCAATCCTTTAAGGACTTCGTTGACCCGAGCAGTGAAACGAATCCTGATTTCTATGCCAAGTTCCTTAGTCAAACATTTCTGGATTTTCATCAGCATGGTTACATCAATATGGCAAAGTCGACAGCTGTTGGCGATGTCTACTATGCCCACGAGCAAGCGAAACCAAAAACAGAAACCGACGACGAAACTGGTCACCCTGCAGCGAATTTAGCTGCTGGTATAGTTTTGCAGCATAAGTATCGTGATTTAGCTTCCTTCTCCTCATGATCAAAATCAGATTAGTACCAAATACTAATACCTATACCATACAAATACCTGCTTACTATTTCCATCGCTGATGAAGTTGATGTTACTAGCGACTTATATGCAAAATTAGATGTGAATGTGTACGATACCGGAAACTGTGGCTCTCAGAGTCAAATTGCGTAACCAATGAACTAGTAGAACTAGAGCTTGTAACCACAATGGCCATTCTTGATGTCGAGAATCTGAATCAAAATATCAATCTAATGAGTAATATCGAGTTTCCCCATTCCCTTCTCTTCAGGTCTTCTTTTAGGTGGTGGTCTTGGTAGCAAGTTGGGAAAGACGAAAGGAGATCCAGCTGCGGCGTCGATGAGTGCACTTTTAGTTCAGAAAAAGCGTGGATCAATGTTGGCGTTCTCAGCGTTTGGAAACGCTAGTAACAAGCCCGGCCAAGCACCAAGTCGAGACCAACTGCCCCCGGGGATGACGTACGGGCATGCGAGTGGCAAGAAGATCAAGAGTTACCTCCCAAGCGGTTCGTACAATGACTGGCGTTATCAAACGGGTCCGGCTGACCCCCCTCGCACAAATGTACCCGCGGGTTCCTTGTCTGGTGGTTATGCTGACTTACAGCCATTCTTGGTGGATCACGAAGCAAACCCAGCTCGGTATCCGCCAGTGAAGGGTCCGGGGACCAGCTATCCACCGCGAAGCCACTACGACGTCGGGAGTCCGGCTTCGCCACTTTTCAGCGGCGGTGAGAAATCACTCGGAAGCACGCTGTCCAGCACTTTCTTGTCAGCGGGAACTGGCGGCGTGACTCGAGGACGCGAGCGAAAGCCGCCGCGGCTCACGCCTCTAGGATCTTCGCCCTCCGCATCGCCGAAGAACATGAAAAAGCGAACTATCTCCGCTGGTGCCGATCCTGCCTCTTCTACATCTCCTGTGCGCAACAAGGGCTCTTCCTCCGTAGTGGAAAATACAGAAGCAACATCGCCTGGCGGTGTGCGTGTGGTAGAGGCCGACGCGGAATCCCCAGGAGGGTCTTACTTCGCACCTTCACCAGGATCTCTTAGTCGAACGTTAACACAAACTGGGTGGAAGGACTATCTTCGGGGAACGTCGCGGTCACATTTGACAGCGCCTATCCAGACACGAGCGTGGAATCGGCCTGCGCAAGTGAATGCTCGTACACAACGACGCAAGGCGGTGCCGGAGAAAGAGCTGGAGTTGTGGGTCGCGCTGGCCGAGCGGCTGCTGCTTCTGGGCAGTTACCTGGCACGCGATGGCAACGCGAATAAAAGCAACAACTGCTCTTTTTTCATGGATCGCGCGGAGCTTCGGAGCGTACTGGAATGGTTTCTGGCACGCGACGGCTTCAGTCTAAACGATGCGTCAGTGAACACCCTCCTTGGAAGTGGACGAGTTCCGCTCAACGACATCGCCTTGATTCAGGACTTGTTTCGCAAGCACGAGAAAGCACTTAACGAATACCGCAAAGAGCACCCAAGGGCTCTCCCAGAGTCCTTGCGAGACACACTACAGATTCCCTTGAGCTCGCCAATGCCAAAAGAGCTAGAGAAGACGTTGCAGCCGGCGCCAGCACCCCTTGCACCAGACGAACCAGTGCGCGCAGCGACGAACATCGTTGGCAACGCGACGCTGAACGACGGGCTTTCCACCACGACAAGTCTGGGCACGAGCGAAGACGAAATCCAGGCCGCAGTCGAGTTGCTCCCCTTGCGCGACGTTACCATTTGCACGCATTTCCTAGCGGAGATGAAGACCGCAAAGATGCAAATCCTCCAGCTCCACGCTGAGGCCGCAAGCCCGAAACACACAAGTAGCGTGAGCGGGGCGCCCACAGTGACAGCTACTGTGCAGTCCTCCTTCAATACTTCAGCTTCCTCGTCGTTCGCTCGCGCGGGTTCATCGGGAGCCGGCCCCAGCGGACTGTCAGGTCCTGGCGGAGGTCTTCCTGGTGGCGCAATAAATAGTTCTACTTCGGGAGGCGGTAGAACTTCGGGCACCTTCTTTTCCCAGGCGGCGCCTAAGACGTCTCTAGCGCAGGGAAACGCACGCCTCGAGATGTTGCAAAAGCTTCCTAAGGCGGATCGTCAGAAACTCGTAGACGACTTTTTGGTTGACTACATTCACCGGCAGCAGGAACAGCAACGCGTGCTGATCAACTTGTCGCGCACACTGATTCACAGTCCGAGAATGTCGCGGAAGGTCGCACGCCGTAACCTTCAGCCCGGCGCGCAGGCCGAGGGGCGCATGAGCTACAGTGACGCGCAACCGGGTAGAAACTTTGATTTGGCGGCTATCCGTAGCTGCGTGACCGGGGGACGTCATCCGCAGCCATCGGTCGTGGCCAGCAAACGACTTCTGAAAAAGAGCCGCAACTGCGGCAAATCGTTCTTCGGCGTAGCAAATTACGGAGCGTCACTGTCAGATGGAGACGAGGATGATTTTGAACAACGTAGAACCTCGTTTGGCGGAGTCGAGCAGGTGGACATTCTGGAAAATACCACAGGATCCTCCGTATTCGATCAGACGATGAACATGAGCACGACCGCAGGCCTCGGCTTGCAAGCTCTGCTAGCCTACAGCGAAACGCAAGAACTCGCGGCGCAACATGTGAGCGCGCCAAAGCACGCAGCACTGCCGACTGGCCATCACATGATTCGCAGCGCAGTTGACTTGTCGCTCGATGGCGACGTCAGTTCTCCAACGTCAAAGTCTCTGGCTTCGTCGCCAACCGCATCAAAGAGCAATATGAACATGGCTGGAGGTGCCACTGCTAGTTCTAGGAACGGAGCAGACGGTCACCAACACCATCAGCGACGACAGCTCAGCTTGCTCCAGCCGCTCCTGGCTAAGGCAGGCGTGCGCGATGCGGGTATGAATTTTCCGGCGGGAACTGAGGTTTCCGAGGTCCTACTCTCGTACCTTCGCGACCGACTTCTAGCTCGAAGCGGCAATGCCGGAGAGCTTCAGAGTCGTGCTACAAGGCAATCCAAGTCAACACGCGGAAACGCCCACGCGATGCACTCCGGATCGGACCCCTACTATTTCCACTTCGACGAGGAAAAGAAGCTCCTTTATCATGCAAACTACGAGTATGAAGACTTTGGAGATTTCGTCTTCAGCGCATTCCAGGAGGAAAACGACTACGAAGCCAAAGTCCGAAAGGCTTCGGAAGCCTCGAAGCAGGAAAGCGGATCACAAGCAGATCAACATGGTGCAGACTCCGACAAGCAAGAGGATGCGCGGATGGCAAGGAATTTTTCACGATGTACATGTAGCACGATTGGCGTTAATATGCCTTCGCCGGGCAGTCATTTGCCACGCGTCGACGAAGATGGGAGACCTGAGTCCTCGGGTGACAGTCCGGATTCACCCTCCTCCCACCCAATGTTGAATGCTTCCTTGACTTTCACGTCAACCATGTTCAACACTTCCTCTACGAATGGTCTGCTACCGCAGCAGCCCCCGACGCCCCACCCTTCGGCGCAGCAAGGGCCTTTCGCCTTTGTTCACAAGCACCAACCGGCGCCGCCGACGATGACCAAAGAGCAGGAAGCGCGCTATCACACCGAAGTGCGTACTGAGCTCGCAACGTTGTTGCAGCAAAAGCAAAAGCGCGTTGCGGACACCTTTGTGGTCGCTTACGACGCGAGAAACTTCGTGAAGCACCAACAATTGCAACGCGCCTTCGCGGGCCCTGCGCCTGGAGGCAATAACGCTGGCTCTCCCTCCGGCGGCGGGTCCTCGAAGAGAGGTGGTAAAAACGAAGAACCGGAAAACGTGATCGTGGTGAAACAACCAAGGAAGATTCCGAACTACATGAAGCCAAAGAACAGCGCGAGACCGTCCGACTCGGAAATAGCAGCACAACAAGCACAGGCACTGTTGTTAGCACAGCGCGAGCAAGAAAAAACGCTGTTCCACACGACCGATTTCAACTACGGAGCGCTGTTGAGTCCAGCACTTCTACAGAGCTCCACGTCCATTGCTTCGCTGTCAACAGGCCTTCCCCCGGGCGCAGGCTCGACCATGATGTCCTCAATAATGAGCGCAGAAGCGAGCGCACCCTCGGTATTTTGGCCAAGCGCTCTCACTGTCTCTGACCAGTACGTGCGGAATGAGACGCAATTCCAAGGTGCGCTGGAACCAGACACGCACATTCTGAACGTACGAATCGCCAAGATTTTGTTGCAGAGCGACGTCGCAGATGAGATTATGGAGACGCAGAGGCAAATGGATAAGGCAGGCTCAGCCTCCGGTGGCGCGGCCGGAGCTAACTCGGCGCAGGATATGGCTCGCGCTTCCGCTGAGACGAAAAATCTACTCGGACAGTGCAAGGAGATGCTCGAAGAAGTCTTACCGCGTGTTTTGTCTGTTGTCTACCGTCGCGACAGCGACGATGAGGAGGAGGACCCGTTTGGGGCTGCTACTCGGGATGACAAAAATACAAACAAGGACAAAGCGAGCAACAACAACGGGCCGCCACCACTTGTGGATGTTTCGTTGGCCGTCTGGACCAAGCCGCCAACCTATATCATCGCACGCAACCGCATGAATTTGCGTGCACGCTACCACCCCGAGAAGCGTTTACTGCAGATTGAGACACACATGCAGAGTCTTGCGCAGCGCCGACGCGACGCGCTGGAGCGCAGGAAGGAGATGCTGGAGCGCGAACATGCGTCCTTGCTGGCGAAGTATGAAACCAAGATGGCGCGCGCGTGGGCTAAAGAAGCGAATATTTCCATGAATCCGGTCGAAGACAACGCACGACAGCGCAAAAAAGCCCTCCAACGAGTTTGGCCAGTGTGGATCCAACTGGCGCTCTCGGCGAAGTTCTTCGAGGACATTGCGATTCCCAGTGAAGAGGAGAAGAAGTTCTTGGATTCGGTCCGAGAGGCCCAGAACAAGGACACTTCTGACAAATCTTTGATGGATATCGTGAAGGCGGCAGACAAAATTGAGATCCGGCCCAGCGCGAATCGCGGCGAGGTCGACCGGCCTTCCATACAGGTCCTTCGGGCACAAAAGGAGCTTGGCGCTCATCCGCTTGATACAAAAATTGCGATGCAGCGTTACTTCGCGGAAAACAAAAACCGCCAGCTGTTCTGGCTCTTCTTCCTCGCAAAATGCAAGCTGAAAGTGCAGCTTGGCCGCCGCCGCGGGGGAGCGCGTATCTGCTTGCATTTTTTGGAGAAGTTCGGCAGTCCACAGTATCGCTTCTTCTTCCGCGCCATGAATTTCTCGTACCAAGCCCGCGCAGTGCAACGCTCCTTTCGGTTTTTCAAGTTCAACCGTGGCTGTACCATTCGTGTGTTGCACAAGCAATGGGTGCGAGTAGAACGAGCAATCACGGGCGCTGAACTTCGGCGCGCAGATGAGCTGCAAGAACGGGCGAGCATCCTTGACGAAAAACTTGAAGAGGCTATGCGCAGAACTGAAGCGGTACAGGACATTTCGGCGTTTTTCAATAAAGCATCTTCTGCATCTGCTACACTGCTGCTAATCCTGCTCATCTGGCTCTTGCAAAAAAGACTTCATCCTCTCTTTCCTGATACTGATTCTGATAGACATGATAATTTTTTCTAGTCGTGGCTGATCATCAAGAACATCATTCGGCAGAAGATATATTAAACAAGTGCTCATACTAACTCACAACAGGCACTTACGGGTAAGAAGGAAGCTCTTGCACTAGCGACGTCAATGAACAGCCCACGGTCGTCGCGCTCTCATGGCGGATTCCTGCCAAAGCAAAAAACGAAATCACGTAGGGAGTTCCGCAGCGCCGAAGATATTAGAAAGCAGTGGCACGATAGAGTCACGGCAAATCTCATGTCAGAGCGCGAGTTTCTACACTTCATCATCCCAGAACTTCGCTACAGAAGGTAGTATGATTGAGATTGAGACTGTTAGCTAAAACTAAAGCTACAGTCGTCAAAGGTCAAGGTGTACTGAAAGATTTTCGTACTCGTTGTAGATCTAGATTTTCTTTTTCAACTTCCAATTATATTTTATAATAATGATTCAAGGACGTCGCCGTATTTTTTGACTCAGTTGCTGTTCAACGTGTGTGCATGAAGATGAAAGACATCTGCGTTGACTTTAAAATCCAATCGACCTCTTTTCTCTGCGTCTGCTTCTCCCTCCGTCTCGATTAGCCTCTACAAGAGCTAGTCTACTGCGTATTCTTCTACTTTTGTGACCAGGTACCACCACATGTTGCGATTGGATGAATACAAAGAGGAGGTGAAAATTTACACGCGTGAGCTTGCAAAGTGGCAGCTAAAGAAGGAGGTTTACGACGAAGCGAAGGAACAGGGAATGACTAAGCTTCCGGAGTTACCGGAGCCACCGATACATCCAAAACGACCGGACAACACCGCCACACACGCTGACCTTGTGGATATGGTCACCCGGGCAAGAATGTAGTCTTTAATTGTTTTGCCCTTGCTTTTAGTTTTTAGAAATAGAATGTACTGATTTTTTAGCTTTTGCTATTAAGTTGAAGTTGTAGAAGATGACTTCTGACAACGGCAATGGCGTCTTTGTAGCAACATATTTAAGCATTTGTGCAACATTTCAAGAACTGAAAGATAGAGTAACAACTAGTAGTCTTATATATAATCTTATTGTTTTTTACTTTTTCAATAACAATCATATCATGTTAGATGTGCGTCTGGATCAACATTAAAACGCGTATCATGTACGTTTGTGGTTTCTCTTAAGACTATTTTTGTGTCTAGTTGCTTACTGCTCCTACTGGTAATGCTGCTTGCTCTACAACTACTACAGATCTGTGGACAATTATTTGCGTGTGCAAAGCGACAACGCGGTGGAGGAGGAAAAGGCGCAGGAGGAGCATAAACAGTTGCAAGAGCTGCATGAGATTGGACGGCATCGAAAGCAGGCAAGAGCAGCGTGGGATATCTTGCTCGCTAAGCAGTCTGACCAGTGGGACAGCGATTTCAGGGAGAGCCTAAATTACACTAGTGCGCTAGTGCTCGACGATGATGGGTTCGAAAGTAGCTTCGACAAGATGTTGAATGATCAGAAGGCTGGCGCAGTACAGATGCGGCAACAGCGAAAGCCGAAGCCATCGTCTCAGTCGCCAACAGGAGCTCGCGTCGGCGCTAGCGGAAGTTCGCTTGGACGACGCGGGTCAATGAAGAGCAGTGACAGCAGTGTCAACATGGGAGGATCCGAGTCAACAGGGGTGTGGCCTCCGCCGAATGTGACGTTGAGCACGCACCCAAACGCCGTGATATCCTTGAGCAGCGGTCCTGGTATGGGACGAACCGTGGTGCAACCGCAAGAGGGCGCCGATGGCGCTGCTGGAGACCAAGACGCACCCTCACCGCTGAGTCCAGCGGATGTCCCTCAGCAAGCTTTGATCGGAAGCAACCTCTCCCCAAGGCAGGTGGTTGAAAAGCTTGCGCGCCGCTCGGGTCAATTCAAGCTGAATCGCTTCGGACGCCCTAAGAACGTGCTGTTCTCCGAGGGCAAACCGGTGAAAGGAAAGGGAGTAGACCACATCGTAGAACCGGAACTCGACTTCAACAAGACGTTTTTGAATCACCAAGACGATATGCTGTTCCACGTCTACAAAGGTGAACCGATCGTTGCGACAGACCGCTTCAATGCCTGGTGGCCGACCCCAGAAATGCTCAACGAGTTTTGAGTCGAATTCGATACATTAAGAAGTACTAGTAGGAGTAGCTGTACTACTAGCCTTTATTGCCTGTGAGTGAAAAATAAGCATAAACATTTGGATTTGGTAGCAGGAGCAGGCGATTGAGCTAGTTCTTCTACAGGCATTCATTATTCATATTCAAAGAATGCAAGTATAATTGGGAAGGCGATTTTTATGTCAGTTTACACAAAGATGCAGATGGGAGAACTTGTAGTTACCAATACTAAGACTAGCTCGTGGATCTTGACCAGTGATATCGAAAATTGCAAAACAAAACCTTAAGCTTAACATTCAATGAATGAACTGTATTATTCTACTACTTTGGATTTCTTGTATACTAGGACCGTTGGAAAAAGTGATAGCTCTGTAGATCCACATTTCTTTGGCTTTCTCGCTTCTTAGAATCATGATATTATTCATTGGAAACGATCATCGATATGGAAAAACTCAGAACGTAAAAAACCTGAAGTAAGTAGCTGAACAATTACCATTACGATGTACCAAAGTAAGACATTGCTGGACATGAAAGTCGACGAATGAATGTAAGTATATCATTTGAGAAATTTGTAGAAGTCATCTTTTATGTTACTAGTTCGTTGTAGTAAACTGGAGCACGACATCAAGACAAGCTAATACACATGGGTACTCATTGATCGTTGATCATGCAACGATACGATAAAAAGAGGGGCAAACTTTGGCATTAGAATCTCGGAAACACAAACATATGACCTGACCAGGAGAAAGAAACCATCACTACAGACACTGTTTTCATGTACTTTCTTGTTGCATCCATGATGATGTGAAAATTTAGGCGCTCAGAGATCCGCCTGCAGGTGCAGCGTCGATGACGAGAATGGGGGCAATGGTGAACTGCCTCTTAATCCTCGTCGGCGTCCGACCATGTTCGTTGTAGAGTCCTCTGTTTCTCCATCTGTTGCTGATGGTTCCCACTACGCAGAGGGAATCTTACTTTTTTGGCTCTTGTTCTTCGGTTAGAATTAAGTAGATAACTTTTTTCCCGATCATAGGTACAACTACAATTCGAAGACCACGACAACCGCCCATCATTCGATAAAAAAATGTTCAGACTCCTCCACACTGCGCCCCCTATGCCCTGTAGGCCACTGTCCGCGGTGCTTGTTCACCATCAATATCAAATCTGTAGCAGTACAAATACATGAAGGACGAATTTGTCCAGTACGTAGTCAGTTTGTGCACGAAGGAGCCAGTTCTTCCCGCGTGCGCCACGCCCAAAGGCTCTTGATATGATTTGATTTGAACCAAGGCGCGGGCTTTGCACAAATAAGTTGAAGATGACGATGTCTAGGTTTCGAATCGGTGGCAGGATGCCAACAGAGTCCCTTGCGGAAGTTCAGCAGAAAGCCAGAACACTACTACCAAGCCCAAGCTTTTTGCACAAGGGAAAAGAAGGACTAGAAGACGAGCAAATATCCACCTTGTTACGCTTCGGTGAGGTCGTGGGGTTTTGGGGTCCTGCACGTTGTGGGAAGAGCAATGTACTTAGGCATCGCAAAACGACCTAGCGCTATCTAGAAGCATATCTTTGACTTTTTGGTGGAGGAAAGTAAGTCATAGATATGTGAGAGAGATACTGTCCGAATGGTCATCTGGAAACTCCTAATGCATTACGCAAATGGTTAGCCGACGTGATATTGCAGCGACTGAGGAATGAAAGCGTGCATGCTGGCTTTGCGAATTCAAAATCGACAAGGTCTTTGCCGGAAATTCATGTGCTGGATACAGATTTGAAGTTTGATCTAGATGATGCGCTTGATGACGACCTCGATAAAGTCTTGGCTTCGCCTGCGTCGTCATGTGATAGAAGCTTTCTTTGGGACGAGGATGCAGATGTGAATAGGTCTTGCGAGCAACAGTTAGAGAATTGTTTTGTACACCGCATACGTACGCTCGACGACTTCGAGAGGTCAACGATGTGGTTGGAGGACGATTCATCCTCTAGGTCTAGTCGTAAACGTCGAATGCTAGAACAAGTACTAAACGAACATTCGAAGCATAAAAAGGAGCACGCCTGCGCATATTGCGCTCGCGGAGGACGCATTTTAGTCATCGACTCTCTAGACGCATTGATCCAGCTGTGTCCCGATTTCTCTGCGGTCGACCGGGTCGTAGCTTTGCTCAGAAAACATTGGATGTTGGGATCTCGGTGGATTGGGTCGACAGCTGTACTGTATACCTGCAAAACAGGTGGGGTGGTCCATAGATTGTGGAACACTTCTAAACTTGCTGCTGCAGGAAAAGGACCCGGCCCCCAACCTGCAACTAGTAGAGCCTTCAAGAAAAGACATGCAGCAACTAAGGATGAAAGTGAAAGTGACATAAAGGGGACAACTGGATTGACATATCACGGTGACAATGTATCCATAAGGATGAACAGCGGCAACATATCAACATCTCAATTAAGTCTGATTGATCGTCTCTTTGGCGATGCAGAAAGCCATCACGAAATATGGTTCGCGAATTCGGATTTAGATTTAAATTTTTCCTGATAATGTAAAGACTCACGACTGGTGCCCGCCGCGCGGGAAAATATGGATACTACAAAGCGGCACACTTTTTCTATTGTTCTTGTAGTTCTCAGTAATGATATTCTCCACGCCAGTTCGAGTTCCAGTAGTGCCCGGCTATCATGCCTTACTTATTACCAACCACCGACTTACTTACTTACTTTCTTACTTTCTTACCTTCTTACTTTCTTACCTTCTTACCCTCTTACTTTCTTAACTTTCTTTCTTTCTTTCTTTCTTACTTACTTACTTACTTACTTACTTACTTACTTACTTACTTACTGACTTACTTAAGTACTTAAGTACTTACTTACTTACTTACTTACTTACTTACTTACTTACTTTATTGGCGCCCTTGCTCTGGTAGAGCAAAGCATGACGAACGCACACCAACAAACGGGCACCGAGATGGAGCGATAACGAAAACAAAAAAGCACAGACTCCAATGAATAGTTCCTGTATGTAGATAATTGAACTAATTAGAGTTAGAAAGCGAGACCCTGACCCACTCCCACACGCAGACGCGTTCGAACGGCAGTCGACAACAAATTGATACACCTCATGATCAAAATGGAACTCGAAGATAAAATCGAAATACAAACAATATAATGAAACACTCGATGGATGAGAGCACTTCCTAAGATGGATGATGGCTTGCATGGATTGCAATGCATTGCATGGATGGCATGGCCAGGAGGGGCGAAGGCGTGACCTTTTTAGAGGGGAGGCGCGCACTTCTCTGCTTGAACGCAGCGCAACTCCTGACAAGGCCACAGGATGGCCGTTGCCTTGCTTATCTTGTTGCGCTCTTCCCGCCCGCGGATGGGGGGTCGCTTCTCGTAGGGGTGAGGCCGCACGTGGACTCCCTTTCGGTTCGAGCTGGCTGCAGGGAGGACGCAGAGCGCCTGACGCCTGGCCGCGTTCGAGATGCCAGCAAACTAGCCTAGACATTCGCCGTTAGATAGAAGTCGGGCCCCTAAGTAAGTGCGTAACGGTCGAAAGGCATAAGCAAGGCGTTAGCTTATGAAGCCCCCCGCTGCCCCCTGGGATCATGGCACTGCCATGCTTGCGACCAGTGTGTTTGCAATATCTTGACGCTTATACTTTTTCGCTATGGGCCCGCGTTATAAGTAACAGGAAGGCGGTGGCGTTTGGCTATCGGTCCGACTTTGATTGGTATCCGGCTGGGTTTAAGCGGGCACGCGGCAAGTGCGCTAGTTCTCTTGCGTGCACAGGCTACGGCGCGCATGGTCCTCTGCGTTGGAGGGGAGGCGGTCTTACTTTGGGGGGGTGTTCTGGCTGTAGCCTGCGTATGCTGCGCCCGGATGCGAAAGCTTCGAAGTTGCTTGTGCCCAAGCTGTTGGAAGGTGAAACACGACCACAGTAAGTGCGGACGATGGCGCCCGAAGGGCGCTCTGAAAAAAAAACCTCAGTGCTAAATAGTGCTCTCCATTGTCACGCATGCAATCCATACCACGCAATTCAGAAATCCGGAAATAGCGAAGCTCTCTAAATTAGTGCTTAATAAACTAATACTAAAGTGACGCTTAAGGAGTTTCTTTCTCCACTGACTACGTGAGAGCAGATGAAGCCGAGTGGGCCGGTTGAAGAATTCTCAACAATATTTCTAAAGTCCAGTTTGATTTTGAAGGATCCGCGCGACGTCATTTACATTGCTGCAAAATACTAGAAGTAGTACACCTACACCCACGACGCGGTAATACTTACACTTGATGCTAGTGCGCGTAAACGTAGTGCTACTGCACCCACTCACGAGACGACCCTGCAGACAAGGAGGGCCCCACGGGCGGGTCTCCGGCAATGCGCGTGGTGTCCGCGGTATGGCGTCTGGTGTCTTCGACCCGTGTCTTCTGCGTCTGTGCGGGTTATGTCCTCTTGTTGGCCATGCGCGTGGCAGGGAGACCGCAATACGTTTTAGAGAATTCGGCTCGGCCGACGTGGGAAACTCCTTCTGCTGGGCCTTCGTCGGTCCACGAGGACCTCGGGAAGCTCCTTGTGGACCTTGGACGACAGGCAGGTGGTCCACGCATGAAGAGGACTGCCAGTGGTGAAGCAGGGGTTGACGGCGACGGCGAGGGAGCGACATTATAATATATATATTTATAACATCATGCCTGCGATCCTTATTACAGCGGCCATCTGAATCCCAGGCAAGTGGCGCCCCTGCACTGAAGCCGCCACAGAGAATAGTTCGCTCCAGTCGCTATTTTCTCCGTCGAGGGCTCCACGGAATTGTCGTGACACATACAGATACGAGGTTTTCGCTCTGCAAGTCGCTGCCTGCAGCGTTGCTCCATGGAACGGGTATCGTGCAGCGTACTCGACGTCTTGAGACGATGGCAACGATGCGCAAGTCACTTTCGTCTCCTCTCTGTTCCACGCTTTCGGAATCGAGGCAAGCTTTTACATCTGCGGGAAGTTTATGACGCACCCTATCCCTATCGATAAGCCGACTCCGGACCAGTTAGTTCGCAAATGGGACTTTTTGTGATTGTGAGCTAACATGTTAGGCTAACACGAGCATCTATTTATTTCTATCATATTGGAAAGTAGATAGAAACGAGTTGAGCATGAAGGGCGAGGTTACAACAGATGCTGTCGCTGCGTATCGTTGTACATAATGTAGTCGTAGTCTTCTCGCGGCTGCAAGATGAGTGATCAAGAGAAAAACGAGAGCAGACAGCAGAAAGAGGAAGAGATTTGTGAGTTGCACAAGAGATGATTAAAAGAAATACGAAGGGGAAGCAGCAGCACACAACGGGCTGCATCGCGGACAAATATAAATAGACGATGACGCAACTAATGTACAGCCAATAGCAAGAGATTGTATGTGTCAAATTCAGAAATTTTCAGAAAGTAAAAGTGTAGTCTGCAGTACTGTACCAAATCGAAATAGAAAGAGACTGTTGAGTCGACAAAAAAGCTTAAACGACACCAAATTGTGGAAATAGAATCGCGGCTACTATCCTACGGACTCCTTGTTCTGCAGGAGCTGTCATTCCTTCTCCGTCTCCTCGGTCTCCGTGTGTACTCTCCTCTTAAGTAAATCAAAATGTATTCGTTGTACCTGTACCAGTTACCAAAGTCAGCTTAGAATCTATTCCAGCCTTCAAAAACTACAAGACACTCCTCAGAAAAAAGGTGGGTCAGTACCAGCATGACTGCAGCGACGTGACACCATCATGGCAGCAGAGCTACCATCTCTGTCCGCGCCTGATCCGGCAGCAAGCCTCCACAGTATCGGTATGGACGCAATCCAATCGCCAAGTTCTATCCAGCTATCGGAGCCTAGTCAGTTTTTGCAGCATGTTGGCGGTCTTGGAGTTGGCCTTGACGCTGCCATCAACATGCCTACAAATGACGCTGGCAGTGTTGTACCCAACAAGAATGCAGTCGACAAACAAGCGAAAAAACGTGTAGAAGGAGACACGAAGGCAGCTCCTGTAGCCGGATCGCCTCCGCCGCCACCTCTTCCCGCCTCATCCTCTGAAAAAATTACTGAGGGAAAGACTGCGCCGCCCCCGGGAACATCCTCGGCTGGAGCAGGTGGGACGGTCGAGTATTTTTCGATTTCATCGCCGCGATCATCCTCTACCGGCGGAGAGAATGGGGGCGTTTCGTCAGGAGAACCCTCGCGCAGCAACAGCATGAGTTTCGATGTTGACGTCACCGAAGTTACCAGAGCTGCAGAGGTCCCCATTTCATTTTTTCCAACAGCAACATACTTGAACTTGATGCATGATAGGTTTTCTGTTACGCCTAGGCACACAAAATACAGCATGATATTCTCAAGAATGGCTCTCTCGATACGTCACAGCACGTTAAAAATTTTAGGCACAAGCATCGGCAGAGGCTGCTTACGAGCACGACCTTAAAGGTGCAACAATGCCTGTCGGAGATGATGGCAGGCTACATCAGCCACCTCTAGTGCACGTTTCACCCACCTCAGCTACAGGCACAGCATCCGCCAGTGCACAGGCAGCGCCGAGTTCATCCCCCTCCCGTCCACGGCTAGTTGCGTTAGGAGATGGGCCTACGTCGTCTTCACCTCCGACATCCGGAGTGAGCAAGGCAGCCATGAGCGAGCATTCACCAGGCACGGCGGTGGATCCTTGGCGACGCGTTCATGAGGTCCAAGAAGAAAAACAAGTCGTCGTCGACTCGTTGCATCAAGCTTTAGCGTCGCTCGCAGCCGAGAATGCTGCGCTCAAAGCTAAAGACGCAGAGCGTGGTTCTCTATTGGAGACAGGGACACGCATTGTGCACAAGATCGCGGAAACTCTAGACAAGGTTGCAGAGAGCATAGACGGTAATGATTTTTAACAAGGAGGTAGAGCCAGTATAACAACGTACCAGAGCAACGACATGGTACCTTGAATAAAGTCGCACGAAGAAGTAGGAGTACAACAACAAATAGTTTTATTAGAATATAACTACTTAGTTTTGAACTGTTGAAGGAGCAATAGAATGGTTCTGTAAATGTGGTACGTAGATGAACAACGTAGTCGTGTAGTTGTAGCTGGAGGAGAGGACGTAAAAAGAGGTAGCCTGGTGCTTTGGGGTCAACATGGTCATCAAGAACATCAACATGATATTTTGTTTTGTTCTTTCGCATTCGCTTTCAAAACTAAACGAAGATTTTCAAATTCAAACCTACTGCTCTCCAGCTGATGATTTTTCGCCAAAGCAAGGAGCCGGAACTGATGCACCCCAGCCTGAGCCGCCGGCATTTGTCTCGGCATTTGTCAATTTCTACGGTGGTTTGCGATCAAGCATTACGCAATCAATTATTGGGGATGGGACCAAGAGTCCGGACGACGAGCAACCTCCGACTCTCGTGCCTTCGTCCTCGAGTTCACGAAGGAAACTCGAACCTCCGCCTCCGCCACAAGACTACGCGCCATCAATCGCAAACACCATCATATCGAATGACACTTGTTCATCCAGTATTTCTGAAAAAGCCAGCAGATTATCTTCTTCCTTGCTTGGAGGTGCTGGAACATCTTTAGGTGGAAGTACGAGTACAACTGGAGGTGGAAGCGCAGCTGCACCGCCGGCACCTCGACCTCCTCCACCGCTTTCCGGAGTAAGCTCGCAGCCTGGAGCGTCAACTGGAAGAAAGCCTGTGCCACTACCACCTCCGATTGTGGAATTGAGAACGCCTGGTGAAGATGTAAATTCGGCGAAGACTGAATCAGGACAAGGAATGAACGCACCCTCTCTAAGTCTAACAAATGGAACAGAAAGTTTCGCCACTACAGATGACAACACAAGGGCTTCAACATCAAGTAATCCTGTTTCGTCAACAGAGGGCTCGCAGTCGTCGTCGACAGAAGCAGGATCGACCGAGAAAAGTCTGCATCTACCCAAGCCGCCGCCTCCGAAAAGAGCAGGCCTTGTGGTCTAAGCATGCGCACAAGAACTAAGTTGCCTCCTAGCACGGCAGGCGTTTTCATGGACGAAAGGAGTGCTTAGCAAACACACTGATGCCTGAAACCTCACTGTCACTTGTAGAAGAGCACCATTTTTTTATCATGGGAAGTCGTGACAGAAAAATGACACAGGCGAGCGTACCGACGTTGCTCAGGTATGTAGGCGAAAAGGGGTCATGAACGTGAGGATTGCCCGTTGGACTGCCGTACAATCAGAGGCCTCGGCTTTTCGATCATCAGACATGACGTTTTTACAGACCTCAGCGCAGAGGAAAATGAAGAACCCAAGAAGTGCATCCATGTGAAAAGCTCCTCTAGCTCTGGCCACATCCTGCCCGATCAAGTGATCAGGGCGTGGTTGCGTTCCCACCTTTGCGGACGAAGACATCACACGTGAGTAGCCGGCTTCGCCAGATGAAGTCTCCTTCGACAGAGTTGACAAGCAAACAAGACTGGGCGACAGCGAGCGCGAAAGGAAATGAAAAAGAAGTCAAAGAAAGTGAGTCACTCAGAGACGAATATAAAAAGCATATCTTATGAACAAAGTAAAAAGAAGTGACTAGTACGAACTTCGCTTAATGCTACAACTGGCAACGCCTCGGATATGGAGATAATCGAACAGTATTATAGTCGGAGTAACGTGATAAAAAATGAAAAAAAAGTCGATAAGTGATTTTGCTTATTCAGTTTCTTACTGATGCGATGAGGCTGCGCGCAGCCGATACGGAGCAGATGTTTTCGGGAGGTCTTTTCTTTGCGAAACTGACGACGTCACGAAGTCTCGTCGTGGAATTCCCGACCCAGAAGTGATCAGATACTACAAGTTGTTACTTTGATGCAAGTAAGCCTAGTAGCTGGTCGTGTAGGAGGTGACGAAGTAGCTGCATGCTGAGGCTTCGCACGTATGAGCTTGCATTTGTTTTTTTTTCGATCGTGGCTCGTTTTGCTTATCTGGTTGTTAGTTGTCATGTCCTCGCTCTTGGTAACTACTCCGCATTCAATGGCCAACTTTTATAGTTATTATCTTCAGCGTCATGGCGTCAATATAGACAGCGCACAGCGCTCCAAGGTTTTAACTCGAGTCGGTGACGATCTTGGTCGCGGCTACTACTGCTACCGCTGCTACATCATGGCCAGCGCGCTGCTAGTCATGTTCTGCTGTTCGGATGATACGGGCTCGGCGTTTCTTGGACGAAGTGGCGGCCGCGACTCGTCTATGAGGTCGTGAAGACAGCAACTGGATAGCATGCACCAGCATGGCCACGGCCACGACTATGCTGAAACAGCTTTTGGCTCCGCCAAGACCTCGCCAAGCAAGGCTCGCGAGGATCGTGAAGCCCTAAACCCTAGGCCCTAAGCGCCCTAAAGTCTGCAGCCATGTCCTCATGAGTTAATCACTTTCGTCGACTTCTTGACTTAGAACGTCAAGACCGCGACTACAGCCGATCCCTGTGCTCTACAACTTTTTGAGAGTGGCTCGGTATACTCCTCGCCGTGCAAGCTAGTGAAGCTCAAAGTTGTGCAGTGCGACAACATGAGGAGAGCTACTTCCTCCGCTTCGTAGCAAGCTAGTAAGAAAATGCCAAAGAGACAAACTCGACCATAGGCAAAAAAGAGCGCGGCATGAAAATGGTCACCGTGGGCGAAATGGAGGCCACTCAGTGCGTATTCTACGTGAAAATCTTCCGCGTGATCTTCTGCGGTGGTCTTGCTTCTGCCCGCTGTTCTTGTTCGTCGGTCTTGTTGTAGCCGAGCAAGTAGCTGTAGAAGTCGTCAGTGATGATCTTCAACCATGGCCATTGTCTGCAAGTTCGATCTTGTTCGGAAGTCAATTTTTATAATGGTGCCGCGCTAGTTGTAGTTCTCCGCTGTGTCAGATGATGGCGCTGCGGATTTTTTTCAAATTATAACGCCAACTAGACTACTGCAGGATACGAATGCACTGCAATACGACTCAGCGCCTTGCCGTCCATGTGAAGTGATCGCTATAGTATAGTGACCACGTCAGTACCTTTATGCGCGAGCTCCTGTTTTGATCATTCGCGGCCATCATCTAGCTGCTGCTGTAGTTTGGTTCTTCTACTTCTAGAGCCACCGCGCGCCTTTTCTTCTATCAAATAAAGCAACAAAATGGGCCAGGGATCGTGGTCGTCGAATCATGCAACGACCCAAATGACTCCGGCTGACGCGGGCGACAGTACTGAAATGGGGCCAGTCTTCTTGGCTTCGTGCTCTACTTATGGAACTACAACCTGGCTGCTTTTCCAAGTAGCAGCCGCGTTTCGTGATTTTGTACAACAGTCGGGACCTTTTGCAAGTTGTTGCGGTAGGGCGTCAGCAGCTGCGCCGCAGTTTTTATTCTTGCTAGACTTATACACAGTCTCACAATGCTGCGAGTCAAGGAGCGCGCCCGAGTAGCTTACCGAGAGAAGACCATAGCGCGCCAGACAGCTGCGGCAACTCGGCGCGTTGTATCTTCAGGCGGCCCAGTCGCTCCTGAACCTGATGCCCCTGCGTCTTCGGAGCAACTGGACGACTCTAGCATGGAAGTAGAAGGCGCTGGCCATCGGGTGGCGGAATTACAGAAGACTGCGTCTTGCGTCGTGGAACAAGGTGCAGATAGTGGCAGTAGTAGCTACTACTCTGATCCGGTCGTGAGTCATCCGCCCCCGACTGGGTTGGCCAGCGTTTTCGACATGGCTGGCAGTGACCGCGACGCTTTCCATTCATGCGCTGGATCGCTAGAGGCGCCTCACCCAGCCCAGGGCTGACTCCTCTTGACGCGCAGGGATATAAGAATCGAGTAGCTCTGCTTGAGGAAGAACTGCCGGCCGACCACTTGGAAAAAATAAGTCTGCAGCTTCTACAGGAGCAAGCTTTTCAGCGCGAAGATTCAGAGGACCATAAAAGTGGCCACTTGTGTTGCTATGGTAGGTCAGGAGTAGGCGATGGCGATCGTCGTGACCTAGTGGAGCAAGCCGCTTCACGCGAGCAGATGACGAAAAAGGGAAGCGCTAGCACTAGCAAAACAGCTAGCAAATTGATGACAGCGAGACGGAGAGTAGTGGCGCAAGTGTCAACGCCGACACCTCCGAAGTATCAGCTGACGAAAAGAAGAACGCTGGCTGCTCCTGCTCTTGCTTCTTTGAAAATGAAGACGAAAAAGCCACAGCACGGAAAGAAAAGCCTAGCGAACCTGCAGCCGCGGCCACGATATGCCTTTGAGGACTTTTTCTGCGATCAAGCAGCGACCAGAAGCACAGCAGCAGAGGCCAGACGTGACGAAGACGCCAGTAAATATAGAGCCGTCGCAATCGCATGACAAGCAGCAGCCTGATGCCGTGGCAGATGAGGTCGTGGATGATCATGATACTCCTGGCGGGAACTTGGCTCCCCGAAAAAGCTGCTTTGCGTCAGCTTGTAGTGATAAAGTAGTGGCAACGCTAACAAAGGCGACCATCTCACTGACCAGGAGACGGGCACGAAGATGATGGCGATCCTTGAAGAATCTCCATTGAAGCCGCAAAGGCTACCAATGTTGGGAAGCTGGATCGCGCCAGGCTTGGACGAGCTAGATCCGGATCGTGAATTGCTCGAGGACAGGGGTGGCCTTCCAATGAAGGCACTACCTAGCTGAAGCGTAACGGTGTGGCGTTTCTTATTGTTCGCGTGATTGTTGTGGGATACTCGTCTGGGTGCGGCGATCATCGGACTCGGGGATGGGGCTCTTGGTCTCCTCTCGACACGAGGTGAGAGCGAGGGCCGGGCGCTCGTCGGCTGCGAAGGCTCCCGGACGATAACTACGCGCGACCCATCATGCCTGCCCACCGACACTCGCCCCGAGTCGGGGCGCCGTGGCCTGCTCGCGGGTAGTCGGTCTGCGCCGCGATGGCGATCGCCCTGCATAGAGCTGCGCCACACACCCGCCGAGATAAATGATGACTATCCCTTGGCGTCATACTGATGCGAAACAGATTCAAACGCATACAAAGAGCAAGCCCGAGCGAAAAACACAAACGAAAGACCACATGACAAGAAAAACCACAGAGAAAACCACACGACCCACAAGCCCACACACACAGAATTCACTTGCGAGCGAGCTTCAGCGCTGTCTGTCAGCGGCTGACCTTGCTGCCGGCCAGCTACAGCCTGTGGCGGGGCGTTTCCCAAATATCGACCACCGGGCGTGACACTTGTGCACCTGCGCCGCCGTAACTAACCACTTCGCCCCAGCTGGCGCCTCCTAACTGCAGAAGACGACGGCGGCAGTGGTTCTGCGCGTGCTTCTGCTGCTTCGCGGCATACTTTGGCCAGGCGGGGCCTCGTCGTTGCGCGGCTTCTTTCTCGAAGTCGAAGCAGGAGTGCTCGGGCCATCTGAGCCGCACCCTCCTGGCAGTCCCACCCTTGGCTGCGTTTCGCCATATTAGGTGGCTCATTCGTAGACTATTCTGCGCGGGCATGTGTCGCAGGTACACTCACGCGGGCCCTCGTATCAGATGACCCCGCACGGCGCCAGCTTTGCTCCCACCTTCATGGAGGGGCCCCTCGAACCGCGTCGGCCAGTTTGGACTCGGCTGCGCCATGCAAGCCAAGCCACCAGCGGGCGCGTCGAATAATGGGGACCAGGACCACACTCATGCCAGTTCTACCTCCTCCAGTTAGATGCGTGCTGCCTTCGTGCACTTAGCTGCGACTACTAGTCTGTATATTAATAGGCTAGCGGAGGCGCTAGGTAGAGCAATTGCAGCTACTTCTGCCGCTTAGTATTCTAGGCAGTGCACTTCTGTAGTTATGAAAGGTTTCGTTAGGAGATGAACTGCTAGAAGGAGGCAGGAGTAGTCTTAGGTGATGAAGTAACTACAACTCGCCCTCGTTTGTGTAGATATGTTATGCTAAATAAGCGACGCGATGGCAATCGCCGAAGTGCGTTATAAGCAAGGGCCTCAGTTGGGGGCCATTTTATTCGCTACAACAG